TGTGGTCTTCTGTTTACGTTTTTTAAGAAACCTCCTCATTAGTATTGTGTGGTGCGAGCTTTCTGTTGTATTATATTTTCCTTACTCATGTCAGAAAGTACAAATAATGACATTAACTTAAATGAAACGGACTTAGAAAAGTCAACCGTGGAAAATTTCGATATCAGTTCCGACAAATTGTCAAATGATCAAAGTGTCGACGCTATGGTCTGCGATAGCGAAAGAGAAAATTTCTGCAAGAGTCAAGAAACATCGCCTTGTGAGAGGGATGAAAGTATAAAAAACGAGAGAAGTTTAAAGGATGAACTTGAGAAGATTAAACTAGATTACGAAGATTGTCGACAAAGAGAAAATGACTTGAATGAAGAACTACGAAAGGTCGACTTTCAAACCGTGAAAGTTGCTGAATTGGAAATACTAAACGAAGAACTCAGAGAGCAGTTAAATGAAACGTTAAAAGAGTGCTGTACTCTAAGAGAGGATTTAACGAAGTAAGCCGTTAATTTTTCACTTTTTTTAATACCTACACCACATATTTCAAATGTTGACATCATATTAGTATGTTAATGTGGTATGTGGTAATTGAAGTGTTTGGAATGTTATTGCATTTGTAAGTTTCTTTAAATGAAACAGTTAAAGCCTTAAGGGCAATTGGTCTTTCAATGAATCACCAATTGTTTGCTCTTGAATTCAGGCTCTTTCTTAGCTTTCTTTATAATTAGATTGTTGTTTAAATTAAGTATTTCAAAGTATTTAATTCCATTTAATGTAACTCTGTGTGTTTTTATAGAACCAAGCAAGAAAAAAATGATTTAATAAATCAGGTTTCCACACCACCAGATGGCAAAGAAGATAAAAGTTGTTTCCTACAAGACCAAATAAAATCTTTGGAAGAGCAAAATGTAGAATATGAAAAGGAACTCAATGAAACCAAAGATAAACTTCATTCTCATGATCTAGCTGCAAAGAAAGCTATATCCACTCTGAAGAAGGAACTTACTCTTAGAATTGACCAGGTCACAAAGATGTATGAAGATTGTCTCCGGGAACGTGATGGCTTAAACATGAAGGTTTCACAACTCACAGAAGAGAAGCAAGAAATAGTAAAGATGCAAGATACGATGAACACGAAAATATCCGACATGGAAAAGGTTTTTGAAATATTTTTTCTGTTTATATAGTTATTTCCTTGTAAATGTAGTCCATAAATGGAGACATGGGGAATAACAGACTTCACTAAAGTGCAAGCATCTCTTTTTAACATTTGAGAATTTGTATAACCTACACTGTAGAATTCATCTAGCAAAAAGTCTAACCCTAACCCTAACCCTAACCCTAACCCTAACCCTAACCTACATTGTAGCATTCATCTAGCAAAAAGTCTAACCCTAACCTAACCCTAACTCTAACCCTAACCCTAACCCTAACCTACACTGTAGCATTCATCTAGCAAAAAGTCAATTAAACTTTGATGGGGAAAATTTGGCATCCAAAGCTAACAATGCGACTCTTTAATTGTTTATGACTTTTACTGGTAAAACATTATTTTCTTACTGATCACAATCTTCTATTTCACCAACCATTAATAATCTCATGGTACACACAACCATGTTGTTTGTTTGTGGAATGTTGAAACTTGCCTTGCAATCACTTCACCCGAATATGTTGGCATTGCATATTCAATTCATAATATATTCCTTTGAGATTCAATTTGATTGCTAACTATTTCCAACACATGTAATGTAGGAAAATGAAAGACTTCAGCAACAGATAAAGAAAATCAACAATGACTACAAGTCAAGTCAAGCAACGCTATTGGCACAGGAAAGAGAGATAATTGCCAAACAAAAGGAGGTGGAAAAATCTCAAGAAGATGTCAGCTCGCACACAGTTAAAATGAAGTGGTCACAAAACAAACTGAAGGCTGAGTTAGATTCGCATAAGGTATCTTATGACTTTGACAAATGGGAAATTCACAACATGATTATAAAATGACCGTGCATGTCTTTTTTCTTTGAGGAAACAAAAGTGAAGTTGGCACAGACATTGCAAAAGTTAAAGGAGGCTAAAGAAGAAGGAGAACAGATACGGGCTGATTGTCAAGCTATGATAAAGCAATATCAGGTTTTTATTCACTTCTAAATTCTTGTTTATAATTTCCAAGAAAGTGTAAAGTACTTCTGAACATCATATTAACATATTGATATTTAAATGTTCAAACCTAATATACTTCAAGCCTGATGAAAGTGGTGGACACTTTATGAAATATTGGGGGGGGTGCTCATCCTCAATGCATGAGTTTCTCGAGAAATCCCAGGCATGCCTTTTTGTACTTTTAAAATTTGATCTCCAGAATTTTTTAAAGATTTTTTATAACAAGGCTTAGTATGTCTGCTGGTTTGTGTACAGTACAAAAGTCTATCAAATAGTTATTATTTAATATCACAGTTATGTTATGTAGGTGTGATTTGAGGGATTTGACACAAGATTTTCATTCTTTCAAAATTATTGTGGGACTCAAGCCCCCAGCCCCCTCGCTCCCACCTTATGTTCGCCACTGCCTGACCACTTGAGCTTCCAGTTAATATGAAGTATGTTCAATTTCTCATGGATTTGGTGGTGTACTTTCAGTTAGTTTAGTTATTTAGGTTTACTGAAACTCTATTGAAAAAGTAATCAGAGTAAGCCAATTGAAAGCATATATTTCTATCGTCAGGAGTCTGAAGAAATGAGGTCAAACTCATTAGATCAAGAACTAAAGCAAAAAGAATCAGAATTACAGAAGCACACGCAATCAATTGCAAACCATGATGAGGTAAAAAAGAACCATGATAAAAATTTTTTCTTAATGATTAGTAAGTTAGCTGACGTCTTTGTCTTGTGCTTGTTTGAAACAGAACAATAAGAATCTCTTGCAAGAACTAAATCGAAAGAAAGATGAGTGTAAAAATTTGAGCGAGGAGAACAATCAACTGAACACTAAGGTAGGCTTAGTATTTCTCTTGCAAACATCGAGAAAATGAATTCTGTCGTGTGCAATGGTCGTGTGTGTTATTGCAATGAAGTGAATGATTTCAAGCTTTGAGTAACATTGCATGTTCGTAGATGTTGCTGGTCAATGCAGTCGTGATATAAGGACTGTTGGTTTTGGTGTTGACTGACGTTATAAAATCCATAGTGGTAGTCATCTTTAGAGTCAAGACCTAAGGTTCTTCGAAAGCTTTTCACCGTGAAGATGACTACTGCCAAGGATGTCGAAACGTCTGTCGGTACTAACACCAACAGTCCGTCACAAGACTTGCTCTAACCTGGACAATCAAACATGTAGGAAATGTGTTAGTTGTTGAATTTTGTTCGTGTATTATTTTGTTTAGATCAAAGGTTTGGACGATAAAGTTGCCAAATATGCTTTGGCAATATCGACTTACGAGAAAACCGTCGCTAATCAAAGAAAAGAGATTGACAATCAGATATCAAAAATAGAGGAGTTGGAGAAAATGCGAAGTCGCCTTTACAAGTAATGGAATTAGCTATACATAGATGATGTGAAACAGAAAAAGACTTTTGCTGAGATGTTATTATTTTGTTTTAAAAAATTTTTGCCGTTTTAGTCGTTGTGTTACCTAATTTTTCATTCGTATGAATTTTTCAGTTCAGAAGAATGCAACCAGGAGCTGAAAAGCGAAAAGGAAAAATTGACGACTACCGTCAACGAACTGAAATCTGAAATGGATTTAGTTTATGCCAAGGAATCCGATCTGCTCGGTTATATCGAGAAATTGACCGCGACGTGCACAAAGTTGCAGTCCACTATCTCTGATACTGAATCTCAGGTATATTTATATATATATATGATATGTATTTTAGCAATGGAGTCATGCAAGGGCCATCAATGCTCATTTGACTGGGGGGGGGGGTTGCAAATTTTTCAAGGGAGGTGCATCGTTATCCTAGCTAAAGTTGCATGGGCCTCGGGCTATTGTGGATTTTTAGGCTTACAGATGATTGAAATTGAAATTCTTACTGGCTTTTTCAAAAAATTTTGTATGTTTTTTTGCTAATGCGCGTTTAGTAATTTATCTCAATTTTAATGTTTCAATGAAAATTAATCTTATGGTACAATTTCATAGTCTCTGAAACTGTTGTATTAATCGTCTATAGTACGTAGTATCATGTTAGAATGTTTCTTGATGGTGATAGAGAATTTTTTGGGGGGTGAACCCCCTGCACTCCCAAGAAAAACCGCCCCTGAGGCCATGGAACTAGAAATAGAATAGAAATTCTATCTTTGAAACTACTTACATACTTTTTTTAAATTTTGTGAATGTAATGTGTTTATAGGGAAGAATGTACTTCTTATTCTCTGTCACCCATAGCACGGAATCATTCGTAGCGTTAGCCAACGCATAGTGAAAATATTAAATGCACGAGCAAGGTTGTTTTATTTTTGTTACGATAGTGAAACTTTGCAATCTTAGAAGCAATGTTTTATTTCGTTGATTGTCCAGTTCAAATTGCAAATTTTTTTCCCTTTGAGCCATCTTTGAAACGTTCATAAAAATTTCTATCCTGTGAAGAGCTCCATTCGTACAGCTGGTCCCAGATCTTTTGGATACGAGCAGTAGATTCGACCATTACTTGAAATGCGAGCATTAGTTTACTTTTATACTGCTTTATTTAGAATGAGGAATTGAAGAAAGAAAACGAAGAGCTTAAAGCGAATGTTGACGATCTCAAGGCAGAAAACAACAGCTTGGTTGGTTTGCATGTTTAGTTTCCAAAGCACTTCAATTGTGTTCTGTAACACCCGGCGAGAAGTCAATGTCTTTTTCATTCTTAGAATATGTCACTTAAAAGTGAAACGGAAGCTAAAGTTATGTTGGAATCGGACTTGCTACACAAATTAGAGGAGAAAACAAAAACAGGTAAACGTGTGTCAAAAAGCGTTTTCACATGATATCATAGCCGCCATATTGGTGAAGCGATTGAAATGACCTTTGATGTTCTTTTGTTTGCTACACCAACATGGCTGTTTCATCCATTGTCATGTTGATAGCTATCTGGCCCGAGTAGAAAGTGATAGGTTGAATGTTTCCTAGCAAAGAAACCTTTTAGCGAGGATATATTTTATACTATCTTTGTTTTCATTTAAAAATTCTTGTCCTGTCAACAAACCGTTGATTGCTGTAAGCTGTCTATTTTGATAGAGTCGCCCCATTCCTAAGCGGCCACATGCGAGTTTATTCCGTTTGAATTCAAGCAATATCTAGGTTCCTCTACGTCGTTTCATTTAGTGCAAGAATTAGCTACCAATTTGGAGGATGTCAGAAATGAACTTAAAGTTGCCAAGAAGAAAAATTCAGCCCATATAAAGGTATTTTACGAAGAGGAGATTCAGAGTATGCCACAACACGGTCGTTTATACCTTTGAATAAAGCTATTTCATTCCATATTATATAATCATTTCATTTTTAATTTTTTTCTACAATCGCTTTACATAACTGTAGGATATAACAAGACAACTGCAACAATCAAAAAGGTGAGACCTAAATGTAGCTGTTTTGTTGTTTTTCACCTTGAATTCAAACCTTGAACTATGCTACACGCAATTCATGAAAATTTTCTACCAATCTTTTGAAAATTCGCGTTTTTGGATTTCGGATCTTACTTTAGTTAATCGTTATAATTTCATGATTTTCTTGACATGAAAACCGCCATCTCCTTTTGCTTGCGGTCAATTTTCAATTGAAATATCTATATATTCCCATAGAAAAATCGATTTATTGGAAAAGAATTCAAATAAAGAGCGCATGGACAGCGGTTCGCGGACCTCCTCAAGTAGCTCGCTTGATAAAGTCGATGGTCCAGCACAACAGTCTATTAATGGTTCGAATAACTATCAGACGAATCCTGCAATTTTAGAGATGAATAATGGAAGGGTATGCTCTTTATTAATTTACAAATTAAGCGTAACTGAAAGAAGTAAACTCGTTTGCGAATTTAACCATGTGTTTGAGATTCGTCACGGAATTTATTGCATTCCAAACTTATTTAAAGATATCATTTGTTCATCCTTGTGTTTTAGGTACCCCAGTGTCCTTCAGAGGACTTGGTAGGTCCATAATAATATTTCTAACTTTTGTTTGTTGTACATCCTGTCGTTATTTTTTTTTCATGCTACTTTTTCTTCAACATACAGATGTCTACTGTCGTGGAAGTGAAAACGAAGTCGCCATCATCCAGCAAAGTCAACAATTCGGATCTTGATCACGAAAAATCTATCATGTTAGAAAGAATATGTCAGCTTCAAAGAACGCATGCAAAGAACAGCGAGAAGATTGATTTCTTGGAAGAACACAATCAAACTTTGGTTGAGGAAATTACCAAACAGAAGAGGTAGGTTGGATTATAACTTCTCTTTTTGGGTCGTCATTATTCAGGGTCATCACAGCGTGTTTTGCTTTTCAATATGATTTTCCTTTTCACTACATCTTCTTTTATCACCCCATGTTCCTCATTCATCTCTTACGTTACTGCCATGTTCCTCATTCATCCCTCATGTCATTCCCATGTTCCTCGTTCATCTCTTACGTTACTCCCATGTTCCTCATTTTCCCTTATGTCATTCCCATGTTTTTCATTCATCCCTCATCAGATCCGTCCAACTCTTACATCTACTGTTTCTCATCCCTAGCAATGCCATTTACAACATCCGACCCCTCTCATAATCCTCCTTTCTTATCATTACATGTCCATTTTTATAGGAGGGAGGGGAGGGGGAATAAGTAATTTTAGAAAAAATCTTGATGTGACGCTTTTTGTTTGTACAGACTTATTCAATATTACCTGCTGAAGGAGGACAGCGGTCATTTTACATCATCTGATTACGATGAGAAAAAGGTTTGTGTTGAGTAATAATTAAAAAACTAGACAATGAAAAGTAATGAATGAAAACAGCACTTGAAACTATTAATTCTTTGACTGTTGAAACTAGTGGAGAAGCGCACTCGAATTTTTACTCCCGCTATGCAATTTGAAAAGATAATTTTATTTATTGTTTTCTCATTTAATGATCACAAAAATAGTTGAAAATTGCAGGATCAAAAAAATCAAGCAGTCTTCGTCACTATAGCAACAGCTACTACAAATGGAACTAGGAAAACTTCCGCCATTCAAGAAACAACTTTAACAATCCACACAGACATCAAATATAGCAACACCAACCACAACTACATCTGCTTTTCAAAAACAGGCTTGCCAGTGTAAACTATTTAACATAGCTTTTAGTTAGGTATTATTTTTTGGTAGTGGGTTGTAATAACATTGTCACGGCAACTCCATTGTAAAAAAAATACAATTGTAATGATATTTCAGGCAAAATTAGCCAAGAATCGTGGCGTGATGTCATCTGTGTATTCGTCAAAGCCTACAGACTCCACAATGACCTTGGAATTATCTTTACAAATCAGTACAAAACTACAGGCGCTTCTTGAAGACACTATTTTAAAGAACATAACTTTAAAAGTAAGTTCCAAATTTTCCCCTTGACCATTTTCCCAACTTGTTTTCCATTTTGTTTAAATTGCTTATGAAAAATCTATCAAACATGAAACAGTCTCTGGCATTGCAGTATACTTTGAAAATTACTTTCAAAATAGCAACGCAAAGTAGGTTTTTAGGCTTGCAGTAGTAGTGTCAGGAAGAAATGTGTTTCGTGAAATTGCATTAGCTAGTGACTCAAACTATTGTGTTAGGTTTATAGTTAGTTATTGTAACTGCTTATCGTGGTAAATCTATAAATGACATAAGTAAATAAGTTTGACCACGAGAATTAGATAATTTATTGCATGGAGACCAATTCCAAATTACTCACATTGATAGCTCAATGTGGGAGTTAACAATTCTAAGATATCTGGTCACCAGTCCTCGTCAGTAGTTTAGAAATAGTTGATTATGACATTAAACCTTTACCGCTTTATTTCTAGGAAAGTATAGAAACGCTTGGCGACGAAGTTGCAAGATTAAGTACAGCTTTGTGCGAAAAACAAAGTGAGAACTCAACGTGAATTGTTGATTTAAACAGGAATTCGATGATTTTGATGATATGGTCTTGGTATAACAGATGAAAAATTATCAGTCGTAATATTAATGTCAATCAACTCAAACCATTCAACTTGTCGAAGGGGTTAAATTCACCTGTTAATCGTTTACGATGGGCCTAAATCGTAAACTTTCGTTTCTGTGCACTAAAGTGACTAAACAGACAATCTGAATTCATAACTGACTGGACGAATATTTTGTTTTAGTTTTAGTTTTTCTTCATCACATCATGATGTGAATGTACTGTGGAAACATTTAATTCACTTTATACGTAAATCAACATGTGTATATATCAAAATGTAAGCCAATTTGTGTGGGTTGGCCAGTTGATCTTGAAGTGTATTTTAGTAAAATGGCAGCACGTTTTTTAACCAATCAGATGGCGCAGTTAGATGTGCAAATTTTTAAAATTTACGGCGGTTGAAATTAGTAACTTTGAAATCAATAGAAGTCGGTCGGTCGTTCATTATTTTGAAACAATTTGGCATTTAAATTTCAAGTTTTTTAGCCAACCTGGAGGAAGCTTTTGTGTTTACTGATTTAAGAAATACTTAAAGAAGGGAAATGAACCAAGATTATCCAAATATCGTGGTAATAAAACGTACTGGAGCTGATGGCCCAAAATTTCCTCTGCGTCGAAACATGTATTTATTTGGAAGGTTGTGGCAGTTGAAGTTGTCTTTGTCATTCCTATTGTTCCTTAGCTGCAAGGAGTTGTAGTTTTGCTTTTGTAAAGAATGTGTATGGTGTCCTTTTTAATTCGAGAATAATGTTCGTTTTTAGGGATATTGGATGTGATTTACGTGTGCAATTACCTGGTGTCGCCTTGCAACATGCCAAGATATTTCGTTCAGAAAATGACGAGGCAAGTTGTTAGATATAATGATACACATTAATGTTTTAATATACTTTGTTGTTTATGATACATCGTTAAAGAAAAAGGAAGTCCATTATTTTGGGAGAGGATAATGTTATAAACTGATCTGTGACGATTTTTCTCACCCAAGATTTTCCATGATAAAAGATCTGTCGTTTATTTCAAATTTTAACAAAGCATACATTTGTGGATAAAGCATACATATATGGATAAAGCATACATATAGGGTGACTGCTTCCACTGGACAATGTATTTACTATGTACAAAGAAATCCAAGATGTTATTGTACCAATGTTGAAAAATGCTGTTTGATAGTGCTGGTTCTTTACAACAAACAAACAAACAAACAACATTTGTATACCGGCCAGTATTAATCCCCACCAGGGGGGTTGACCGGTCCATGAACTTTTCTACGCCAAACGTCTCTATCGCGCCATATCTCTCGTTATACCCATCGCCTTCATATCACTGTTCACAGCATCCATCCATCTCTTTCTCGGTCTACCTTGTTTGCGGACTCCATCAACATTCATATGCAACGTTCTACGAATTTCAGCACTTTCTTCCCTCCTTTCCACATGCCCAAACACCTCAAACGCTGGCGCCTTACCCAATTCTCGATACACTCAACACCAACTCTTTCTCTAATCTCTTCACTTCGAATCCTATCCATCAACGTTACACCACACATCATCCTAAGCATTCTCTTTTCCGTCAACGCCAATCTTCTCAGGTCCTCTGCTTTCGGCGCCCAACACTCTGCTCCATATCCCAAAACACTTCATGGTTCTTTACATGTTCATAATAAAAAATGGGGACAGAGAAAATGTCTTGCATTAATGATGTTTATGTGTATATTTTCTAAGCCAATGACAACCCACTTTTATAATGATAACATTATGGTAATGTGCGGGGAGGGGGGAGGGCATCATTTAGAGATGGGCTTTTTATTGGATGGAGGTTTCTAATACAAACTCATGCTTCATAGGGAAGGGCATTTGTTTTATAGTGAGTGCTAATTGGCAAGTTGGATCATTAAAGTTTCAAATGCAAATCCCAAGCCTATAAAAGCATAATTCTAAAGTCTGTATTTTTATTCAATAGTTTTTCTTGGAAAATTTAACTGAAAAAAAAACTATCATCAATGGAAGTGAAGTTAAAGAGTCTGTAGCATTAAGTAACGAAGACATATTTACAATTGCTGAACGATCTTTTCGTTTTGAATTTAAGAGACCTTCAAGAAAGGTAACCTATTTCTTTATTGTATATTCTGTGAACCTCTTCCTATAAACCTTAGTCTTATAAAAAGTCCCAAGCCCTTTTTTATGGGCATACATGGGAGGGCTTTTATACAGGGGGCAAATAAGTTCTTATGCAGGTGGGTTTTTGAATGGAATTATTCAAGTGTCATGATTGTGATGGGCTGATGATCTGGTCAGCTTATACAATAGGGGGAGGGGTTATGAAGAGGGGCTGGTGCAGGGGTGAGGCTGATGCAGGGGGCTTACAGCATTACCTTGAAGAGTGATGAAAATTGTCGTAATTGGTAAATTGTATTGGGTATTGCCATACATTGTATAAAATAGTCGTGTTTTTGATTTAGAGTTTTGGACAATCAAAAAGATTGTCAACAAGCAAGCCACTTACCTCGACATCACCCCTACGTGAGGCAAATGAAAAGAAAATCAAGAACAGTCCACGTCATCCTGTTGTCCATGGCTCGTCGTTACGCGAGAGTGTGGACAAGTTACGAAGATCGTCTGTTCCACTACTTGAAACGGACGAACCTCCACAAACTGAGTCATGTGCATTACGAACCACGAACACTCCACAGTCGACAAAAAAGATTAACAAGCGTGTCTCGTTTGGCCCAAATTTGAGTCCTGAGCAATTCGACAAATCGCTTCCGGTGTCAACACCCATCAAGAAAGGTGCAACACCTCAGCGTTTGTCCGCACCGTTGTCTAAACCATGTCTAAGTCCTGGGAGGAAAAGAAACAGTGTTGTGGCAAGCTCTTTTGTCTCAAAACTTGAAGAAGTTGTTGAAGAAGAAGAAAGCAAAAAAAGGTTAGTGAAATAGTTTCAGTTGTTATCTATTTAAAAATGCGTGTATCAACCAGTATCAACTGGTGTCAACCGACATGGTAGTTTACACACATAATAACGTGTATTTTACGGTGGTTTACACACACACGTATTTTACGGTGGCGTATTTTACACGCGGTTTTACGGTATATTTTACGGTGGTTTACACACGATATATTTTACGGTGGTTTACACACATGATATATTTTACGGTGGTTTACACACATGATATATTTTACGGTGGTTTACACACATTATCACGCGTATTTTACGGTGGTTTACACACATTATCACGCGTATTTTACGGTGGTTTACATTATCACATTATCACACGTATTTTATGGTGGTTTACACATTATCACGCGTATTATTTACGTATTTTACGTTGGTTTACACACATTATCATATTTTACGGTGGTTTACACACATTATCACGCGTATTTTACGGTGGTTTACACACATTATCACCCGTATTTTACGGTGACTTACACACATGATATATTTTACGGTGGTTTACACACATTATCACGCGTGTTTTATGGTGGTTTACACACATTATCACGCGTATTTTACGGTGACTTACACACATGATATATTTTACGGTGGTTTACACACATTATCACGCGCATTTTACGGTGGTTTACACACATTATCACGCGTATTTTACGACGTACGTTATTCTTGTGGCTCACAAAGTTGACACCCCCTATAGAAAACGTTTTCTCATAAAATTTCCATCAACACTTCTATACCGAGGCTTTCGTTGATTGTTAGAATAAAACTTTGCATTGATATGTTTGGTAAAATTCCTTTACGTTATGCAGTGATATGTGTGAATTGAAAATCCCAAGCTCCGTTAATGAAGTTGTTGATGTTATACAACCCAAGATGACGAGCACATCAACAACAGAAAATGTCGAAAAGAATCGTGCCGATTGCAAGAAAATGGCAACACCTCTGAGGGAGGCCATAAGAAAAGGATTTCGCTTGAAAGAGACAAAGAAGAAGTTGATGACTCCGTTGAGACGGGAAATCGCAGCTGGTAAAATTCTTCGAGCTTCCATAAACCGACCCATTTCACCAGCGCGAAAAGCGATTGAAACTCGCCCCAAGCCACGAAACACCAGAAGAAGAATGTCGACTCCAGTCCGCAAGGGTATCGAAGCTGGACTTACCCTCAAAAGAACGAAAAAGGTTATGACTCGGGACTTGCAAAATGATATAAAGAAAGGCATACAGCTACGACAAACAAAGAAAATCATGCCAAAGCCTTTACAGGAAGAAATCAAATCAGGAAGGCAATTCCTAAAGACTACGAGAACAGTGGAAACTACTGAGAAGGGTTATGATCAGAAAGTCGAGAATACGTTGTATCCCAAGATGCCCGTTGAGCTTCAAGCAGCAATAATCGAGGGTGTTCAACTTCGTGTCACTAGAAGAAGATTGCGAATTTTGCTACAAAATGAAATCAAATCTGGCATCGAGTTGTCAAAGACAAAGCAGAGTTTGAAGACTCCTATACGCAAAGAAATTGAATCTGGTGTTCATTTGAGAAAGACAAAGAGACGAATGGGGACCATGCTGCAAGATGAGATCAAATCTGGCATTGAACTATCTAAGACAAAGCAGAGTTTAAAGACTCCTATACGCAAAGAAATTGAATCTGGTGTTCATTTGAGAAAGACAAAGAGACGAATGGGGACCATGCTACAAGATGAGATCAAATCTGGCATTGAACTATCTAAGACAAAGCAGAGTTTAAAGACTCCTATACGCAAAGAAATTGAATCTGGTGTTCATTTGAGAAAGACAAAGAGACGAATAGGTACCATGCTGCAAGATGAGATCAGATCTGGCATTGAACTATCTAAGACAAAGCAGAGTTTAAAGACTCCTATACGCAAAGAAATTGAATCTGGTGTTCATTTGAGAAAGACAAAGAGACGAATGGGGACCATGCTGCAAGATGAGATCAAATCTGGCATTGAACTATCTAAGACAAAGCAGAGTTTAAAGACTCCTATACGCAAAGAAATTGAATCTGGTGTTCATTTGAGAAAGACAAAGAGACGAATGGGGACCATGCTGCAAGATGAGATCAAATCTGGCATTGAACTATCTAAGACAAAGCAAAGTTTAAAGACTCCTATACGCAAAGAAATTGAATCTGGTGTTCATTTGAGAAAGACAAAGAGACGAATGGGACCATGCTGCAAGATGAGATCAAATCTGGCATTGAACTATCTAAGACAAAGCAGAGTTTAAAGACTCCTATACGCAAAGAAATTGAATCTGGTGTTCATTTGAGAAAGACAAAGAGACGAATGGGGACCATGCTGCAAGATGAGATCAAATCTGGCATTGAACTATCTAAGACAAAGCAGAGTTTAAAGACTCCTATACGCAAAGAAATTGAATCTGGTGTTCATTTGAGAAAGACAAAGAGACGAATGGGGACCATGCTGCAAGATGAGATCAAATCTGGCATTGAACTATCTAAGACAAAGCAGAGTTTAAAGACTCCTATACGCAAAGAAATTGAATTTGGTGTTCATTTGAGAAAGACAAAGAGACGAATGGGGACCATGATGCAAGATGAGATCAAATCTGGCATTGAACTATCTAAGACAAAGCAGAGTTTAAAGACTCCTATACGCAAAGAAATTGAATCTGGTGCTCATTTGAGAAAGACAAAGAGACGAATGGGGACCATGCTGCAAGATGAGATCAAATCTGGCATTGAACTATCTAAGACAAAGCAGAGTTTAAAGACTCCTATACGCAAAGAAATTGAATCTGGTGTTCATTTGAGAAAGACAAAGAGACGAATGGGGACCATGCTACAAGATGAGATCAAATCTGGCATCGAGCAGTCAAAGAAAAAGGAGAAATCTAATGCACTAAAGAGGAAGTCAACCGACTTAGTTGCATCTTTCAAAACTCCAAAACGTCGTAATTCCTGTGTTTCAGTTGATGCAACTCAATCATCTCTGAAGAAAATGAAGACACCATCAAAAACAGCACGTCGATCTGGATTTATTCCGAGATCAAGATCCAAGCGGTCAATTTCACGCTTGGACTCGATAAAGCAGCCAAGTTATGCAGACATACTGAAACGACCGAAGCTTACAGGAAAACGAAGACTTTCTACAAGAAAGACAAATGCTTTCAAATTTGAAGCAGATCCACAGGTATATAATTATACAGAATGCTTGAGGGAAATTTAATTTGATAAAAGCTTTCAGTTATGATATGTTGCAAAATTAGATTCAACATGATTTTTATTGGGGGGGGAGGGGGAGGCTCTCCAGTTGTCAAAAGGTGTCCGACTGTCAGTCATTTGCATAGCATCATCGGTCTCAACCCAAAATATATAGAATCGACGAACTTTGCCTTGATATTTTATAAGAAAATTATCTAGCATAATTTAGCTCAAATGTTTTTTCTAGGTGCCTTCAAAAACTATAGCAAAGAAATCTCGCGGTGTTAGAGCTACATGTAAAGGTAACTTTTACTTGAAATCTAAATTTTTTCTTGGATGTTAATAATTTGGTCAAATTATTTTTCCCATTGTATCTTCCGTAGAAAAGTACAAACAACGTGTTCTAAGAATCAAGTTGCAAAGAAGGCGTTTGACGGCAAGACAAATGGTGACTGGAATGTTGTCGTAAACAAAAGAAAAATATTAAAGATAAAAAGACAACGAGCAGGTTGGTAGACTCCATTGCTGATTTTTCCATGTTTTTCATACATGGGCTTCATAAATTTCAATTTTTCGTTCAGTTCAAAGACTAACTTAAGTTTTGGCTTTCATTCTAAAAGCAAACCCCGTCTTGTTTAAAGGGGAATGGCAACCAATTTTTTTTTTAATTACCAACAAGTATGTAAGATATTTAATAGAGAATGAATTTTATTTGACATCGTAATTCTCTATAGAACTCTCCTTAAATCACTTTGAATATAAATAAATTTGAAGGAAGGAAGCCATCTTTAATTTAAAAGCAAGCTATTATGGAAATATGCTTAACGTCACAACAGGGCATTAATTGTGTTAGGAACCTAGAAAAAGTGAATTTTTTTGTCGGGATTTTTTTCAGTGCTGCTATTAAAGCAATAAACCGGACAATACATGGCTATATGTTGACATATATAAACAAGACTTGTATTTGCCGTGGAACGCTTAACTTGTTGTGACGTCATTTTGCTAAAACACGAAGAAATTAGCATAATAAAAATCTTTACCAGATGGCGACGAACACGCTATGATTTAAATAAAAAAAGAGACGAATCTTTCCACACAAAAGACAGCGATGACAAATTTTTGGTGTTTTTTTCATATTTAGGGGTAATGTACTATAATAATTATAAGAAATATATTGCCATTTCCCTTTAACCAAACCTTTTGCACTCATTTCTTTGTCTAGTCAAACAGCAGGAAGAAGTTAACTTGGTTGGAGTCGATTCACTTTTCAAAACACCAAAGGCAACTCGCAGCGTAGTCAATCTTGATGATGAAAAGGATAACAAGTCTGTTGAAAGTTTCATTGGAAATTCGCCACTACCATCGAAAGACAATTTGCTGTTTGGTGTTGCAAACAATCTTGATGATGAAAAGGATAACAAGTCTGTTGAAAGTTTCGTAGGAAATTCGCCACTATCATCGAAAGACAATTTGCTGTTTGGTGTTGCAAACAATCTTGATGATGAAAAGGATAACAAGTCTGTTGAAAGTTTCATTGGAAATTCGCCACTACCATCGAAAGACAATTTGCTGTTTGGTGTTGCAAACAATCTTGATGATGAAAAGGATAACAAGTCTGTTGAAAGTTTCATTGGAAATTCGCCACTACCATCGAAAGACAATTTGCTGTTTGGTGTTGCAAACAATCTTGATGATGAAAAGGATAACAAGTCTGTTGAAAGTTTCATAGGAAATTCGCCACTACCATCGAAAGATAATTCGCTCTTTGGTGTTGCAAAGCTCCTAAAATCACCAGAATCTCCCAAAAATCGTGAACCGTGCATTCAAGGTGTTGCGGAACTTTTTGAGGACGGGAAAAGACGAAAAAGGAGTTCTTCAATGGGAAACACGAAGCTCCATTCCGACGACTCCATATTGTATGGAGTTGCAAAGCTGATGAAGACACCTAAAATTAGGAGATACAGCGAACCAAATTTAGATGGCGTTTCGGAACTGTTTCAAGAAAGCAAAATCGCTCGACGTCCGCTTGAGAAAAGACAGAAGGAGTGTGATGATTCAATCTTGTATGGTGTGGCTAAATTGATGAAAACACCGAAGATGAAGAAGAGTGAGCCAAATTATGAAGGAGTTCCAGAATTGTTCGAGATCGAAGAAATGGTCTCGCCCATTACTGTCACAAAAACACCGTCCTTGAGAAGACCGTCTGACCAATTCAGTGCTGTAGCTCCTTTGTCTACGAAGAAGACTCCGTCTCTTCGAATGAAAGATACAGTGAAGGAGTTTGCCTTCCCGCTTCGATTGTCGAGCACGCCTTCCTTCCGTGATAACAAGTGCCCGCAAACGATCGCAATAGCCGAAACAGTCAACATAGCTTCTTCATTGAGACAAACTGGCCAAGATTTAGTTGATGAAAGTGCTGATGTTTCTGTGAGAAACCCTTCCTTGAAAAACGATGCATCATCGCTTGTACAAGTTGAATTCTCATCTGTTGGTGGTGTTTCAACAAACGATTCTAATGCAGTTTCAGAAACGACAACAATCAAACGACGAGCTACCAGGAAACAATACAAAACTAAAGCTGTTGCTGTAGCCGATCAAGCTTCTTCCACCGAGGCAACTACCACGGCACTGGAACAAGTTGAATGTCTTACTCCCAAACGCAGGACAACAAGATCTTCAAAACGAAAAGCTGAGTTAACTTGTCTTCCAGAGAAGAAACGTCCGCGTCGTGCTGTTTTTGTGAATTCCAGCAACACAGAGCAATCTTTTGATGCTGTTGCTCAATCAGTTACCTGCAATGATGCCATTTCTCATTCATCTTTGTCAAGGAAATCTAAAAGAACGAGATGTGTAGCAAACAAGGAACCCACACACCACGTGACATGCAACACGAGGTCCACTCGTAGTAAAGATATTTGTCTTGTGGTTAAGGCAGAGGATTCTACTTGTGGAGTGAGGAAAGAGAACGCTATTCATGAGGATGTTGTGACCGCGGATGTAACCAAAACTCGATCCAGAAAACAAATTAAAAAGAATGCTGAAGATTCAGTCGACAACATAGCGACGACCATTGGAACAAGGAGACGAAAGGTTAACAAAACAAACTCCGAAAATGAAGTGGCTTTCCAGGTTGAAGAAACAGGCGAAGTTACAGCATCTGCTATTGATAAAAAGAGAGCTCTCCGAAATATTGACAAGCAACCATCGAAAGTCGGTGGAAAACGCGAGAAAAAACCGACAGTTGCTTTGAAGATGCCAATCTGTCGTAATGAAAGCAAGAACGTTGTTGGAGTACCCGATACACCTCCGCCATTTACGTTCACCAAAACTAAACTGGATCCTATCATCGAGGTGCCCACACCATCGTCTCTTTTACGTCCAAGTGTGGAGGCTGAAGTATGTTTTGGTGGAGCTCGATCAACAAGAAACCCTCGCATAGCTGATGTCAACAATGTTTCATCTGTCACCTGCGAAAACGAAGGTGAAGAACATGTTTCTCCGTATCTGAGAGGTAAAGGCAAAAAAGTAGCTCCGTTGACTCGCGCCACACGGAGTATAAAGGTTTTAAATGCCGATGAAAATTTACAAGGTGCTAATTGTCAAAAGAAAGAGAAAGTCACTGATGATCATACTTCAAGTAACGGAATAAGATCAGAAAGAAGAAGCACTCGGAGGAATCCACAGCAGTCAAAAACTATCGCGGAAGAAATCACCGTCAGCAATGCAAGAACGAATCGTAGAAATAAATTACCTGAAACAGATTTGGAGATTATCGAAGAAACTGTTGTGACTTATACGAGGACAAGAAGGAAACGAGCTTGCAAGCAAGAAAACTTGCAAGAAAACATTGAAGTAGTACGAGAGGTGAAGATGTTACACGATGAAAGTAGTACTGACGATAAAGGTTTTGACCAAAATAGGATCACTCGTACATCACGAAAGAAAAAGGCTCAAGAAATTGAAGATGAACCGCACAAAGTAAAGAAACAGCGCAAAGACAACAAAAGTAGTGAAAATATTCTCAGTGTTGTAATAACGCGAGCGTCACAAAAGAGGCGAGCAGTTGAAAACGATGATAAAACACTTGACGATAAAACCATGAAGCAAATGTGCAGTAGTCGAAGAACCAGAACAGCGGAAAAGAATATGAAAAACGAACCAGGTACGATGCGAGTAACTCGAAGTCGTAGATGTGGGAAATAATATTTAGAGAACAATTTGACTTTATAGTCTAGCAATAACATAGTTTGCTTAATTGAACTTTTTTATATACTGCAAGGAACTTTTACATATGCTCCTTTTCATTTAATCTTTGCTTTGTTCATATCAATTCATTATATATCTTAATACTTATTCGGACATGATTATTTCAGGGTTGTAAGATCACATTTTACACAAAATATTCGTAACGTTTCAATGTAAATATATACTTTTTTTTGCATTTTGTCTACTTTTGTGTCTACCTTTGTGTCCACCTTTGTGTCTACCTTTATGTTTACCTTTGCGTCTACCTTTGTGTCATCTACCTTTAACATCATTCCTATAAGGCATGTAGTTAGCATTTTTATCCCAATGTTGTGATACGCTCAACTTCTACAGATCTGATGAAGCCCTTTGCCAAACTCGTGGTCGAGGTAATGTCATGCAAATTTTGGCATTGAGCTTATTTACCATGCAATTAAAGAGACATTTCATGATTTAATTGGGATCAATTCTTTATCCATGATGTAAACTTGCAAACCAAGACTTTAAATAACATTTGAACATCAATTCATACATTATAGCACATATATTCAGCGTTATTTCAAGTAAATAATGAAGCTCTGAATCTAAATAAATAAGCGGTTAATATGTATTCCTTATGCCTATCAAACCATCCTACCTTGTGTAACAGGAAATTATGCACTCGTCTTCGACGGTCGTCAACGTCTTCTACGAGAACTGTACTGAGTTTGTAAACGACTTTTTCGAAACAAATAGTAGTGTTTAGACAAGTTTAGCTCGCTGAGATGACATAAATCTCATTATTTCGGAATACAATGCAATATTTCACACAATACTTACAAAACTCGGTTAACAGCAATTAATTTTAAACGAGTCGCGGGAAGGAGTCGAAAAAGAGCGAAGCAAATTTAAAACAACCCATGATGTATTGGTCAAAAATGATCACGTGCTATAATACTACGAAGCGTTCCAAAAAGAACAGACACTTTAAGGGAAGCTAAGCAGCTAATCTTAAAAAATCAACGAAACAGAGTAAAGAAAATGCAGATTAAGTATACACATGAAATATCACAGGAATTAAAACAGAAAATCCCGAAAAATGCCTATTGCATGGACAATAGTGAATAATTTAAGACAATTTATGAATCTTTGAAATTCAAATTTTAGCAAATCCAAATGGTAGCACTACATTTAAAATGGCGGACAAATGATCGACATTTGAAAGTTAAGTTGTGCAAACTTTTCTGTTCCTGTTTTTTGCACGAATATGCCTTTGACAAGAAGCTCCACTGCAGCGCTTAGAAAATCTTTGAGCCAATCTCGGCGTAGCGATGAGATCAACAACGGGTCTGATTCAAGTGTGAAATATATTTGGCAGGTTCGAAGAGCAAAAGGAAATACTTTTAGTATTTTATCTACTCACGTTGCGTGTAACCTAATTATAGTTAGGAGAATAGCTATTACATATCCGTGTTTTCTTTTATTTAGCGTTCCGAAGCTCATCGACAATTCAATCCATCAGAGATGAGCAGAGCAAAAAATCAAAGGTTTTGTTTCTTTATCTTTATTTAGTCATAAGTGCGACAATGCTGCGGCCTAGTGGTGGTACTGGCCTCATTGTTATTATGCTATGTAGGTTGTTCAGCAGACCTCAAGATGTTTCTTCTGAAGCTGATGAAGGTGAAACTGATGTTCTTGATGTAAGTCTTACTCAAGATTGATTACTGTTTGAACAATTGCACGGATTTCTCGTGAAGTGCTTTTCATGTTCCCATGGAATTGCTTAGGTGGACAAAGAAAAAGGCAGAGAAACAAAACTCAACATAAAAAAATGTATCCTTTCTCTCTTTGTGTGCATTGAATGTGTGCTTGTGTGTTGCATATTTGGATTTGCTGAAAGAGATCTCTTAACAAATGCATTGTAGCTTTAAAAATGTTAGACGATGCAGTTGCAACTCCAAGACGCCTGGGATCACCTTCCCTTCGACCAATCAGTACTCCAACATCAGTCCTTCAAGGAAACCAGCCTCCATTGCATGCTCTAAAACATAGCTTATGTAAGGATTGAGACAGATTGAAGTTTGTTTGTTGACAATTTTTTGCTTTTCCTATTTTTCTTCATCTTAAAATTTCTCTCTTTGTTTTTCGTTCAATGTTCTATGATTTTTTGTTTGTCATTCTCCTGTCATTTGTCTTGTTTTTCTTATTTTTTCAATCTCCTCAGACGTTTCTTCTTCTCTATTCAACATTCTTAATCTCCCTTTTTGTTGTCCATCAAGATGACCTCTCTTTGCCAAACTTGCTTTTGTTTTGAATATGTTTGAAAACAAGAGTCCTGTCATTTAAAATTAGAGAATTGTAAGCAACAATGTCAAATAATTTTTTTTCTATTTTTGTAGACACTTCAAGTCAGTCGTCTTTAGCTGATGGTAGTTTAGATTTTCAGGTGTTTATGCTTAAAGAAACATATCTATTTACACAGCTTTTTTCAATCCCACCATATGCTTGTATATATACATATTTTATTTAATATCATTATTGAAAGTAGATACAAAAGTTTTGTAGCTTTGATCTGCATTATGTTTTTCATAGAACACTGCGCCTTTTAACATGTTTGGAACAACACCCAGGCATTCCAGACTGGCTCAGGTAGAAAGGAAAATTGATAAAATTGATATAAATGGATTAGTCTCTTCTTGCTTTTAATAATATTTCCCAAGTAGACAATGCAGCCAAACATTGCAAATGTAGTCAAATTTTGTCGACTGTCGTTGAATGTAGTCAGGTGTAGTTGAATGTAGTCTGGTGTAGTTGAATGTAGTCAGGTGTAGTTGAATGTAGTCAGGTGTAGTTGATTGTAGTCTGGTGTAGTTGAATGTAGTCAGGTGTAGTTGAATGTAGTCTGGTGTAGTTAAATGTAGTCAGGTGTAGTTGAATGTAGTCAGGTGTAGTTAAATGTAGTCAGGTGTAGTTGAATGTAGTCAGGTGTAGTTGAATGTAGTCAGGTGTAGTTGAATGTAGTCAGGTGTAGTTGAATGTAGTCAGGTGTAGTTGAATGTAGTCAGGTGTAGTTGAATGTAGTCAGGTGTAGTTGAATGTAGTCAGGTGTAGTTGAATGTAGTCAGGTGTAGTTGAATGTAGTCAGGTGTAGTTGAATGTAGTCAGGTGTAGTTGAATGTAGTCAGGTGTAGTTGATTGTAGTCTGGTGTAGTTGAATGTAGTCAGGTGTAGTTGCATGTAGTCAGGTGTAGTTGAATGTAGTCAGGTGTAGTTGAATGTAGTCAGGTGTAGTTGAATGTAGTCAGGTGTAGTTGAATGTAGTCAGGTGTAGTTGAATGTAGTCAGGTGTAGTTGATTGTAGTCTGGTGTAGTTGAATGTAGTCAGGTGTAGTTGCATGTAGTCAGGTGTAGTTGAATGTAGTCAGGTGTAGTTGAATGTAGTCAGGTGTAGTTGAATGTAGTCAGGTGTAGTTGAATGTAGTCAGGTGTAGTTGATTGTAGTCTGGTGTAGTTGAATGTAGTCAGGTGTGGTTGCATGTAGTCAGGTGTAGTTGAATGTAGTCAGGTGTAGTTGAATGTAGTCAGGTGTAGTTGAATGTAGTCAGGTGTAGTTGAATGTAGTCAGGTGTAGTTGAATGTAGTCAGGTGTAGTTGAATGTAGTCAGGTGTAGTTGAATGTAGTCAGGTGTAGTTGAATGTAGTCAGGTGTAGTTGATTGTAGTCTGGTGTAGTTGAATGTAGTCAGGTGTAGTTGCATGTAGTCAGGTGTAGTTGAATGTAGTCAGGTGTAGTTGAATGTAGTCAGGTGTAGTTGAATGTAGTCAGGTGTAGTTGAATGTAGTCAGGTGTAGTTGATTGTAGTCTGGTGTAGTTGAATGTAGTCAGGTGTAGTTGCATGTAGTCAGGTGTAGTTGAATGTAGTCAGGTGTAGTTGAATGTAGTCAGGTGTAGTTGAATGTAGTCAGGTGTAGTTGAATGTAGTCAGGTGTAGTTGATTGTAGTCTGGTGTAGTTGAATGTAGTCAGGTGTAATTGCATGTAGTCAGGTTTAGTTGAATGTATGATAAATATGAAAAAAGTATACAGAGAGTTGAGCATTATAAGATGTTTCTGTTGTGTTAAATTGTGCTAACTTTTTTGTTTTTTTTTGCTACTTGGTCCATTTATATAAAACTTTTAATATGGCCATGGTTGTAAATAAAATTATACACCCATCGCCATATTAAAAGTTTTATGTTGGGAAATTATATTTCTACTAAGAATAAACCTGTTTTATAAATAAATTAGAATGATTTGAATCGATTAAAATCGACATATTTTTGTTTACAGGAAAGCATATCATTGTTGAATGACAGTGGCCTCAGCAAACCTGTTACTCCCACTGGACGATATTTTGTAGATGTAATATATCAAGAAAGGAGTCATGTATTGTCTTTCTATAAATATTGGATATAAATGAAGATGAACATGTTGTTTTTATGTAGGATTTAGATGATAAAAATATGGACTTGTCGAAATCAACATTTGCAGATATGGATACTGTGAAATCAAGTAAATATTTCTATTCATGCTGGCAATAGAAGTCTTATATCAATAATTTCTAATTAGCAGCGATTTTAAAAAACACTTGAGAAAAACGACGATTTTTTTGAGAGCAAACATGTTTCGACATTATCAGAATGCCATCTTCAGTGCAGAATGATTAGTGTTAAGTAATATGATACATAATATGATATGAATAAATTAATTACAATGAGTATTAAGTATTAAGAACTATAACATAAGTTCTAAAAATAAGTATTAAGAACTATAACATAAGTTCTAAAAATAAGTATTAAGAACTATAACATAAGTTCTAAAAATAAGTATTAAGAATTTATAACAAAAATGTTATTATAAAGTAAAAATAGTGTTGTAGTGGTGAACTTGGATATTTAAATCGGGATTAGTTTTATTAATGTGTAGAGCTTCCTTGATTTTGAGTGAGAAAGTGGATTGATCAGTGTCGATGATTTTAAAACAGGAAGGTGAGAATTTGTTTTTACATGAAGGAGAGGCTTGAAGATGTTTGTAGATAGTGGAGTTTTTGTCTGTGTGAGTATGTTCCTTTATCCTGGTAGATAATTGAAGATGGCATTCTGATAATGTCGAAACATGTTTGCTCTCAAAAAAATCGTCGTTTTTCTCAAGTGTTTCTTATATCAATATTAGGAGTGTCTCGTTCTTTTGTTGAACCCAAAACTTTTACTGAGAAAGGAATGGCACTTGCGGTCATATTCTAAAAGCAGGCTCACTGAGTACAACGCAGAAATTTTGTTCTCGCTGATAAAAATGGTAACTCATTTTTCCATTGATGGCAAGATTTTTTCAAAAATATCCCTAATCAACCCATCATATGAGATGATTTAGAAATCACACTCTGTGTGAGTATGAGTGAGATTTTAGAATACAGAGAGTGTTAGAGCATTCTACTTAGTGCAGACACAAAATTGATGTGTGTTTAGACTTTAGAGCGCCAAAAACGCATCACGTGATCAACTCATTTGAAGTTTATTTATAGACTTCGACGACCTTCTCGAAGGTTTTGCAAAAACGCTCACTACCCTGACACATTCATCTCAAGTTTTCCAACTGATAGAAGAATATGAAAGAGTGAGTTTAGTTCTTAAGAACTACGTTTGAAAGATGCAATCTTGTTTCATGATGTACATGTCACGTTTTGAACATTCTTTTACATAGATTTGCGACGAAACTGCCTCTTCCATATACAGTTTTGCTCGGAAAAGCACTCCGGGCAGACCAAGGTCGGTTTATCCATAGAAAAAAGTGCTCTTTTAGGAAACTTGAATTGTTGTGATTTGTGAAAGAGCCTGATGTCATGGCTCATGTTGCATGACGTCATGGGACATAAGTGTATGACGTCACTACATTACACCATTAGTGCTTTAACACATTTTCTTCCACAGATTTTCCAAACGTATAAAACATTTGGATGTGACGAATCAAGAAAAATATACGTGGCGGTTAATCTTGTATTTGTTTAGGTGAGGGTTTCAATCTTGCCCTTTTCGAAAGATTTCCTTTAGAATCAAAATGCGTTTTATTGTTATTAACGGCTTGAGTATATGTGGTCAATTGAATACGAAGTTAAGGTGGAAATATATCAAGTTGGTATATATGATCTTGGGGATATTTACTGCTGGTGTTTTAATGATGTCTTAGTAAATTCATTGACTAGTCTATCGCTTAATGATATGATGCCCGACATATTTTAAGGTGTTTTGCGTTGTCTTTTGAGGGTTTGCATCTGTTGGTTACATTCCCTTAGTCCTCATCGAACAAGTTAAATGCTCATGTTTCAAATGAATATTTCTTTTGAAGGAAATGAATATTTCTTTTACAGGAAATGAATATTTCTTTTGCAGGGATAGACTGGAGGCAGCTGAGGATTATGATGTTGATTTGGTGTCGGAGACGATGACTGGAGATATCGTTAGTGATGAGTAAAATCTTTAAATGTTTGTAGATGTAGGTCGTCCAGGTTGGTATAGTCCTGAGAAGGACTGTTTTTGTTGTTGTTGACTGACGTTTCGACAACCTTAGCAGTAGTCATCTTCTTACGTCATTGTATTGTGTGTACAGGAAATGTGTGGGTGTCAATTGTCGAAACGTCAGTCAACAACAACAAAAACAGAACCTTCTCAGGACTATACCAACCTGGACGATCTACATCTACAAACATGTAACGATACTCCCGGGTTTAAACCATTTACTTGAGTAAAATCTTTATTGAGTTGATTTCCCTTTTAATCTACGTACTCAAGTTTATAAAATGGACAGAAAAAAAGAGTGAGAAAAATTATTACATACTTGCACAACGTACGCTGTGATCGCCATGACTTCATGTCGTTCATCGGTTTAAAAAACGAGGCAATTGGTTTTCATTTAAGGGGTGCGGGGTGGAGTTTGTTAAATTCTCGAGAGAAAGTGAATAATTAAATCACCATTTATCCTAGTGTGCATCGTTGTAGGTCAGAAATAAAAGCGAGAAAGAAATAGTAATTGAGCTTTTCAAAAGAGAAGCGACCACTCGACGTAACCAGGTTCGGATAGAACCATTTTTTAGCTGATTTCAAGATATTATCATGCTTACGGCAGTGTGCAAATTGCATTCGTTTTTCTCGTGTTTTTAGCTGGTCATTGATTGGTTAGAGAAAAATAGTGAGGATTGGTTGGAGAATTTTATTGAATCGGAAAACGTGGAATATTTTGGAAACTTTTATAATTGGTAAACTTTTTCTCTGCCCATGATGAGGCATGCATATTTAACCACAATGCGCTGCGAGGTGTACTTTTTTGTAGCTTTTGTTTTTGGATGCTTGTTCTTTTGAAGGGAAAATACTCTTCACTTTCTGGAACAGAATGGATTGTCGACGACACCAAGACGTCCAATCGTCACTGAAATGGTGATCAAATTAAATTGTTACTTTGTCCGCGTTGCTCAAGTGCACGTTTTAATCCACCCGGTGGGGAAATTCCCCTTAAGGCTCGATGTGGAATAAGCTTTGTTTCTTCGTGGATAGTGTGTAGGGAACTGGCTCTGCCGAAACCTTTATAGGGGGATCTGACTCTACCAAAATCTGTAGTGTTCTCTTTTACTTGTGTTTTGAATGTATTTGCTATTGGTGTGACAGTTTTTAGACAAATGTCTATTAGTATACATGAATTGATGTGGTATGTGTATTCAAGAATTCTTTTGTGAATGATTTTGCTTTTTCTTTTTAGGATCCTGACGCACCCGCAAGGCAGAACAGGCCAATAGCGGATCTTGATATTGTGAGTGAATTTCGTCTTCACTCACTTTCCATGCAGCCTTTTGCAGGGGTTGATTTACTTTGGGAGGGTGCAAAAGCTTTGTTAGAGGGAGTATTCATGAGGGTGCCGATTTCCCAGCGAAATATAAAAATGAAAAGGAATTAGGCCAAAGGAATTTTAAAAAGTGTCAAAATTCAACATACATCTGACATGACACGCTGACATGCAGAAAGTAGACGATGAAATGCAATCTAAACTGGAGCACACTCCTTAAAAATCATCCAGGATCCATGTCTGGCTATTTGTTCTATGATTCTTTTACAGGAAGACGAGAAGAGATTGTTGAAGCACTTGTTTGCATACATCCGTGCTGGAAAGCTTCAACAGGTCTTGTAGAAACTGCTTGTTGCATACACAGAAATTTATGCGCTGTTTATCGCTCACGTGGGATTCGTAAAATAGAATCAAACTGTCGGCTGAATGAGCGAGTTCACTGTCAAGTTGACTACATTGTTTTGTCGAGTTCTTTCATCTTTCTTAAATTGCAATTGCAGTATTGCTCCTCGATAAATATATTTTTCTTCTAGGCTCAAGAACTTTGTATTAAATGTGGTCAGGCTTGGCGGGCTGCCACTATGGAAGGATGGAAATTGTATCACAACTCAAATTCTCTCAACGAAGGTATGTAAATCGATGTGTGTATCGAAGAATTGATGGCACCTGGAAAGAGATCTAAACATATGCGGATATGTTCCAGTGTCGTTGATTCGAAAGTACTTGTTTTGTTTTTGTGTGACATGGCTGTGATTATCAAGCACTCACAACGGTGTAACTGGTCTGTGTAGTTAGCGCTAAATCTCGTTTGATATTGGACATTTTTTATCATTGTGAGTGATGTGATAGACATTCTCTATCCGACGACATAAACAATCATACAAATCATTACGAATTTCCACTACACTAGACTGTATTTCCTTTATGTTCCCTTGTGTCTTCATCCATCAGAGATTTATTATTCGACAACTTCTACTTCTTAGACTGGAAGAACGGGAAATTTCAATCCGTCGAGGGGAACCCCAATCGTGACATTTGGAAAAATTGCTGTTGGAATTTAAGCGAGCAGGTACAATGTAGCAAGTACAATATGGTTCGTTTTTCATGTACTCCCCATCCCTACTCCCCCCCCCAGTTTCCCTCTCTTTTCGTGAGATATCACTGAAAGCGATTATGTCATGTGATATGCTGAGTTGAATTTATCAATTTAGGATTGTTACGATTCTTACGAAAGAGCAATTTATTCAGCACTAGGTGGAAATTTACAGCAGGTTGGTAGGTTTGACAGTTTCATATAACTGTTATCAAAGATTGTTGGTCATTTGCCATCAAAAGTAGTTATTTGTATTGATCAACTAATCTCCCAATACCAATGTTTCAAGCTAGACAGAGGTATCAAACTTAAAGGGCTTAGAAAAAAAATTTACTACTTTTAAAACTACAGCAGACTTCGTATAACAGTTTATGCGTATCTCTTTACATCGTCAAGATACTAAAGTTATGTTTTGTTTAAAATGTGCCATTTTGTTCGACCAGTGACGTCATGTTGCATAATCAGAATTTTAATTACCAAGTATATTTGATGAAATTCAACTTCAACCGTGCAAAGATACCTTCGTTAAGTAGTTTTTTACGATATTAAAGCCTTTCCCCAATACTTCAATGCGTCAAGTTAGGTAGAGAAATCACTTGTTATGTGTTATTGCAAAGTGCGAGCTACACTAACAAATAATGATTTTGTACATCTGTTGCAGCTGTTGCCTGTTTGTATCTCATGGGAGGACTGTCTATGGGCGTATTTTAAAGTTATGGTCGATGTTCGAGTTGAACAGGTTTGTAATCAATCGTCAACATTTATTTTCTTTCATTGTTCCTGTTTGTCCATTGTTTGTCCACTCCACCATTCCATTGTCCACTCACCATTCCATTGTCCACTCCATTCCATTCCACTCCATTCATTGTCCACTCCATCCACTCCATCCTCCACCACGTTCATTGTCCTCACTCCATTCTTCCATCCGTCCATTGTCACTCACTTACCACCTCCATTGTCACTCCCACCACGACCATTGTCCTCCACTTCATTGTCCACTTCTTCCATTCCATTGTCCTCCATTCATTCCATCCATTCCATTCTTGTCCATTCCATTGTCCATTCCATTCCTCCATTCCATTGTCCTCCATTCCTTCCATTCATTGTCCACCATTCCATCCATTCCTTCCATTGTCCATTGTCCACTTCCATCCATTCCATTCCATTCCATTGTCCATTTGTCCATCCACTCCTTACCATTGTCCACTCCCACCATTCCATTGTCCTCCTTCCATTCCATTCCCTCCTTCATTCCACTCCTCCACCATTCATTCCTCCACCATTGACCATTCCTCCTCCCCACCACGTTCTTTGTCACTCCCTCCACGTTCATTCCTCCACCGTTCTTTGTCACTCCTCCGACCGTTGTCACTCACCACGACCATTGTCACTCACTCACCACGACCATTGTCACTCACTCATCACGACCATTGTCACTCACTTACCACAACCATTGTCGCTCACTCACCACGACCATTGTCACTCACTCACCACCACCATTGTCACTCACTCACCACACAGCAAATGCTAACATAATCATATTGTAGGTGTAAAGTGTGTAGGTAAATTTGTTTGCACTAAGCTTTGTAGACTGTCGATATCTGTAGTTTTTTTGATTGAATTTAATTGCAGGAGTTAAGAACAAAGGCTGATCGCACATTTGAGAATTTGACCTCCGAGTACTGGGACCAAGTTTTGACCCAAGAAAAAATATTCAAAGAACTTCATTATAGCAAAAACGAAGTACTGTACTCCTGTTTAAAGCTAAGGATCGAGAAATCATGAAATTTCTATATTCCATTTATGAGAGATGGTTGAGTGCCGAAATTAAGGATCCTGTTTTGTACAATTCTCCAGGCAGTGCGCGATGCTTCGAATTCACAATATCACATCATTCAAAAGTACATTATTATCAACGACATTGACGGTGAGTGGAGAAGATACAAGAAAATATTCTAGTATTTCTTTTGACTGACTTATTACCAAACAATGTCAAAACGTGAGACATAATACTCTTTATGAGACAGACTCTTCTTGCATTTGATTACTTGATGCGGTAACTTTGCTTTAGTTTGCTTTACGTGATGTTCCCAGTGATTTTGTTGTGTAAAGTTCATGAAATTTATTTGATTATAAACTGCAGGACTTGTTGAGGAAATGTATGGTTGGGTTCGTGACGGAACATCGTCTTCACACATGCTTCGATTCATGGTAAGCCGTGTGGTACAATAAGGTATATCGTATTTCTACTTGTTTGCAGCACGGGGGGGGGGGTTGTGTGTGTGTTATTTTTATGACCTTTCAATCGAAAGGAAGCACAATAAATTTTCACGCGAAATTGCTAGCGCACACTAGTTCATGCAACGCATGCTTCAGTATCAATTTCTATTTGTTAAAATACGTACCTAATCCAGTGCGTGCTTTTTTGTTAATTTACGTTTTGTTACAGGCCTCGATAAAGTATTTCACTTCTTGTTAGCAAATATCCAACATAGAGTATTCCTGATAAACTAAAATTCCCGCAAACAGAACTGTATGTTGTTTTATTTGCTCTTAATGACATTTAGGCACATTTCATATTGCTGCTGAGAACTGTGGGCTTGGAGACCAAAGTATGTCACGTAGTTGGACAATTTCTTGTTTTTTAATCAATCGTTTTCGACATTTTTTTCCCGTATTTTTTTTTGAGGACGAGATGTGTCAATCGATTTTACAGTCGTTTGTCGAGGTTCGTGTAAAGGTTTCTTTTCAGTATACGCAAAATTGTCTTTTCATTAAAGTAAACATCCAAATTAGGGCAACACAATGTTACTCACAAAAATGAGCATTGCCTCTTCATCATAAACACATGAAGTGACTTCCCTTCCGTAATACTGATTTTTCTCTTGCAAGTTGTTGATCAAGGAAAGGCAGTTGAAACTCGTAGCTACTTACACTCGCCATCTTCCCGGTGATGTTCAAGTTGCTGTCTATTCAAGATTCTTGGAAGGTAGCTATCGATCAAATTAGAATATTTTTTTTAAGTTGAATGCTCATGATATAATTAGCTATACATCGAACTAGAATATTTTCTTTTTAAGTTGAATGCTCATGATATAATTAGCTATACATCGAACTAGAATATTTTCTTTTTAAGTTGAATGCTCATGATATAACTATCTATACATCGAACTAGATTATTTTCTTTTTAAGTTGAATGCTCATGATATAATTAGCTATACATCGAACTAGAATATTTTCTTTTAAGTTGAATGCTCATGATATAATTAACTATACATCGAACTAGATTATTTTCTTTTTAAGTTGAATGCTCATGATATAATTAGCTATACATCGAACTAGATTATTTTCTTTTTAAGTTGAATGCTCATGATATAATTAGCTATACATCGAACTAGAATATTTTCTTTTTAAGTTGAATGCTCATGATATAATTAACTATACATCGAACTAGATTATTTTCTTTTTAAGTTGAATGCTCATGATATAATTAGCTATACATCGAACTAGAATATTTTCTTTTAAGTTGAATGCTCATGATATAATTAGCTATACATCGAACTAGAATATTTTCTTTTTAAGTTGAATGCTCATATAACTATCTATACATCGAACTAGATTATTTTCTTTTTAAGTTGAATGCTCATGATATAATTAGCTATACATCGAACTAGAATATTTTCTTTTTAAGTTGAATGCTCATGATATAATTAACTATACATCGAACTAGATTATTTTCTTTTAAGTTGAATGCTCATGATATAATTAGCTATACATCGAACTAGATTATTTTCTTTTTAAGTTGAATGCTCATGATATAATTAGCTATACATCGAACTAGAATATTTTCTTTTTAAGTTGAATGCTCATGATATAATTAACTATACATCGAACTAGATTATTTTCTTTTTAAGTTGAATGCTCATGATATAATTAGCTATACATCGAACTAGAATATTTTCTTTTAAGTTGAATGCTCATGATATAATTAGCTATACATCGAACTAGAATATTTTCTTTTTAAGTTGAATGCTCATGATATAATTAACTATACATCGAACTAGATTATTTTCTTTTTAAGTTGAATGCTCATGATATAATTAGCTATACATCGAACTAGAATATTTTCTTTTTAAGTTGAATGCTCATGATATAATTAGCTATACATCGAACTAGAATATTTTCTTTTTAAGTTGAATGCTCATATAACTATCTATACATCGAACTAGATTATTTTCTTTTTAAGTTGAATGCTCATGATATAATTAGCTATACATCGAACTAGAATATTTTCTTTTAAGTTGAATGCTCATGATATAATTAGCTATACATCGAACTAGAATATTTTCTTTTAAGTTGAATGCTCATATAACTATCTATACATCGAACTAGATTATTTTCTTTTTAAGTTGAATGCTCATGATATAATTAGCTATACATCGAACTAGAATATTTTCTTTTAAGTTGAATGCTCATGATATAGTTAGCTATACATCGAACTAGAATATTTTCTTTTTAAGTTGAATGCTCATGATATAATTAGCTATACATCGAACTAGAATATTTTCTTTTTAAGTTGAATGCTCATGATATAATTAGCTATACATCGAACTAGAATATTTTCTTTTAAGTTGAATGCTCATGATATAATTAGCTATACATCGAACTAGAATATTTTCTTTTTAAGTTGAATGCTCATGATATAATTAGCTATACATCGAACTAGAATATTTTCTTTTTAAGTTGAATGCTCATGATATAATTAGCTATACATCGAACTAGAATATTTTCTTTTTAAGTTGAATGCTCATGATATAATTAGCTATACATCGAACTAGAATATTTTCTTTTTAAGTTGAATGCTCATGATATAATTAGCTATACATCGTATGTACCTTCGCGGTTAGACCTCACAACATAGACTTTGTATTCTCTGCTCAACGTTTTTAGACATAGAAGACAAATCCGACAGGAAACTCTGCTTCGAATTGGCTGAATCTGCTGGTTTGGACATTGCAATGATCACGAAAACAGTCGTCGAGAACATCTGTGGCAAGGTTGCAATTGAAAAGAATATTTTTATGCATGTCGTTAGTTTACACGCTGTTTAAATTTCGGATTCATTTTTCTTCTGAATTAATTATTGATGATGACTACGTGTCTGTTCTTCATAAAAACTAAGATTTTTTCCTTTTTATACTTCTCCTAAACGTAGGATGATTTCAAAGTGCAAGACGATGAAACACTTCACGTTGCTACGTCTGAGGTATGCGGGGTCTTTAGCGTTATGAAATCCGTTTACTTCGTGTTTTTTTTCCTTTCTCGTTTCTATGTATCATCGTTTTTGCTAATTAGGAAGACAGGCATAAAATAACAGCAATCGAATGGTTAATTTTTGATCCCTCTCAACGTGCTGAGGCCATCAAACAGAGCAATGCGATTGTTAGATGTTTTTTGGGTGAGCATTTGTATTGTGTTTAGTTGTAATCAGAGAACTTCATCCCTCTGCTTCCAGGACTTTGTCAATAGCTAAGCTTCAACTTAGGTAAATTTTTTAACATAAACATCGCTTGCGACGTTTCCTTAAATTCTTGTAGTAGGAATTTCTAGCCCGAAAACCAGGCTTCAACTCAGCCCGCAACTCAGCCCGCCAGCTTAAATCCTTTTATTCGATCTGTCGTCCCTGAAAACCTAGATTGTTAGTTTTGTTGTCTTTGATCTGAAGATTTTGGATGTGTTTAAATCGTTGCTATGCCAACAGCACTCAGGAAGCACGAAGCTTGTAGAAGCATATTTGAAAAACTTCCCGAAGACTCGATCGATGTTGTCCATCGTTATTGGCAAATGAAAGTTAGTATTCTTCTTTACAATTGAAGTATTTGACGTTGAAGAGACCGTTTGAATAAAGTCGCACCACAAAATCGATGTATTATCAAATTGATTTTGTTTTCCGTTTTTTTAAAGGCTGGAGATTCACCTCTGACTCCTGAAGACAACAACACTATCCGAGAGTATCTTTGCATCAAGGCTTATCTGGTTAGTAGTAACGTCGTTTTTCTTGTGTTATTTACCACATGCCAATTTCTTCAGTGATCTTTGAAATCTGCAGATTTGTTTTCCTCACCGAGTATTTCATAACTTTCGATACCATGGAAGAATATAGCAGCTTAGTAACTTTATGGAAGATGTTGCAAAAACACACTTACTTTTACTAATCTCGACATCTTGTGAAGATGAAATTTTACCACTAGTTAATTTCTGCAAGATGTATTTCAGTGATAATACAACATTAAACTTACTCCGGATTTTTTCAATTTTCATTTCAAGGATGCGTTAGAGGCATTCGACGTTTGGTTCGAGCATTTTCATCAAAATGCACCTGTAAGTAAGGTCTTCAATTGTTTAATCGTTATAATGCATATTGCAAAAATCAAACGCTTTAAAGATGGGCAGGTCTTGACAAGGGAATGGTTTAATCTTATCTTGTACCTTTTATAAACTACGTTTCATACCTCGCGTAGATTCAAAATTTTACATTTTTATCGTTTATAAATTTCATATATAGCTTTTTTTACTACATTGTAATTTAGCTTCTTAAACAATGAGTCTCACGTTAATGCTTTGCGCGCTTAACCGTTCATAGTGATAGCCACTTTCGAGACATTTAAAAGCGCGGCACATTTAGTTGTTACTGCAGCAATATATTTATTTCAACTGAAAAGTCTGGTGCATCATTTCCAAAGCGCGGTAGGCCAAGAAATGATGAAGAAATAGCAAGAGTGAAGTCAAAGTAAGACGTATTTTACATTTGGTTAGTCAGAAAACAATCTATAAACTTTTTTATCAGATATCGTCAGTTTAATGCCCGAAGCAAACACGAGGGAGCAAAACATTACCTTGAGAGTCATTCTTATGTATACGTCATTATGTATACGTCATTATATTTATTCATTTGCACATTGGTTTCTTTCTTCGATGCTTTGCATGTTCATTCATAGAAATTACCCAAATCTAAAGGAACCTTTTCCTTCACTGAAAAAGTCGCTTATGAACAAGAACTCAAGTTATATGAGGTAATCTTGAGATTTTTTTACGATATCATGGCTAGGAACGGCTGACATGCAGAGCCAGGGAATTTTCGAGCAAAAATATTTTTGCGCTCTCATCACTCGACCATCCTCACTGTGATTTATAAATATAGGCTGAAAGAGAGAGATGGCAAAGAGCTTTAGACGTACATACCAAGGTATGTGGCTCATCTATGTTTTTGACTAGTTCAGAGACCGCTTGAAGTCGTTGTGGAAGCGAATAAGTATCACCCTCGACTTTTATCGCCTGTTAGCTTCGATTGATTGACCTTTGTTTGATGATTTTTATCAATTAGCTGTCTGCTGCTGAAATTACGTATTAAGCACGTTTTGACAAATCAGGAAAGAGAAAGCTTACCAAATTCCTTGTCTCTCCAACCTTTGTAACCCCCATCCCCCCACTGTTACTGAAACCAGATGTATGAGTAATTAGGATGGCGTTTTGTTGTAGGAGACAACGGAACGCATATATAATGTACTTCTCTTTCCTGGAGGATGGATGGTGGATCTTGATGAGGTATTATAAGATTGAAATATATAATGATGTGTTGGTTGTGGTTAGAGAAACCTCTCATCAAGACCGCTCTTTCAAGAATGTTTGTTGGTAAAAAGTTTTGCCTTTTGCAATTTTCGAATATAAACATTGCCTAGAGTATTCTGAGTGCATCAAAGAAATTGTAAACCTTTGGAAACACTTGACATTCAGAATTTACGCAATTCTGCAGTAATTTATCTTCGAGGAGCCATAAACGCGATTGAAAGGAATTTCATGTTTGATACTCGCAGTGTACGGTAGCCGCGATTCCTTTGTTTTGTAAATGATACACGAGCATCTCACTTTTGGTAGGACTTTGCATTTGAGCGTAATTTATCAATTGAAATAGTCGCTCTGTGGTTAATCGAGGCATTTTGCAATCGAAGTGATTCTTCCACGTAATGGAAAATGCTTTACATTATTCTAATTTACACAATGTACGAAATGACTACATATACTGTAATGACTACAGGTGTATGAAAAGTTGCGAAGGCAATGGAATACCAAATGGCGCAGTTACTGATATTTAAATCATATGGTTGCTATTTCTCAATAAACCCCGTAGAACTATGTCTTGTCACTAAGATTATTGCTATCACCGTACTAGTGGCCTTAAAAGATAAGAGAGTACTGTCTTCTTATTATTACAGGAGGAAATTGCACGCGAATCGCGAGCTCGTCAAATGCTTCTATTACGACAACTGTGCATACCGTTTCTTACGTTTTTACTACAAAGCGTGCTCTCGTCTGCTCACGAACATAAACGGTGTTTGCAGCTTGCTGATATTATCGCATCTCCAAAATTATCTTTGTCCGATGTAAGTATTGTCAAGAAAGTTCTCATTAAGTGCCTTATGAAATACATATGTGACATTGATATTGACAACCTTGTTTTATGTAGGTGTTCCGTAAGGATGAATTGAGAAAACTTCTCTCGCTTCTGCGACAGTCATCGATTCACATACTGGAAAATACGAGCGACCCTTTAGGGTATGAGATCAAGTGAGATGGAAAATACGATTCATTTTGGTCGTGTGTATATGTGTCGATGATGCCTCAAATTAAAAGTCGTCGAACATTGCGTCTTTTAATGTTAATTCTGACGTATAAACAATATCGACTTTTGATCGATCCCAACTTTTCTACTCGTTGTAGTATCTGTAATAATCTCAATGTAGGAATTTATCTATTCATGTCTCAAATCGTGCTTCATGAACTGCATTCTTTGTCAATTGACTATCATGTAGTGGAATTTGCACGCTTTCAATTGACCTGAGGCCCTCGATCCATCCAGTTTCCTCTTGCGGTCTTTGATACAACAGATGAAGCTATTATTAGAGATTGTATACATGATTATATATTTAAAATATTTCATTAACGATACGTTTGTACGTCACAGACCGCAATAGGAAACTGTATGAATCGGGCTATGTAGGGAGTGTTGTTATTTATGTATGTTTTTTAAATTTTTTTGCTGCTATCGCGAGCAAAAAACGACCAGCATTAGAATGAAAGCCATGAACTTCGAAATTTTCTGGTAAGAATATTTTCATGGCACTTTTTTTTATCATCTGACTTGTTTTCAACGACGCATCTGAACGTGAACAGGACCGTCAAAGAGGTACGCTTTCGGATATACGATGAGATGACGTCAATAGTACGAAAAATGTGGGTGTATTGCATGCTCTTAAAGTCTTTCTGTTGACTTAGATATATGAAGATGTGACATGTTACTGCTATAAATAGCAATGCGAAGAACAGTATGAACAGACATGACGTCATCGAGTGACAAAAATGTTCACGTGGCGTGGTTTTGATCCAACATCCATTAACAGCCGCCAATGAATAACCCGGGTTTCTCAAGGATGTCGTGAAGCAAGGAGGTTACACCCACAGAAATAACCTGTTTTGACAAAATAAAATTTACTTATATAGCAGCAAACTTGAAATATCACTTGGTATATTTTTGACAAAATACACAAGCACTGACGATTACTTAAAATGAGACCAAATTTTCTGTGCACCGTAAACTTTAACAGGGTTTCTTGGTTCTACATGATAACAACTCAAAATCACACTAATTTTTTTAAAACTTGGTTTTTCACACCACCACTTGCCTCATCTATTCCTTTGTTTCAACCAACCCTTTCGCGAAGTCTATGAAGTTTATAAGACTCGAGTTTATTGAACGCAGGCAGCTTCTCCTGTCTATTTTCTGTCGCAGGCAGTTTCTCCTGTCTATTTTCTGTCGCAGGCAGTTTCTCCTGTCTATTTTCTGTGCTGTGTGTCATCCTGAAATAAAACTGCTACGTGACTAACTCTCTATCTATGATTCCGTTATCTAGAAATGTTTGAAGATGTAATTGCGTAGCTGAAGGGCCACTTATAGATGTACGTATTTAATATCTTATCGAATGCAGCTTGTGTTTATGGATTGTCAAAACAACGACTGGCATCTGTAGTTTTCTAGAACAATTCTTCATTCGAGTGTCTTGTGAAGTCCCTCCAAGAATTTCTATTCAATCAATGATATTTTTCATTATTCGTAGCCAGTTTTGTTTTGTTCTTCATCATTATTTGCAATGCAAAATTCACTGGATGATAATCCCAGTTCAGTTATCGCAAGTATAAATATTCAACGGAATAAATTTGTCTTTATGAGAACTCCATGCTGTGAAATAAATAATGATGTTGTGGGGCGTGTATGAAAAAAGGCGTACGTCCACCGTTTTTTAGTTAAACAATCCATGTATATTTTCTTGTTTTGCCACATTTTCATGCATGCTGACAATGATTGCTTATATTCACCTAAATTCTCGATGTGCGTGTATCGACTATGTTGATAACGGTCCAATATCTTATCTCAAAGCAGGAAAAGTTAGAGCCTTCACAGGAAAGTAGTGGACCTTGTTTCCGTCTAACTTTATTTGTATTCTTAACAGACAGCTTTCAATCTACGACGGAGTAAAACTGGGGTATTCACTCTGCTGACTTTCGCTTATGTTGATCAAAATTAAGCCCGTTGTTATCATGGTTTTTACTGCGAACATGTGACATAACATATGGTACAGAATTTCACGAAAGATAACACAGGTATGTAAAATAGCGTGAAGTTCAGTGTGTAACTGTCATTACGCCCAGCGCTCGAAGGTCTCATGACAGAGCCACGATAACTTTATCTCTTCTGTACTTTTCAGACGCCTTAATTTGGTGATCTAATCACAATAGGAAACTACAGGTATGCTGCTAGTGTATGTGTAGATTATTAAACGTATGAATCAATGATGTTTAGATGTCTATCGAGGATAAAGTATGTGCTATTTAATACATAGACCGTCCGTCGATAGAGCTATTCTGAAATGATGACCTTTAAATATATATGAGCTTCCTTTCACGTTTATATATCCTAAAACATTGCTTGCTTCACGTAGTTTGCAGATGTTTTTGAAAAGCTTTTATAAAGTATTGCTTGCTTTACGAGGCTTGCAAATGTCTTTTCCCCCGCACTCATTCGTTATTTTATGACTGTGGACCTGTTGCATACTACCTGACCCTGTCAACTCAGCTCAAAAAGTCTTAAAATAACTATCGCAGCCTAGTATTGATTCTCTTACATACTTGTGAAGTGACCATAAGCAAACATCTAAAAGTGCATTCATAATTTCATACTCTTTAATGCTATATTGCTATTTGCTTGGCATTTTGTTTCTGACATCGTCATCTACGTCACATTGTGTACGTCATATCTTGTTTACACAGCAAAAAACTGTAGCAAGCTCTTTTGCGTCATCTATGTTAGAAATGCAGTTATACATCGTATGTGTTCGTTAGTGTTGGTGTCTGACATGTTACTTATCATGGAAAAGTTCCCGTTTGATCTTTTTTTGAGTTTCTTTGTCGGCAATCTGTAGTTAGCCCTTCGACGTGATTCATGAATCTAACATGGTTTGGGGGAAAAAACCTTGAAAATTGTTTTAAAGATAGCAATTGCCATGGTAAATTTCGAAAATAACCTAAGTGCTCTAAAAAGAACTTTACAATGAGAACTCCTTAAGGTTATTTTGGCCGTTCACCATCGCAATTGCTAGCTTTAAAACAATTTTTGGATTTGTCATCACGCCAAATCTCGATTTCACTATCTAGGAAAAAACTTTGAGTGCGATTTATCTGACGAACTCGTCTTGTCACAATCACGATTTTTTCCTGTTGTTGCTCTTGCATGAAATGCCTTCTTTATCAATGCTTTCTTGTTGTTCTTCTAGCACGTAATGTCTTCTTTATCATGCACGCAGCTGCATTTCTAAGTGTATAAATATCCTCTCTCTTAATGTATTTTATAATCCTTCCACTCTGCTTCTATTTCTTCTAATTAATTTATTAAGTAATTTACGTATTTTTCAAAACAATATTGAGTCTTTTTTCTCACTCAACAGCGACTGCTATCACGTATCTTCATAGCAGAAGGTAGAAATATTTTCCATTTTAGATGCGAACTTTTCTGTTAAATTTATTTCTTAATTTTACACAGAAAGTATTTGGATCACACTGAGGCACCATATCACAGCGTTGTCTTTCTCTTTTTTCTTTCATCACTCGCCAACATTTTTCGATAGCCGTTACCTTGCCATGTAACAAGTTATTTCTCACTTCCCATTAATCACGGTGTACATATCACTTCAAACGTCGAAGTGTAACCGAAATACAAAAAAATAGATCATCGAATAGATCGTCTATCTTAGGTGATCTATTCGATTGTGATCTAAACGCATAAGTTTATCGTTTGAAACCATGTCTTTGAATGTATAAATACAGCTGGAGACTTGAGTAAAAACATTATTTAACAAACAGATATTGAGTCTAGTGAATGTTGGCAAACTGCCTTTAAGAGACGCGTCCCGTGGGATTGCTTCCCAGGGTGCCAAATATAGATGTCCTAATTGGTCCGCCATATTTCTTAATTTAATTGATTGTCATAATATACAACTGTGGGTGTTGACATGTTTCCACTTATATCCATCCCTATAAAGTGCAGCGTTATGTATAACCACATGTGGAAAGGGAACTCTCTTGTCAACACCGAAGATACAGGTCTCGACTCGATTCGTTATTTATACGAATATAATATAATCTACACGTGTATAGTAATTTGTGTGGCCCCAGTAAGGTAGTGTGTTGGGAGGTTGTACCATTCTTTCAGGTGTATATATATATAGATATATTGTTTAAAAACGTCTTTAATTACCAATTTTTAAACGTACAAAGATATATGTATAACTGTATTTCATGTCATGTTTAGGAATTATTACATGAGGAATTGCTCACCATAATTTGGATTTATATACGGGATTTTGATTTTCAGGTAAGAATCCTTTGGCATGAAATTTATTTTGTATTATGCTACAGTGTTTGCGCTGCAAGGCAGGATCTACAATATCAATATGCCCCGCGGACTTTGTCAAAGGAACGCGCATCACTTGAAATAAATGATCCGTTTGCGGTCCTCTGCTTTATCTTGTACCTAGAGATAACGAAGCAATTGAGCGCGCTCCACGAATTTTTGTGCAGCTATCTTAATCAAATCTAGATAGAACACTGTACAATTTCTTGACACGTTAGAGATGCGGGATAGGGCGCAGTTATTGACATATTAATTACTATACTCATTAGTGCAAGGGATGCACAATAATTTGTCTGCGCAATGCGCTAACATGATAAAATATCGCTTGATGATTTATGATTTATGCAAAAAGAGTCAACGGTTAAGCGTTCGGCTGGGTTATTGAACATTTTTGTCGGTTCGCTGACAGTTTGTGCAAACGGTTGGTTTACAATATTGCCTTGAATGGTGTCAGTTGATGTAGCATTTATCTCGACATTATATGACGTCAATGCGTTGGTTGTTAGTCGCACAGTTTTGGGTGCGCATCCTAAAGATGGCGTGAGAATATGTTCTGGTCCTTTGTAACAGTCCATTCTAATATATTTGAAACATGACACCTTACTGCACCCTGAGGTGTATAAGAGACCGCATTTTTATTCACCATGCCCAATGGCAATAAGTGCGGTATTTTCTTGCCCGTTGGCAAAATGAGCCGGAAGACACAAATAAAATGGAAAACATCGCCTTCTTTCGTTTTTTGTTTATCTTTGATTTATTTTGAAATGTAATTGACAACTGGCCCGAATTCAGAAGCAGCAAATTCTTCTCATTAACACGTGTTCCCTTCCCGAATCATTTGCAAAACAATAAACATTGCAAAACCTGACAGAAAAATGTGCCGAAAAAATTGGGAAACTTATGTTGGCGCTAATATTGGGATTATATTTCAAACGGTGTCTCTACGGTGTAGTGTACAACATCACCTTTATTCGTTTGTTTTTGACGATGTTTGTTGTTTCTGATACTTCACGAAAATTTATAATGCTGTTTACTACATGTTGACGTAGAGCGGATGGCTCTCCTCAATTTTCACGCAACAAAAGACTTGTACTTGTTGCCTGTCAACTCTCCCACACAGATACACTCGTTTCCAGGTCTACGTTTATTGCAACCTCCGGTCCAATTTAGCATAATTAATCAAATAAATTTGCGCCATTTTCTATGCAAACTCACGCACTTTCTCTAAATAGCAATAAAAAGCGCACGTCTGCCACGGGCTTGCCGCAAAGTCGATGGTCAGATAAAATCGAAGTCAAAATTTTATCGCGCTAATTTGAGCTCATATCAACGGGGCAATCTTCTGATCATGCATGCACTCACAATATTGAGACAATCTATTTGCTTGGGCCCCTACTAATCGGATTAGCATACGCGCATGATGATTAAGGCTTGACCTCAATAAAAGCACGCGAACACTTATGTTTCTGATACAGAAGTAGATATCGGTGCGATTAACGAGCACAGGAGTTATTGACTTCGTGAACGAAAAGTATCTGGTTTATATACTCAAGCGGAAAGAAATTCTTAGGATTTAGGCGTGTTTTACGATTGTAAGAAACAGCAATAATAAAATTGTGCGCAAATTTGCTGCGAACCGCAAGGACTTCGTTTTGAATGCTGATTCATGTTTGGGTAAGTGAATTTTTTTTTCGACCGCTCGTTTCGTGCGTTGTGTGAATCATTGAAAGCGTCCTCGTCTATTTTGAGGTCGATTTGACAATTTTTCAATTGAACATTCGTTGATTTTCTGTGAACATCAACAGATCAGTTAACATCAGTTGATATATTACGTCACAAAATCCTTAGCAGCTTTGTGATTTTAATTCATTGTTCATCTGAAAGCCAGCCAATATGAATCAAAAAATTTTAAAAAAAATCACACATGCGCTTGGAATTTCACTCATTTTTTTTACACAATTGTAAGATGGCCGAAACTTTATTTGAAATGCGAGAGTTTTAGTCTTAAATATACTGAAATTTGATTTCGATACATTAACTGTCCATTTTGCCGAAACTCCAAATTGAAGTCTATGGTGTGATTTCGGAATAAAAACTGTTTTTAACTATCATATAAACACCTGTGCTTATATCTTTTGTTGTGACTATGGACAAATCATAGCTTCATCTAGAAAAAAATATGTTTGTTACGTTGTCTGGCCTATATTTATGATGGCTGTATTATAATTTTTATTCGGCGGCAATCTTTTCTACGAGGGATGAATTGAAGATTTTATTGAAGTGTCGCTAAATCAACAACTTTGCATTGTAAAATATTTATAGTAAGCGAGCATGAAGTTTCGGAGTGAAAAATTCCTTCGTGTTCAGCCTAACATGACTTTCCTTTTGTGAAGTGAACACGTTCTAGTATACGCTTATTTTTAAAGTGTGCCGCCGAGTGTCTATGATCTAGTACCGACACTTTAGTTTACCATAGCACATCCGTACAAGGAATGAAATTGTGGGATAGTGGGAACAAAAAATAATAAAAAAAGTATTCAACTGGGCAAGAAAGACGACCAAAAACACTTTCCTTGTCACGGTTTGTGGTGAACGCTCGAAGTCTGTTGTGTTGGTCTAATTGAATCCAAACATTGTTTTTTGCGTTATTATTGATATGTTTATCTACGCTGTTGTGTGTTTATACAACTCTAATGAGCAACAAATATATCACCGTTGCAATTATCATTTATCCATATGGCTGTTGCCAACTGTCTGTTGGCTGTTGGGTTAGATTGTGTGATGATGATTCTGGGGTGAGTTTTTGTTGTAAGAACGCATGCGTGTTAGGCGTTGGGGCTTGTGCGTTGTTCTCATCAATGCTTAGCGTTGTGATAGCATCCAAAAAAGTGCAAGCAACTATCCATGGTGGGCCATCTTTGAGTTTTCGATCAATCGAATGCCAGTTGTCGTAGACATCATCATTTTGCACCTGAGCTTCAATTTGTGAATCTGACTTATTAAAAGAAGATGAAGATTAGATTGAGCGTGATGAAAAGTCTGCAAATGCCTGGCATTCTTTTATTACTAGGAAAGCGAATGGAACTTTACAAGGACCTTCATTAGCCATAGAGTTTGACAGTCGTTCAATATAGCAATCATCACCTCTATTGCTCAATTCATTATTCTCTTACTTTTTTATTGCTCAATATAATGAACAACTCTCCGAAAAAATATGATGTGTAGATAGTCTACCATATTTTTACAATATGAAGCATTTGCTTTAATAAAGTAATCAAGTCGGTTTGCCACAATTTTACTGCTCCTCGTGCGTTGCTGACAAATGTATAAATAACATACGAATATTAACTGGACAATGGATTTTTAGGTTTGCATTTGAGACGGCCAAGCTCTATTCACCTAACAAAGGAGTACACGATTTCTATGAATGAAGCACGATTTTCGTACCAAAAAACCATCACTCAGTATGTCGAAGGCTTCCTAACGAAGTGATCTTTATATAAATTTTTTTCATAAAACGCAAATACCTGGTTTATATAACACGACTGCGATTTTACTATAATTCGGTACATTTTATTGAATGTTTCCAAAGGCGCCGGCATGTTTTGTTCATTCCCCTCTCTCCCTTTTGCGACCACGGACAGGCGCCACTGAACTTCTCTATCTTTCAACACCCTTTTTCAATTAGTAGTTGAAAAGACGTTCGTCTTTCATTCGGTTCTTTTAACTCAATTTTTCTTCCAGCTGGCAGAGACTAACTATGAATACTAGTGCGAACTCAAGTATGAACGCGACCGCGTCGACAACCTCTGCGATTGACCTCGGGAGTGGTTTCATAGCAAGAAACATCGTCATAGCAACTTCTGTGGCGATTCTCATCCTAGCTGCTTTCGTCGGTAACATCATAGTCGTTGTAAGTTTTACAATGTTCAGAAACCTTCGCACGATGACGAACTACTTTTTGGTCAGCCTTGCCTTATCCGATATTCTCGTGGCGGTTTTTGTTATGCCCGTGTTTCTATTGTGGGTACTTTACCAGCCACGTAATTTTTTCACCCATGCAATTGCTTTGCGCAAAATTTGGATGGTCATGGACATTGGATTTTGTTTTACGAGCGTGTGTTCTCTATGTGCCATAGCCATCGAACGAAACCTTGCTATATCACACCCGTTTTACTACACGAAGCTCATGTCTCCTTTGAGGGTCTACCTCACCATTGCCTTTATCTGGGTGTTTTCGTTGACCGTCGCCATTCTTGTGAATCATGGTGGTATAACCATAGATATAGCCAAACATTTGTCCGTGTTTGTTGCCGTGGTTAGCTATTTCATTCCGTTGTTGATTATCCTGGTTATGTACATGAAGATTTGGAGAGTTGCCCGTCGTCAAGCTAAACGTCTACGTCAGGACGGCGCCTTGGCAACGGACTTCAAAGCCATCAAGACAATAGCTATTGTTATTGGGACGTTCTTCGTTTGTTACACTCCTCAGATGATCTCTATATTTTGGATTCACTTTCGCGTAAAACCATATTTACCTACTGTTGCGAACATCATGATAAAATGGATTACGTATTTCAACTGTTGTGTTAATCCAGTGATCTATTCGTGTTTCAATAAAACATACCGGAACGGCTTTAAGAAACTCTTTGCGATCATCAAGACAAGATTTCGCGATCTTCGTACGCGCTCTAGTGACAAAAGGTCGCGAAAGATTAGCCGAAGTCGGATTTCGTTGAACATAACATTACGAACGAGTGTCGGTTCCCTATTGGACAGTTCAAAGTTGCCACCGTCCATGGCACAAGCACGTGTTTCAAACCAACAGCGTTGCTCAGTTTTGTCCACATCTCAGAACATGTTGAGCCCAGTTGATAAGAATGACAACCACGACCGTTGCTCTCTCACACAAAGCAAACAACGCAAAGAAAGTGAGGTTTTCGTGAATGTTTCTGCCGAAGATATTGCTGACTCACAACAATGATGAGACTCAGAAGAGAAACGTCCATGGATTTCCCTTGTTTCCGCAGAAAACCTTCTAAATGTGGGGACTGTTCATTTAAAATGCTGTGAACGCAATCATCTACACTAGATGTTTCAAGAACTAGATATAGAACATCACTTGTCTTTATACTAAATAGTTAACCTGGATAGTCCATGATGTCCAACGTCGACCACACGAAGACACTCCATATTCATGCTTATCTTACAAAGATCATCGAATATCTCAAACCAGTGCAGAGCTTGTGTTTTCTATATACATTCTATCATTTTAAAGGCTAGACGAAAGTCCATCTGTCAGGATATAAACACTCTAAGACACACAAATGGAACCGAATGCACTACAAAGACACATTACCGTGGAAACTTTGTTTTCCATCGTATCTGCTAAGAGCTACTGGTTTTGTAAATGTTTTTCTTTAAAATAAGTTATTTGCTAAACACTGTGATGTACTTGCTTTTACGTTTGTACATAGGATTTGTTTTTTACATCAATGCATCTTTTAATGTACATATCGTTGCTTCTCTATACTCAATTGCGCATATCAATCAGCTGCTTAAAAAATGTGATCAATCTTTCATGCAATAGGACGAAACTTTAGTAGATATGTATATTTTACTATTTAGCAGCAAAAGTATTGCTTTTGTTTGCCTGTTTTGTTTTAATATCATGAAAAACAAGATCAATCTTTAATGCCAATATTGAAATAAGCATCCAGACTTTCTTCTTTCTCGAACTTTCATTTCGTATTATGAATTGTGGTTTGTTTTTTCTATTTAGTTACATAATTGGTAATTTTGCCGATGGCTTACAATATTTTTGTAATTTCTAAGGGCCATCATGGTGTAATTCTTTTGTTGCACCAGATTCGCCTACATCGCACGACTCAAAAGAAACCGTAGACTATCTACAAGAACTTGCTAGAAGTTATCTGACCCGGTCATGCATAGGTACGTTCGACCAATGCTATGCTTTACACCATCGTGAGGAAAGTAGATTGCAATTTTATGCTCTTTGAAAGATGCAAATTCATACTTACCAGCAAACCTTGTCAAGATTCGCATTGGTAATGAAGACGAGTTATCAAAGTCTTCCTGTGGTTAGATTACGATGGTGAACTAGCTAACTAAATTTTTGAGTCTTCCTTCCGAAGCATCGTCTATACTTCGTTATCAAAATACAAATCACACTGACTCCATAAATGTGTCTTCCTTGTCTTGTGCAGGTAAATATAAAGTTGACCCTCAAAATACTCAAAAGTATGCTATGAAAATACTAAAATATATTGTCCTGAATCTGATGATGATTTTCAGAATAGGCTCTTTGACAGACAGACAATTTTTTCGAAAAACAGTAGTTTATTGACTGTTCAGTTTTTTTTTCAGACTAATTAAGGAAAGAAGGCAAAGGTCAGTTTTTTAAATGAATTCAAATATTGTTGGCAACCGTCTTGTGTATTTTCCGTACTGCTGCTTTATGTCTTTGATCACTCAGCATGATTTCACACAATGAATGATTTTTTAAGGTTGTTTATTTATGAATAAGTTTCACAAGTCTGTCAACAGCACACTTATTTATTGCATAACATGACATAACATACTTGGTGGTTCTTTTCCATGGTTACCTGCATTACCGTTAGTTATGGTAACAATGGTAACTTATAAATTTGGTAACTATGCAATTGCATTGATTGGTGATTACCATTGATGATTACCCACAAACACCTGACGAATTTCAGGCATTCAGTTTACATTTTGCACATGAATTCCTCCAATATGGACGACCAGGTTCGCTTACATTGTGATTCACTGTTATTGTCGTGCATTCATTTTCCTTCAACTGATCTTGCATGCGAATTATTTGACATTCTTTCTAATCATTTTGATTTTCAGGAGCTCGGACAATTAGAGGCAATTTGCAAGCAACTCTACGAAAGTACCGATCCTGGAGTACGAAGTCAGGCCGAGAAAACTCTGATTAATTTTACCGAGTCTCCAAATTGCCTACAGAAATGCCAAATCGTACTTGAAAGAAGCACTGTAAGTGAGCTTGAAAGTTTTGAGATGGCCATGATCAATAAGATTACCATGACTCTAGTAATAATTGTATTTAATTGTCTTAACAAGCCATTGTTTCGATTCGATAGTGTTTGCTCTGTTTTACTTTCTCTTTATATTGGTCGTATTTTTGTTATGGTCCGTACATATTGACTTAATATTCATACCCAATTCAATAAAACTCTTGATACTGTTTGTTATCAACTTTATTGCCCTTTTTTAAGCTTATTCAAGCTTATTGTATATTACAGTCTTCTTATTCACAACTACTGGCTTCCTCTTCGTTGACGAAATTGGTTGAGAGAAATTCAGGAGTGTTGACTGTGCAGCAAAAGTTGGATATAAGTGAGTTTGAATTCTATCAATTGCTCTGTTGGCGGTAAACATCAGCAAGAAGAAACTTCCAACTCTTCCTTTGAAGTTTGATTTATCAATTTTTGGGCAACACAAAGTTTCTTTTTAAAAGTTATAGCTTATTGAAGTACTTCGTGCATTGTTCTCACAATTGATCATTACATGATAGGGCCTCTGTGAGATATTTTTTTGCCTCGAGTTGTAAAGTTTCTTGCAGCAGTCTTGCATTGAGCTAAAATGGCTTATGCCTAAAACCCAAAGCATTTCCCTTGACAATGTGTTTAAATGCAATTGTTGATTTTCTGTTTTTTCTTACAGGAAATTACGTTTTGAATTATCTCGGATCAAGACCAAAACTTGTGAACTATGTGAGGCAAGCTCTAATTCAGGTATCTTAATGTCATTTTTTTATTTACCTCATTCTCATTGCCGCTTTTCATCTATTCTGTATTCTAAGCTTTTTATCCATTATTGTACATGATTATCAATCTTAGCCATGCCTATCAATATCATTTTCTCACAGTCAATATCAAAATGCCCCAGTTTGTATGAAATGATACTTTTTTGGTAACCATGTGCATATTTTTTGTTATATTTTGACATGCATGAGTAATAAATGTTAAAACTGGATGATTGTGAATGAAATCTCTAGAGTGAGTTGTTTTTGAACCTCAATGTTAAAAATATTTTGTATGTGGCAGTTGTTCAACTTTTTGTCTTTAGTTGCTTGCTAAAATCACGAAATTGAGTTGGTTTGATAATCAGAAAGATGAGTTTGTCTTTCGAAAGATTACCAATGAGATCAAAGAATTTCTTAAGGTAAAACTTCCTCTTTTGACATGATTTTATTAAGTTTTGAATAGGTATAGATACTTCTAGGATGACGTTAGGATACTTTTAGGATACTATAGGGATTCTTCTAGGATGACATAGGATACTTACAGAATATTGTAAGGTTACTTCTAGGTTGACATTGGATACTTATAAGCTACTGTAGGGATACTTCTAGGATGACATAGGATGCTTTTAGGATACTTTAGGGATACTTCTAGGATGATGTAGGACACTTTTAAGGTACTGTATAATAGTTTTACACATTTTCATATCCCTCGACAAGTTTCCCGCAAGGACAACTGTCCTTCTTGCTCTTGTTAGACAATTTACAGTTGTGTTGGTAACAAGATTAGTTTAATTTGATATTTTCAAGGGCTCCATTGAATATTGGATTATTGGTGTACAGATATTATCAGCGACCGTCTCAGAGATGAATCATGTATGTAGAAGGAGTAAATCTCCGTGAAAAACTGTAACACTGCACTGAAGTTGACTTTTTGTTTCTATAGACAAGTTCCTGTCACTCTTTGACCAAACATAGAAAGGTGACCTTTTATAATATAAAATTTGTCTGTTTTGAACCGCGCGTTTCCATTTTCAATTTGCAGTCTTTTCTTGTTCAGTTGTTTTTCCTATTTGCCATAGGAAACATAAAGTCTTCAACAGTTGAATCTTTAAAAAGCGCACCACTAATATTTTTTGCGAAATGTCTGTCTATTGTGCAGCGATTGAAAAATCTAGGTACAAGATACATAGATTACCTGTAATCACTCTTTTAGATCGCTTCTTCATTTCGTGACGTTGCTCTTTACGATATCTTCATTCTGTCTTGCTCACTGCTCAAAGAGGCGTATGAAAAACACATCAACTTACAAGATCAGAATCAGGTATCACCACCAACAACGCAAAGAGTTAAATTGGAGAGAGGAGAGAGTGAACTGTGTCTCTCGTGTCTCTATATTTCTGTATATATCTCTGTCTCCGTGTCTTTGAGTCTCTGTCTCTGTGTTTGTGTTTGTGTCTCTGTCTCTGTGTTTGTGTCTCTATCTCTGTGTTCAAGTGGTTTCTACATATCTTCTTTAGCACGTTTTAATGAGCGAATTACTCCAACTTACATGTAATTGTTTGACATTTGATTTCATTGGCACTGCATCGGACGAATCCGCTGATGAACTTGGAGCTGTGCAAGTCCCCACGACATGGAGAGAAAGTAAGCGTTCTGTGGCCGAAAGAAATAATTAGTTGTAATATATGTTAAATGATCGATATTGTATTTCTTTCTTTTTAGCGTTTCTCAACTTCGCTTCCCTTCAGTTATTTTTCGATCTTTATCATGCTTTACCTTCAACATTATCACCACTGGTAAGACATCGTTATGTTTCTCGCATTTTCAATGGTTCTTTCACCAGTATGATTTAACGGTTATTTCTTCAGGCTCTTGCATGTTTGATACAAATTGCGTCCGTAAGACGATCGCTATTCAGTAATGCGGAAAGAGCGAAGTTCCTGGATAAGATTGTCAGCGGTGTCAAAGGGATCCTCGATGCTCCTCAGGTACCTTCATGCCCCACACCCCTCGGTCATTTTAACCAATTTGTGCTGTCGTTAACAGAAATCGTGATGTCAGTCGATCCGACATGTCCACCATGCTGTTAAGTGATATAAGTTGCCTGCTTTTTTTTTGTCATTTTCAGTCGTTATCAGAACGAAATAACTATCACGAATTTTGCCGACTCCTCTCGCGTCTGAAGTCGAACTACCAGTTGGCAGAACTCGTCAAAGTCGAGGGATATCAGTCGTTGATTGCAACTATTGCGAAGTTCACTGTTACAAGTTTACAGGTATCCTCTCTGTAACTATTCCCAAAAAAAAGGACGAAAGAGGATTGCATATTAGCTCGAGTCTTGATTTCTTTAGATGTGGCAATTTTCTCCCAACAGTATTCATTACTTACTGGGTTTATGGCAAAGAATGGTCAGCTCTACACCTTATATCAAGTCAACTGAACCTCATTTGCTTGAAACATACACACCTGAGGTACGGAAATCAGCTTTTTATAACCGACTCGACCTTTGTTACACTGACGTGCGTAAACAAACAGAAATAATGTAAGCAAACTTTTACAAAGCTACCCAATACTTTCCATGGTACTGAAACAACCACCTTATGGTAAACTGGCGTATTTTCACTTCCATTTTTTGTGAAACTGACCATATGGATGTCAGCGGTCTTTTACAAGCCTCTCGTTCCTTATTTAACTGATCTAGGAATGAAACAATCACCTTTTAGTTGAACATACACAACTAAGGTAGCCATCTTTTGGGAAACCAACACGCCTTATCTAAACTGAAACGAGTAACATGAGCAATACTGATGATATTTGTGTTTTTTTTTAGATCTCAAAAGCATTCATCACGTCTCGTGTGGACAGCGTTCAAGTCGTTTTGCAGTTAGTGATAAATGACACTGTAAATCATATACTTCGTGTAAACTAAGTTTTTTTCAACAAATTCTTGGAATCTTATTTAGGGATAGATTAGAAGATCCTCTTGATGATGTGGGAACAATCACTCAACAATTGGAACAGGTGAACGTCAGAACTAAATATTGAAACGTAGTGGCTAAGATATGTTGTCATTGAATGATGTCATGTAGTGTCTCAGACATGCTGTCATTGAATGATGTCATGTAGTGTCTCAGACATGCTGTCATTGAATGATGTCATGTAGTGTCTCAGACATGCTGTCATTGAATGATGTCATGTAGTGTCTCAAACATGCTGTCATTGAATGATGTCATGTAGTGTCTCAGACATGCTGTCATTGAATGATGTCATGTAGTGTCTCAGACATGCTGTCATTGAATGATGTCATGTAGTGTCTCAGACATGCTGGCATTGAATGATGTCATCAATTGATTTAAACCTCTATTGAATTAAGGTAACATAATTTTAGTAGTGTGTGAAGTACAGAGACATGGTGCTCCAGTTATGTATACAGATCATAATACTTTACCGAGAATTTTCACACTAGATTTCAACAATCGGACGTTTCGAATATCCTAAAACTTGCACAGTGCTGATCTCAACATTTGACCAGAATGCACAATCATTTGAAAAAGCCACTCAGCCTGGCTCTACGTCAACGTCAAGTCTACCGCTTTACGAAGGTACATGTGATCAAGAATCATATGTAGGTCAAGTTTGTGACGAGCTCTTTCATATTGCGTAATGCTATTGCTTTTGTATGGTTTTTGCTGTTGTTCGCGAAACGGCTTGCACCGATTACAAATCCTTGTTGATTTTAGGTCGCCTGACGTGGCTTGTATATATTATTGGCGCGGTTATCGGTGGTCGTGGGTCAACTCACACGACGTTTGAGGAATACGATGGTTTAGATGGTGAATTAGTTTGTAGGTAATGTATGATTACCTAAAGATATACTGCAGATTGTGTTTTTTTAGTTTCTTTAAAACACCATCCTATCCATAACGCAAAGCAGGGATGCGAAACGGGATTTTCAAATTATTGTTTCATTAGAATTTCAAAAGCGAATATTTAATGTTCCTGTTTACATCATTTTCTTGGTTGTTGTATGAATACTTAATGTTCCTGTTTACATCATTTTCTTGGTTGTAGAGTGTTGCAGCTGATGACACTTACAGACACTAAGCTATCACAGGTTAGAGGTTTTCATCATAGTCAAACCAGTTGAATCCATTTAAAATTTCTCTTCTCCACATTTTACCAGGGAGGTTGCGAAAAGCTGGAAATGGCCTATTTAAGTTTCTTCGACCAGTTTCGAAAAATTTATGTCGGTGATCAAGCTCAGAGGACGTCGAAGGTTTGAATACATGTACCATAATGTACACCGTTGTCCATCATGGTTCTTTGACTGAATCCTTGTGTGTGCACCATTATTGTTCAGTAAATATTTTATGCTTATCTAGGCCTATAGGATTGTATCAGAGCGTCTTGGTTTGCACGATGAGTCGATGATTCTTAGCGTTTTTGTTTCAAAAATGTAAATATATTAAATCGTGCTTTTCTTTCTCAACCGAACATGGTCATCGATCTTGGATTTTTTCCCCTATAGTATAACGAATATAAAATACTGGATGAGAAGCGACACCATTATTCCAAGAACGCTACAATTACTTAGTGACTTATCTGTTGGATATCCTTTCATTTCTGAGAAATATATTTGAAACGTATCTGGTATATCTGTATATGTGCGTGTGTACTCCTTAACAAATTTCACTTATAGCAGTGTTCGGAAATTACAGAAGCTTGAAGCGGTTCAATTCATTCTGAGAAATCACACGGTAAGTTTGTTTTGAATGATTTGTCGTTACGAACTCGTGTAGTGTTTGCTGTAGTTCATTTGGATATTTATTAAACTAAAGCTTTGTAGAATTTGGATTTTGCAGACAATCCACCTTATAGGTCTTCGAATTATACTTTAGTTAGTCTATGTTGAAGCACATTCGAACTGAAGCACGTGTTTTTTAGGCGGAGCATTTTCCGTTCCTTGGAGTTGTCGCAGGTGGACAGTATACGGATATGAGATGTAGGACGACATTTTATGCTGCACTTGGACGGCTGTTATCAGTCGATCTCGGCGAGAACGAAGAGAAGTTTGATCAGTTCATGATTCCCTTGACAGGTTTCTTTTTCAAAGTTCACTATGCTTTCAAACAGTTAATTGGTTAGAATGCAAATAGCGAGAAATCATGACAAACATATGACTAGCAATAATGAAAAGCGAAACTTCTTTGAATTAACCAGAAGGTGATGCTTTAATTTGATTGCTTAACCTCTCACTACTTGTGTTATGTTTTTAACCAGTAACGTACGGGACTGTTACGTCACGAATTCTTTCTGGTGACCCAAATGGCTTACAAGTGGATGAAACAAAGGTTAGTTTGTTTTATTGTGAGATAATATTCTTCATATTTAAAGCTGTTTTGTATTTTCATATCTGTTGCTGCAACTGTAATTCGATAATGGAGCTCATTTACTTAGCCAATTATGTAGCTTATATACCTTGAAATCCCACTACTAGCCAATGATACAGCTCATATACCGTGAAATCCCACTACTAGCCAATGATACAGCTCATATACCATGAAATCCCAGTAGTAGCCAGTGACGTAGCTCATATACCTTGAAATCCCATTACTAGCCAATAGTGTTGCTCGTAATACCATGAAATCCCTGTTCTTGCCAATATTATAGCTCATATACCATGAAATTCAGGTAATTAGATTTCAGATTCTACAATATTAATGATTCTGCACCCCAGATTGTCCTAAAAGTTCAGATTCTGTGTAAATTGTTAGTTGATTTCTTACATCAAACCATCTGTTCCCTTTTTCTAGCGGATTATTTGTATTCACTTCGCCATTCGTATTTTTTCTTTTTAGAGGATTTTGGTGGGGATTTGTCGGGATCTTACGGGATTGGCTCTTGCGCTAACGTGTAAAGCAAGTTATATGATGCTGTTCGATTGGATGTATCCTTTTTCAACAGTTTACGTGTTGTATTCTCAAACAAACTATCTTTCAATGGGGATTCCCATTAATTGAGTTAAGTTGACCAATCATGCTCAAATGAGAACAGAAGGAACCAATCTGATGCTATTATCGAAGGAAATTTTTGTACGAGGTCATGTTAATCATTGTCTTGACACTTTAAAAGTTACCCACGGTTCACACCTGTTTTGATCCGCGCATTAGAGTTATGGTATCACGATCCCAATGTAACCACACCAGTTTTAAAACTCATGGCCGAATTGATGCAGAATAGATCTCAGCGCTTGCATTTTGGAGTTTCATCACCCAATGGGATTCTACTGTTTCGGGAATGTTGTAAAGTAATGGTTGCTTATGGTATGTCCGGTTGCTTCCTTGATGACGTAACTTCCTGTTGTGGTTAACTACTGTTATCGTGTGCTTCTTACAGGTTGTCCAATTCTTACTATCAGCGATGTTCCAGCAGATAGAGCTTATGCGTTGAAATATCCTTTTCAAAGATAATTATTTTACGATTGCTTTTAAGAAAGAGTTATGCACTTAATATTTCGGAAAGAGTTTGGATTCACCATCTTCTTCAATGTTTCGTTTTTTTTGACATGTTCAATGTCTCGATTGTCCGACACGTTTCTCGGAGACAAACTCGAAGGAAACATTGAAGAGACAGAAATACAAACCGTTTACGGAGTGATCTATCGTGAAATGTATTGTTTAAAAGCATTAACTGTAAGACATTTGCAAGTCTTACAGTAAATCGATTTATGAAGTTCAACTTGCCTTCATTATCACAAGAAATAAATTATATTTCTTGAGATCACATGATTACAAACAGTGAAAAGCCGTGCGGTATGTATCTAAAGTACGGCTTCTTTCGTATTTATACATCTTCAAGGCTTACGAAGTGCTCCACAACGCGACAACATTCGAAGGTCTTTCCATTTTTTTTCAACAAGCTTTGTTCTCTTTAACGAAATTGTGATTACATTCAAAGGTGTCTCCATTTGTTTCAACATGCTTAAATCTGCTCTGTCTGGAGGTTATGTAAACTTTGGTGTCTTTGCGTTGTATGGCGACGATGCTCTCGATAATTCATTGAACATGTTTGTTAAACTTGCCTATTCGGTACCACGTAAAGATATATTGGTAAAGAACTCCTCATGATTGCATTTTGCACTGCTCCGTTTTTGATTTACTACTAATTTTTCATCGTCTCTGTTTTTTAGGACTATCCGAAACTTAGTCACGCTTATTACAATCTTGTGGAGGTGGTAACCCAAGATCATATGGGTTTTGTCGGTAAACTCCAGCCAAACGTACGTATTCGTCTTTATCCTTGTTTATCCTTGTGTATCCTTTTGTATCCTTGAATAGTTTTTTGTACATTCTTGTTTGTCCTTGTATATCTGTGTAAGCCTCAGTGTCTTTGCAAATATTCTATTTTCATACATATTTTCTCTGTGATGTACGTGTGGATGATGGAATGCTGTGTAAGCAGTCAGCGAGTGTTGTCGTTTTCGCTTGGTTTATGAGCAACTTTAGTGTGTAAAAAGCATCTTAGAATAGGTCCTGACTTGAGCCTATCCGTGATAATTCAGTTTTACATGTTATTTATCTGTTCTACAACTCAATGTGCACAACCCAATTTGGTTTTTTTCTACAGATTTTCTTGTTCATATTATCCACCATATCAGATGGTTTGGTCGCTTTAGGTTAGCCCCATTACATCTCTCTTTCCTAAAAATCTCGTCGGTCATCGATAATTTTAGTGGGCAGTGTTTCTGCTGGACTGCTAGACATTGTTTTTTTCTTTTTCCTCAGACTCCATGGTTTCTACAAGCTGTTGTGCAACATTAGATAACATTGTATCATATATATTTAAACTATTATCCAAACGAAATAAACAAGTCGCTCAACGGACACAATCTGAAAACGCTTTGTGCTTGACTACTCTGGAGCATAATTCGGACGTTCTTCAGCAAGTATGAATTAATCAGTTTATATTTCTCACTGGAGCTGTCCTTGTACTGTTTTTGTCTTTTTTCGTCTAGTTACTTTCAACCTTGCTCAATATTATAATGTTTGAAGATTGTAAAAATCAGGTATATCATGTTCTTGTTTATTTAAATGCTCTGTTTTATAATGACGAACAACTGTTGGAAAAATACTGAGAACGACATACTATGTTACAATAACTCTTAACCCTTTTTTATGGTTTATTTGTCTAGTGGTCAATGTCAAGGCCTCTTCTTGGTTTGATCTTATTAAATGAAAAGGTGAATTTTAGTCTTAATCAACCTATACACAACCATCATGATGAATTCATGACATATTGAATGCTTTTTTGAAATTCTTTTGCTACGTACTTCTCGATTGAAGTCGTCATTCATTTTCGTGTTTTCAGTACTTCACTGAGCTTGAACAAACACTTGTGGCGTCACAATCAATAAACAAACAACAGACGATGGTTGAATGTTTTAAAGCATTGATGTTGAACGTGGAAAGGTCGCTTAGTGGCAAGAATAGAGATAGGTAATATGGGACGTTGAAGGAATTCAGTGGTGCCCTAACTCTTCCCTGTCATTTCCCCTGTTTGATGAAAGATAAATTGTTAGATAATGTTGCAATCAGCCATGAAGTTCTAAACCTGCGCTTATCTCGACATAACCTTTGAATTTTCTTTTTGTATGTTTTGTTTCAGATTTACACAGAATCTCTCGGTATTTCGCCGTGATATTACAAATCTCTCGAAGAATCCTACCGTAAGTGCCCTAAACAGCAACGGACTCAACGATATGATGAGCTAGAATTCGGGATTACAAATCTAGTTCTCTAATACCACATATAAGGTAGTATCATTCGAAGCTTGGATGATCTTTCTTATACCGACCCACCATTCTATCGCATCGTCATACAGAGACTTGTTATTCAGTGAAGTGAGAGGTAGCAACTCCTTTGAATTGAAAAACGCTTTTCCCATCTCGGATGACATGTGTGAACGTTATTTCAAATATTTTCACGGGAGCTGTAGATTTGGGCAATGCAAATGAAATAATTAGTCAAAAAAACTTTTGTTTATGTGATCGTTTTCTTCTGGTTTTGTTGGTGTAGCTGGTTCGACAAATGATTCAGAATTGTGTGTTACGTAACAAGCATGAAAAATCTTTTGTTAAAATTCTTCCTCGTGAGCTAATCAATCAGATTGCGTCAACTTAGAAATTTGTGAACGTTCGTAAGGATTGAAAGAGAGCGTTTAGAAAAGCAAAAATCCATACTCATAGATCACCTTGTGTCCGTCTTTGTTTTGTAAATATTTAAAGCTGTGGTGTTCAACGTAATGTGATTGGCTCAAGAACAAAATTGTAAACAATTCGTTGATTGGCGAAAAGCTTTTTCGTCCTTGTTTTTAAAGGGACTTTGTTGTAGCCATAACTACCGGTAAATATTCCTTTGTGTACCTTGTTATACAACTAACCCTGACGTGTACATTGCTTCGATCGAGGGGATGTGATAAATATGAACGAATCAGTATGAATGGAGTTCGGCGACTATTTTTAAACTTTTAAACAAAACGCAGCCAAAAGATGCTTTTCTGATGCTTCAAGTCTTTGATGAGGTATCGTTTCTACTGGAGGAAATCATATGCCACGAAGGTATGTGAGTAACTGCGAATGAATGAATGAATGAATAATTTTTTTTAAGTTTATACTATCATTTCGTAAAAGCACTGTTGCTAATGCGCATTTAATATAAACGACAAGTTTTTTTAAAATAGACAAGTTTTTTTAAAATAGACATGTTTCGATATCTCATGATGCCATCTTCAGTATAAGTGAAATACTATCAACCTGAGCGAGTTTTAGTTGCAGTAATAGGTCTAAATGAGCTGTTTCATCAAGTAACTTACATCCCATTGGTTATTTGCAGAATTTTGTGTCCGTGGACAAACTTTCCCGTGTCATTCAACTTGAAAATGACATTCTGGCAAGCAGAAAATGAGATACAGAACCCCCAAAAAACGGAACATCATAGAAGACACTACCTTCTCATTGCCATTGTAGTTGTATTTATTATTATCCTTATGATAACGATGGATATTCGCAAGGATAGATCACGTCATAAATTTTCTGTTGTATCCAATCACGAGGAATGGATTCACGATTCCAATTCCAAATTTCACTATGGCATAGTTCTTGACTGTGGTAGTAGCGGAAGTAGAGTATTTATTTATTATTGGCCAGATCATAATGGTAACCCAGAACATTTATTGAATATTAAACAGATGATTGATAGAGATGGTAAACCTGTACGAATGAAAGTTCGACCAGGTGAGTAGGATAATTTTATGTTCACGTAAGGACGTCAGAAATATTTAGTTGTTTTATATTACAAATGTTATAGTCAGCTATCTATTTTTACAATTTTTGGCTGTCTATTATTGCAATTGTTGGCCATCTGTTGTTACAATTGTTGGCTATCTACTGTTACAATTGTTGGCTGTCTATTGTTACAATTGTTGGCTGTCTACTGTTGCAATTGTTGGCTATCTATTGTTGCAATTGTTTGCTGTATTGTTGCAATTGTTGGCTGTCTATTGTTACAATTGTTGGCTATCTCTGTTGCAATTGTTGGCTATCTATTGTTACAATTGTTGGCTATCTTCTGTTACAATTGTTGGCTGTCTACTGTTGCAATTGTTTGTCTATTGTTACAATTGTTGGCTGTCTATTGTTACAATTGTTGGCTGTCTATTGTTACAATTGTTGGCTGTCTATTGTTACAATTGTTGGATGTCTATTGTTACAATTGTTGGCTATCTCTTGTTACAATTGTTGGCTATCTATTGTTACAATTGTTGGCTATCTTCTGTTACAATTGTTGGCTGTCTATTGTTGCAATTGTTGGCTGTCTATTGTTGCAATTGTTGGCTATCTATTGTTACAATTGTTGGCTATCTATTGTTACAATTGTTGGCTATCTATTGTTACAATTGTTGGCTATCTATTGTTACAATTGTTGGCTGTCTATTGTTACAATTGTTGGCTGTCTATTGTTGCAATTGTTGGCTGTCTATTGTTTCAATTGTTGGCTGTCTCTTGTTACAATTGTTGGCTGTCTTTGTTACAATTGGCTGTCTATTGTTGCAATTGTTGGCTATCTTCTGTTACAATTGTTGGCTGTCTATTGTTGCAATTGTTGGCTGTCTCTTGTTGCAATTGTTGGCTGTCTATTTTTGCAATTGTTTGCTATGTGTTGCTACCTTCAACTATCTGTAGCTACAATTATCTCATATCAATTGTCTTCAATCTGTTTTTGCTATTGAATTGCTTTTTAGGTCTATCAACTTATGAAGACAAACCTGAGAACTCTTCAAGCTATATCGCGCCATTGTTAAGACACGCAGCTAATCACATTCCAAAGTCCAAGCATTCTGAGACACCGTTGTATATTCTAGCTACAGCTGGAATGAGACTGCTTTCAAAACAAAAACAGGATGCTATCATTAACAACCTTGTCACAGAAATACCAAAAAAATTTCTTTTTCTCTTTTCTTCCTCGCAAGTTGAAGTTATAACAGGCAAACAGGAAGGTAATTGTTTACAAAATTAATTACATTTTTTGCCACAACTGAGCTGATTTACATATTTTCTAAATTTTGCCACAGCCATTATAATATTTATGTTTTGATTTTTACCGTGTAAACTATGAAAGCTGATTACAATTCATTATTTAGGTATATACGCTTGGATAACTATAAACTATGTGCTTGGACGGTTCGACCATTCAGAAGGTATGCATTTATATGAAATTAAAAATTGTTTCCATAACCAATTGAACATTTTCATACATACGTCTTTGTAGCACCATGCAAAATCAAGGGAGTAGGCTCAAAAGAGAGTTTCTTATTTATAAAATGCTTTAGTTGCAAAAGAACTCTCCCAGACAGCCTCATGCATATTTATGTACTTGCTAATGAGATTTCATGATGAATATTCAAGGTATACATTGTCCTGTCAATTGGTTCCTACTTAAAATGTGAGGCATCATTCATAATCCCTTTGTGCTGTTCAAAATCCCCTGACCAAATAATAGGGGATGTTAAGGGAGGTACCTATCTCATACCTTGCACATCCTGTTTATCCTGTTTTCCTATTGAAGCTTCCCATCATTCTGAAAATACAAGCGATCTTAAAGAAAGGAAGAAAACTGTTGGCTCTCTCGACATGGGTGGCGCATCTACGCAAATCACCTTCGAAGTACCTGAAACCGTGAGTTGGGGGACGACAAATTGAACAAAAAATAATGCTCAACTGCCTTGCATTTGTGTAGATTGACCAATCCTCGTTTTGTTTTGTTTTGTTTAGGTAAAACTTCCCGCCGGTTTAAAAACGGAAGTTAATCTTGGCTGTGATTCCCATATGACTGTACATAAATACATATTGTACGTTTCAACATTTTTGGGTTTCGGTGCAACGACTGCTCGCAGTCGCTATCTTGATATGATTTTTACAAAGAAGAACCATTCCCTTCCCAGGTTTGCTGTTTCATACTTTTCAACCCACAACCTGTGCTTTTCATGTGCTTTTCATACGTTTCATTGCTTTGCTTTCATAGTAATTTAGTTATTCTGTTTTAGCCATTCCCGGATACATCTTGATCCATGTCTACCCTCAGATATCCGCATCAAAGGATCACACAAAGGTGTCAACTACCGTATGAAAGGTTTGGGAAATTTTGATGTCTGTCGTAATCAGCTCACTCCGTTGTTGAACAATTCGGAACCTTGTGAAAATCCCCCTTGCTCTTTGAACGGTGTCTATCAACCACAGATATCATTTAATTCCACGGATTTTTATGGCTTTTCTGAGTTCTGGTATTCGGTCAACGATGTTCTTCGTTTGCCTGGTGTATACGATGCAAGAAAGTTTGATGCTGCTTCTAAGGCATGTAGCAATTATATGCAATATTTTGCCCTGCAGTTTCGTTAGTATTCGGTTACGTAGACAGAGAACTGGAGAACGCTATAAAAATGAGCTAGAAGCCACTAAAAGTACTATGGTGTTTCGTATCATTAGTCTGTCAAGTGTTAAATCATTTCACTCTCATTTTGAAATGTATGTACTGAAACGTTTTATAAAATTACTATGGCCTTCTCTAGAGCTTGATAGAAGAAATTTATCATGATTTTGCTGTACAATTTTAATTGCAATTGTAAAAAGCCCGTGGTTGGCTTTGCCTGACTTTTCGTCTCCGAACATTTTTAAATGACTTCATTTCTAGGAATTTTGTAAAACGAAGTGGCCAGTGCTGCATAAACGGTTCCAAAGTCGTTTGTATCCTTTCGCTGACGAACATCGATTCATGTGAGTCTTAGGTTTTCTACATTATCTACTACGTTTGCTTCTTCATCAACTGCGTTTGCTTCTTCATCTGCTACGTTTGCTTCATCAACTGCGTTTGCTTCTTCATCAACTACGTTTGCTTCTTCATCTGCTACGTTTGCTTCTTATCAACTACGTTTGCTTCTTCATCAATTACGTTTGCTTCTTCATCTGTTACGTTTGCTTCTTCATCAACTACGTTTGCTTCTTCATCAATTACGTTTGCTTCTTCATCAATTACGTTTGCTTCTTCATCAACTACGTTTGCTTTTTCATGCAGAAATTTGACATGTTTCACGCGAAATTTATGACTTATCCTAAACTCACCAATCTAATGTCAATTTTGTACTCATTTTTCAACAAAGCTGCTCTCTCATTTTAGGTACCAATGCTTTAAATCCGCATGGATGACCACCGTTTTACATGATGGTTTTGGGTTTCCTCGATATTACCGTCGACTTCATCCAACATTTATGATTGATGGTAAAGAGATCCAGTGGACGCTTGGTGCTATTTTATACCGAACACGATTTTTGCCACTGAGGTAAGAGTTCTTATAAGGTAAAAGCGTTTATGAAGAATAAATTGTAGCCATAGACCGATAATTTGATTGATTTTTTTTGTGACATTGCAATTTTATTTCCTCCAGCTTTTAGTAATTTTGCTCGGTCAAGAAATTCTTTATTGACGCTGATAACTTGTGTTTACAGGGAGATGCAAGCGAGCACAAAAGGGATTTTAAACCCTCGTCTATCCTTCATTGTCCTCGGTGATTCGGCATTTAAAGTCGTTCTGTTCCTTTGTTCTCTCGTTGTCCTGTTTTCCATATACGTCATTTTCGCCAAACCGAGACTTGCTATGCCATCCTTCAAACGGTTTTTATCAAATAACTCATCATCAAATATGGTGAGCGAAACTCCTAACTATCCAACAGATGTCAGGATATCACTGTAGAAATGAAATTTATGAATGTTATTGGGAGATTCAATGCATGGATTAGGTAGAGTTGTACGCCTTGTCCTTGTCTTAAACCATAAGCAAGTAGCGTGCATTCAAGCTGGGTACCAGTCCTTTTTCATATTTTGCACAATACGCAGGTATGATATTTTGTTCTCGGTCGCCCAAAGTTTATCAATTGAAACTTTCAATCGTCGAAATCTTTATAATGAAGATTATATTTCTCCATACGAAAAGAACACTAAAATTTATCTTTATTTTCAAAATATTCTCTTTTCAACGAGTGAAAATAATTCACCAAGTCAACGCCAAAGACCACAGAGATAAACACAGAATCTATGTAGGGAATAAATTTATTTCATTATTAAAAAATTCGCGTCAAAACTTGCATAAACTAAGTTTATAAAGGTGTTCGTTTTTATTATTCAAATTTTATTAATGCATCATTTCCACTCGTCTTCCAACTACCATTTAGCCTCTTCTGAACTCTCTTTGTTCCTTTCGATATCATCGACAAAGTTCTAAAAATAGATCTACTTCAGTTCATTGTGATTGTCACAATGACATTTCGATATTTCTCCACAAACCTTATCAATCACTTCCATTGTTTTACCAAGCGTATCTTTGATAAATGTTAAATAGGCAACTGTCACCTCCAAGATATTCGCTTTATCCGTCTTGATACTTCCACAAGGTACTAAACCTCGTAAATAGTCGTAGCATTTTGTTTGTCGCAGTCTGAAATTCACGGAAAGTTTAAAAGTACTGTATATGAACGAGTTAAAGCTGTGGTTGAAAAATTTCACCTTCATGTATGGCCTACCTTCTTTCTTTTTCTTTATCCAGATGCTCCATTTTTCTTTGGAGTGCACTCTTTGATCCACTGTTTGTTCTATGTCGTTTACGCCCGCTATCACCATTCGTTAGCGGCAAGTGGTGGACTTGAGACTCTGCAATCTTGCAACGGGTTTCACCTTCAGTTATGACAGGAGTCGCGTTGTTTCTTTCTAGCTTCGATGACGGGTAATGATACGGAAGAAAGTTTCTTGCTGATTGATTCTCTGACGGGGGATATTGAGGTGAATTGAGAGGAGCGCGAAGATTGGCTATGTTTACTTGTAGACTCTTCTCATTTCTTTGTAGGTGACTGTAAGTTTGTGCATTCGTGATCTCGTTGGATCTGATCGACTCAATCGGCTGCTGTTAGAGAAATGAAATAGGTTTCAGTTTATCTTACTTGCATGAAGATGTTAGGAATTAATGTGCGACGATATTGGTCAAGGAAAACGGAGATTTACTGGTATTCGTGAAGTGCATGTGAGATGGAACTTATTACCTGTAAGTAAGGATGTGATGATGAAATATAAACTGCTCTTTCGGGACGCGAGGCTTGTGCTGCTCTGGAAGTAGTCGATGTACTTGTCGTGCATTTTGATAGAGGTAAATTTAACGCTGAAGTTAGTTGGCATTCGTTATCTGGAATGAGTAGTTCCACGTAGGCAACTGCGTCGTTTCTTTCCATGCATATCGTCTCTTTTTCATCTTTTGTTTCCATTTTTGTCTTCGCCTCATTTTGATGTCCTCCTACACACTTCTCTTTTACTTTTTCTTTCATTTCACTGCGTACTAGACTTTATAGTTTACATTTAAAACTCAAGATCGCAGTCTTTGTTATGTTTTGAAAATGAATTAGCACACGCCAGCTCACGAAATTTGAAACAAACCGTTTCGCTGGCGGAAAACCGTTAATTTGCTATCGTAAAATTATGTTCTTTATTTCTTAGAAATAGAAAAGAAAAGCATGATTTTCATCCAAGAAATTTTTTTATATTTAATAGATTTTGTATAGATTCTTTTTATTTGGATAAAAACAGTTAAAAAACACTTAAAATACATTAAAAACGGAAATTAATAAGAGTTTAAGTTTGTATTTGATGGTTCGTCATCACATAAGCACGTCATGCACGTTACGTCATTCGGCGGCGGTTTTCAAAAGTTCAAAATGGTGTCTGCTCAAAATGTAAATAAAAGATTTAAAAATGCATAGAAAAGTGTTCTCAGCTTCCCTTCTCGAAAGGTAAATCAGTCATAAATTCAAGACTATTATGTGTATCATATAGCAATGTCTTGCATGGAAAAAGAAGAATATATATAGTTATTTATACTTTAGTTTGTTGTAACATACATAAGGCTTCTCACATTCATCCAATATGAGTCGTAATTTGCGAAAATCTCAAAGAGGAAGTAATCATGTCCGAAGGTCAGCCAGACTTAATGCTTTGCAAAGTTGCCAATCTCAAGATACAACTTCAGGTAATCTGAAAATGATGTATATTGTTTTTAAAGATAGAATGCGTTGTGAATTTTGGAGAGTACTGCCCCTCATTAAAGATTTTATACTCAGCATCTGCATGCACGTCAATAAGAATTTTTCATGATGAAAAAAGATTTTTCACTTCAAAATCTCATAGCCAAAATCCCATGCCAAATTCCAATTGGTTGCTGTCTCGTTGTGTGCGTTAAATGTACACTTGGTTGTGTAGATAAATGTACCGGTGCTGTAGTTGAGATAGAAATTGGTACAGCCAGCCTGCAAGTTTGCTCATGTTATGTAAATTTCAAGTCATTATTCATTTCCTTGGAAATCTATTGATTTTACACTGAGTGAACACCACAATAAATAACATGATTAAACTTGCAAAATGGCTATGCCTCTGCGAATAAAGGCTGATTATAATACTATATTTTGACTAGTCTTAAAGACAAGACATCCTGGAGAAAATGGATTTGAAAGCAGTTCGTCAGATAGTGGGAGTGTTGTTAGAACTCTGAGTTATTCAAGCTCAGATTGTAATTCAAATAGCATCCTTAGTACTGAGGTAATGGAGTTTTCAATATAACAAAATTGTTATTGTTTGTTAATGTTTTTGCTCTTTGAAGATTTCTTATTTGTGTTGTGATTTAGTGATGTTGCAAACAACTTGATGTTGTCATGCATTTCAACAATGTGGCTAGCCTGTCATAGAAATCTTGCTTAGATATTAACTTATGTTGTCATGCATTTCAACAATGTGGCTAGCCTATCATAGAAATCTTGCTTAGATATTAACTTGATGTTGTCATTCATTTCAACAATGTGGCTAGCCTATCATAGAAATCTCGCTTAGATATTAACTTGATGTTGTCATTCATTTCAACAATGTGGCTAGCCTATCATAGAAATCTTGCTTAGATATTAACTAACTTAATGCAAACTCTTTGTTCTATTTTCAGCCTTGTCCAAAGAATCTAAAGGAAAGTCACTTGTCTAAAATTGGTATTGATTTACAAGTTATTCATGCTTTGCTCAGATATGTGATTTAATTTGTGAACAATTTTCCCAACCATCGGAAGTATGATTACAATATATTTTCATTAATTGTATTTCTCTAGCCCAGGGACATACTCGCTCTTTTGGAAGATCTTTACAGATTAGGAAGAATATTGCAATGTGGAAAGACTGTCAAGTTGAAGTAAGAGATTTGAAAAATCACAAAAATGACATTTCAAGACATCGATTAGCAAATCCCAGCACAATGTTTAATGAAGTTTCCAACAAAATTGCCTTAACTATCAATACACCTGATGAAGTTGAATTGATAAATGGCAGGTCCGGGTCACGCAAAAGTACGTCAGTGAGAAATGCATCTAAAGTTATTTCACGACATTCTGAAGTGAGAAAAGTTTACAATTTAAGAAAAAGACACCGTAGTCCTTCTAATGCTGCAGTCAGCAATAGCTTCTATGTGGAAGTAATGTCTGGAGAGGCTACAGCCGACTCGATTAAGAAAACTGCTGCTCAAAAAACACCTCACAATGATCTCGTGGATAAGGTTAAAGTTAATGAAACTAAGGTCTTACCATCGTTTGAAAAGAAAGGAAAAATGACGCTGAAAAAGTCTGCAAAAGGTTTGCAGCCTTGATGAAAAGATATGTACATGGCTTATGTTTTCATTCTCATTTTCTTTTTTATTGAAATAGTTAAGAAAGGATCTTTAGCTCGTAAACAAGAACTTCGAGCAAGGCTTGAAGAGCAAGATGAAGGATACGAAGACGATGCTTTCGAGGGAACTCCATTTCGCGATAAAAAACCTCTGCTTAAGGTAGTATGTTCGATGAAGTATCAGAATAATAACGAACATTGATTTACTACCACAAACTGCACAAAGTACTTAAAAAGTGGAGCGACAAAAACATGAAGGAAAATCATGGGGAACGAGACTGACTTTCTAATTGACAACATGATCTTTTATAACGTGAATGGTTTGAACCCGGGGGTATCGTTAATGGTTGTGGATGAAGATCGTCCAGGTTGGTAGAGTCCTGATCAAGACTGTTGTTGTTGATGTTGACTGACGTTTCGACAACCGTAGCGGTAGTCATCTTCAGAGTCACCTACGTTTACTCCTCACTGGAATCTGAAGATGACTAATCTGAAGGTTGTCGAAACGTCAGTCAACATTAACAAAAGCATTCCTTCTCAGGACTCTACTAACCTGGACGATCTACATCCACAAACATGTAACATGATCTTTGATGATTAATTTCCTGAAGAAATTTGTTGGTATTCAGTATAGTATATCACCAGTGGTTCTAGACGGGAGCGTACGAAATCTAGTCAAAACAGAATGGAATTCAACATGCTGTGTCACTCCAGTTAATTGCCTTAGACCTCTTGGTCCTCTCTCGGAATCCTCCGACAGTGACGTAATGACACCCGGATTACTGAAGAGTGTGGATCGGTATGCCACATGAGAGATATTAGTTTTTCAATATGAATCATCTTTCACGATAGAAATTTCTTTTCAACATATTTTTTTACTTTCCCGATGAGTAAGTTTCTCAATTACGTACATTGTTGGCTATCGTCGGGAGATTAAGGGAAACCTTTTCTTCTTTGTATGTAGAAAGAAAATCGATCGCTACATAAATCAGTTACAAAAAAGAAAAGTGTTTATTGGATTCAACAAGGTATTGTAGAATTCTGTCACAACACTTGTTACTTATGATCTCTTTCATAGCAGGATGCATTAAATTTTTCAGATGAAATTTAAAAGCCGGCTTTCTGAAAGCAATCGTACTGTTCTGCGTAGCAATTCTGTTGATATTGGCACGACTCCTGAAAGGATCACGAAGACAGATGATGATGAGTATAAAGAAGATGTCGATTATTATTGGAGCGACATTGAATAGGGCTGTTGGCGACACAAATATATACGTAGTGTTGTCGAAAATGTATGTGTTAATTACGGGGGGGGGGGATGAAAGGAGCAGGGATATCCGTTATTTTAGTTAATTATAGCTGAATAAATGCTGAAATTAGATCGTTTCAATGTTCTGAAACAAAGATTTGTAAATTCACATCGACCTCGCAACGTGTTGCTCAGTTCCCTTTATTTTCTATTTTTAAACCCATCAAGTACAAAATGTATACAAGGTTGATCCAAGGGTGCTATGCAGAATAGAAGGAATCACTGGAAGAAATTGAGAAAGTGATCGAAGAAAAATTTGCATCCCACATGATCCTAACAGATCCCCGACATCGCGGGTAATTTAAAAAATGGCGGCCACGAATCGAACTTCGCTTCTTTTGTTTTGTTGTGGTTTTTCCTTTTTTTAAATGAAAATGTGTTCTTGAAAGTGGTTAAATCGTTCAAAACGTATTTTCCTGTCGTTGAAATGTCCTCCAGATCCAAGAGGTTAATGTATAAACCTGCACCAGCAGCACAAACTCCACAACTACATACTGCAAGGTAAAAATTGGTTTTGTACATCATGATTTAAAGTGTACTCAAACTTGATATTTGTCGTATGTTTATGTAAAATATGTGTGTTTGAAGTTAAGCTGAAGAATTTTATTCAATTTGTTGCTTTGTTTAGACAATCATTGGCCCAAGGTCGTCTATCTACTGATGCTAACTCGTCTTTAAAAAATCATGGGTTTGTTTTATTACTAGTAATGTTTTATTAAAAAGCTCACAGAACTTGACTGCGTTCTATTGAATGAAACTGAAAGATTGTTAAGACAAAGTTTATTGTGTCAATAGTTTGTTAAAGCTGATGAAACCACCTGACACTTCAACTTCCAAAGCTCCAATCTTTTAGAAATTCAGTAACACACAATCTTAGCATGAAGCAACTTGAGACGTTTTTAAAAATTTTTTTGCTTTTTCACTTTTTCATGTTGGCATTTTTCTCACAGATTAAAGCATTCTCCTGGTTCAGCGATCAGTCATAATTCACGTGCAAGAAGATCTCTCAATTTGAGCTTCAATTCAGTCTTCGTTTCCGAAGAGTATGTGTGTTATGTATATATGCCCTTATATATGAGCTTCATGTGGGGAAGTAATCATTGAGTGTCAACTTATAATTACAAAGATTATTAAGCAAACATTTAATCATTTGTAGTAAAAGCTCTTTGCTGTAGGTAAAATGTTATGTTTTACAATGGACAAAGTATAAAAATTTAGAACAGCTAAAATCTCTGTGAAAAACATTCTCTTCAAAAGAATTATAAACTCTTGAAAATTTATTAAAGTATGGAATCTGTGTTATTACAGGAACTCGAGTAATCCTTCAAGTTGTGTCGCACCAATGTTGCAAAATTCTCCATCAAAAGCTCAGCCATCGGCATCATTGTCGCTTTCTGACCTTGAAGATGAAGTTGGGGATGTTCAACATTTGGATCATCAATTCAATCCACCAAAATTCGAAGTAAGTTCCTGGTATAGCTGGAGTGATTATGATGTGATTTAAAGTGATTATTTCATCTAGAGTCAACTTGAACAAACTCCATATCATATAAAGAACTTAACTGATAAGAAATCTCCAGAGGGAATCTTAATAGGATATAAATGTGTTTATTTCAAGTGATTTCCTGCATGTGTTTTTGAATCAGCATGATGTGGAACACCTTCCCTGTCTGTAGACTTCCCACTCAAACAGGTAAAATAGAGGAAATAGACTACTCATCTCACGTGTACTAATGTTTATTCAATGATTACATTATTAGAAATCTGTTCTGGCAGTTGATGCCACTTATCGCCATATAAGTCACACTGATAAGGAAGTTCCCATAAAAGCTACTTACATGAAGTCCCCTGCCAAGGTTGTTTGTCATTCACCTAAGAAAGCTAGGTTTGTGCGTTGATCCATACACAATTTTCGTCGTATTCATAATTTTCAAATCACCATAGAAAATTAAAGTATCATTTGCCCATTCAGAGAAATAGCCATCAGTCAGGCAGCCAATGAAAATACTGGAAATATTGGTATGCCTGTGGTGTCAGCCAATGGAAATGCAGGAAAGATCAGTATACCTGTAGAGACGGTACCATCGTTTAAGCTATCAACGTCTTTACTGTTGAAAGATGATCCAAATTTTTCCGACAGCAGTCAACCAAAAAGTGAAAGTAAGATGTCAAATTTATCTGAAATGCTTTATCATTAACCCAAAGAGTGGATGCGCAGCACTCTTTGATATCTTTAATTTATCTGAAATGCTTTATCATTAACCCAAAGAGTGGATGCGCAACACTCTTTGATATCTTTAATTTATCTGAAATGCTTTATCATTAACCCAAAGAGTGGATGCGCAACACTCTTTGATATCTTTAATTTATCTGAAATGCTTTATCATTAACCCAAAGAGTGGATGCGCAACACTCTTTGATATCTTTAATATCTTCAAACTCGGGAGTTTCACAACCAGGCTTCGTGTAATCAACCCCTGCATCTTTACTGGAGATGTCTTAAGTAACTATCAACTAAAGTAAATGGTTTGAGCCCGGGAGTATCGTTTCATGTTTGTAAATGTAGATCGTCCAGGCTGGTATAGTCCTGAGAAGGACAAGTTTTTGTTGTTGTTGACTGACGTTTCGACAACCTTAGCGGTAGTCATCTTCAGTTTAACTCCACATATGGGACGGGCGGGTGGCTGAATGGTTAATTGCGTGAGCTGTAAGCCAGACGGCGCGGGTTCAATCGGCTCGTGGCACATCTGGCAATGTGTCTGTAAACCTAGCCCGGGTTGACCAAAGCCATGTGAAATTTGGTTGAGGAAACTATGTCCTCGGATGGACTGTATCTGCATCTGCAATGTTGCAGCCTTGTCACACTGTGTCACGCTGATATCAGCGTTGTAGTTGTGAAAGGTACGAGTGATTGTAGTCTGGTCAGCTGCTTTCACTATAATTTAAGTAACCAGGATGTTCCACTTTGGGAACCCTCATACGTCGAAATCGACGGAGTCCATTATTATTATTATATTATTATTAACTCAAACATGTAACTATCAACTGCTTTTTTTTGCCCTTTGCCAAAGATTGATCTCAAAGACTCTTACCTTTTGCTCAACTTTATCATCCTCAGTTCTTCCCCAATCTTGTAAATCAACCAAAGGTTGCATGAAGGCTCGATGTAACATCGTAAATAGTCTGTATTATCCTAAGTCTGTTCTATTTTAGATGAATCTCTCAGCACTGTTGCTGGTAGTCCCGTTGATCCACGCAGCAAGGCAGTGGAAACCGTTGTTGTTCAGGAGAAAGGAAACCCACGCTCGTACGTCAGTTTTCTTGACAGTGGATCGTGTACCGACGTATCATTGACTTCTCAGAATACCACAACGAATATGGATCAACCTGACCTCCGTGTCTCGCAACCAAACTTCGATGATACAGGTTTCGTATAGATATTGAGCTTTGCTTCATTGTTAGGTTGATGAATGAGGAATAAGTGAAAACATTCTATTGATCTAATCAGGCTACCCTTCATCAACAGATAATACATAGATACCCAGTAATAACAGTTAGATATAAAAGTTTAGACTTACAACGCGCAATAATTATTAAACTTGTTGTAGCTTCCATATACCAAAACGGTTCCCCAACCAACGCCGAGCGAATAAAATACCTGCGACGCGGCGGCAACCCAAACCTACATCACAAAAGGAAACTCGTTCAAACTTTGCTAAATACGTAAACCTCCGTCTATAAGCTCTTAATTTTTATAAGATCGTTAGCACTTTTTATGGGGGTGGTGCACTAAATTTTAATTAGTGATGGGATCTGTGAACATTACATTACAAAGTACGCGGGCTTGTATGGAAATGGAGAAATGGGCTTATACGCGGGTAGGGTTTTTGTCACGATCTTGGTAGGCTTATTCACGGGAGGGCTTATACATGGAGGTTTTATGGTATTACGGAAAGTTTGAGGAGGTTTTTTATCTTTTGCAGGTTTTTCAAGTCTAGGAGCGTCTAAACCAGAGGGCGGGTACGTTTTTCGTTTTTTTACGTATTTCACATCGATGTGCTTGACAATAGTAACATATCATAAATTATATGCAGCTCAATTTTTAAGTCAAAATACTTTCATTAAAATAATGCTACGAGTTATGAATTTCCATACAAACAAATACTATACAAAATTTAGCTGTTGTAACTTGGTTTGCCGAATGGTTGATCTGCTACACTTGTCACATTTGGTTAATTGTTCATTATATTACTTCTTAATTCTAGTGGGGAAAAAGTTTTACGGAAAAAGAAGAAAAAAACCAGAGGTTTGTAGCGCTCGTCTATAACAATGCCGCGGTAGGTGATTGTCAAATTTTTTTGGCCTGTCATCTTCAACCGTTCGCATATAAACTTTTCAAACTTTTCTCAGAATTTTCATTTCTGCAGTTGTTTCGTCAAAGTATATGACTTCAGCGATGTCGCGAACGGGAGGGAATCTACCAAGCAAAGTAAGAATGCTCGTAAATTTTGATCAAATTTATAAACATCCTGTTGAGGTTTTCGCTTTTACATTCTTGAAGGGCCGTCCTTAGAACGTTGATGGAAGAGTGGGGGGTGATTTTTCATATATTTCTTTGTAGCAGACTGATTTCTTTTGAAAAGAAATTCACATTGAATAACCGCCCCTCAATTAATGTTCTTGGGGCGGCCAGATTGCTTAAATTCATTGAGGGAAATTTAGTTGTTATGTATTATTGATCGCGGTTCGAAACAGCACCAAAGTAAAGAAACAAGTCAAGCAACTTCAAGGAACACAGCAATGGCTGGGAAGAACGAAGAAGAAACTTCAAAATTGTCCATGAGAGATAGAACAATCAATGAATCCATTACGACAAACAGTCAAAAACCTTTACACACCTCAACTCCTGCTGATGCTCTTGCGAACAGAGAAGACAAGATTACGAAGATTCAAAAATATGAAAGGTAGAAAGTTATATTTGCTGTTTTTAGGTGATTTTGTAAAGTAACATAAATTTATATTGTCCTATGTTATTGTTTATTGTTTTAATGTTTTTTTCTCTGTATTCATGATTGAATTGCAAATTTTCTTTGATTGATTTAACTGATTGAGCTCAGCTCTTGCACAGGCTATATACCAATCCGCGTACGCGTTTTATCGAACTTGTTGTTTTATTTAAAAAGTAAAAGATGTTTACCATTTTTGCACAGGCTTATATGTACAAACCGAGTAGACCTTTGGTAGAACTCGAGAGAAGATCAGTGCTAGCCCAAAACTGAATGTCGAGGGCTAGAACCTGCTGGAGTGTTCTCACAAAGGTCCGAGGTTCGCATGAACCTGTGCAAAAAGAAAACATCTTTCTTTCTTTTCTTATGGTAAAATAATGCGAAACAAACAAATTTAAAACAAGCGTTTGAAATTTTCTTTTAACAAGTATTCATGATTTTTTTGCAAATCATCATTGATTGATTAATTGATTTCATTGGGTTTGAGCTCAGATCGGTTTGCACCGATTGATTTTGAGCTTATGCAAACACGGCTATAGACGAGTCAATGCACTCGTTTTATTGTTTTTATTATATAAAATGTGTTATGTTTTGTTGTTATGTTTTTTTATGATGTGACTGTGTTGTGTTATGTTAAACATTATGCTATTTCTTTACATTATCAACCTGCTAAAGTTTAATGTGTGCACAAGTTTTATCAAAAGATTAAACACCCGTGAAATGTACACGATTTATTTTGGACAAGAGCATTTCATACATATGGCATATAGCAAAGATTTTCAATCAGTGTAGATACGTAAGAGTTCATACAAAAATTTTTGACTGTTTTGATGAATAAATATGCTACTTTAACGTGCCATTTTTAGGGCGGACTCTTCGGAGCTCGCTACGCATGCACATTTAAATTCGAAAAAGAAAAGAAATGAAACAAAAACAGGAAAAGGTATTGTTTATCTTCACCAATCCATTTACCAAACATGTATTGTTACATAAATTTTTATTGAATTTTTCCTTTTTTCATCGCAGATGCGATGCCAATTAAAGCGGAACGAACAACACAGGTAAAGAAAATGAATTTTCTCGGGGTTTTTTATCACCTAACTGCGAAAACATTCGCTGCTCAAACCGTTTCAGGTTTCAAACAAAAAAGCTGTTAACAATGAAATGAGTCAACTTCAGCACAACATGATTTATGCCAGACTTTGCCAATGGAAGTTTTTACGAATGAAGGTGGTAACACATATTGATGTGAAAAGTTTCGTGGCATCATTAATGAAGGTTTTTAATATTTTCTGTCTGATGTATAGCAAGAAAATGCGTTTAAAAAACAAGAAAAGCAGGCTCAGGTAGGCATGAATGTTATTCAGTGCCTATCGTAACCTAAATAGCGTAGCCTGGGGCAAAGTGCGACACCGGGGCAAAGTGCGACATTTGCCAATGATTATTAAATATCTGAGCCGTTAAACTAAGCTGCAGCTTAAGAGTCAGTCAGCAGCTTCTCTGTCATATGTGTCATGTAAGAAAAGTGAAACATCGCAGAAATTTACAAACGGAGAAAGCATGGCGGCCGTCTCGTGAAGTCAATTCACGAGTGAATTCAAATTGTGCTCGATAAAGTTTTGTTGAGTTAACAGGTATGTTGAAAAATTTTATTCAATACATGGCAAATGCTGGTAATTTTTCCATAGTCTTGCGGTTTGGATGTCGTTCCTTGAACTGAATCATCGTTTTTCAAAAAAGTTTCTACGACAACATTCATATTTGAGTTTATCAAAACCGCACTACTTTGGGGCAACGTGAGACAGTCGCCATATTTAAAAGTGATCAAAAGATATAATGTATCTGGCTTCTTTTGGCTTGCGTTTCTGTGTATGCATTGTTTGTTTTAAGTGACTATAAGCTCAGTTGACTTCACTATAATAGAATATGTATTTGAAATCTAAAGTCTAGTTTAATTTTTAGCAGAGCCATGGTTAGAAATTATGTTCGAAAGACAGACCACGAGTCCTGGAGTGAGAGTAATATGAAAGAGGCAATAAAAAGTGTCATCAAGAATGAAATGCCCCTTAGACAAGCAGCCAGGACTTTTGGTGTTCCAAAGGACACATTGAATAGAAGATTGAAGAAGTTGGATGAACAGAGTACTGATGATAACATTGATACCATGTGCCACAATAAGCTTGGAAGATTCCGCACTGTTTTGTCCAAAGACCAGGAGAAGCAGCTGGCCAAATACATTACAGATATGGATAATGCATTTTTCGGACTAACTATTATGGACCTTAGGGTAATAGTTTATGAATTCTGTGACCAAAATAAGATTCCAAATCCTTTCTCAAAAGAAAAGAAACTTTGCGGGGAAGATTTTGTCCGAGGGTTTTTAAAAAGAAATCCAGACCTGTCTTTACGGAAACCACAAGGTGTTGCTTTAAATCGAGTATATAGGCTGAACAGGACTGCTGTGAGGACATATTTCAGTAATCTTGAGAAACTTCTAACTGAGCACAATTTTCAACCCCACAGAATTTATAACTGTGATGAGAGTGGAATTGCCAGTGTTCACAAACCGGTGAAGGTGGTCGCAAAAAAAGGAAAACATTGTGTTTCCTCAGTAACTAGTGGTGAAAAGGGAATTACCACAACTGTTCTTTGTGCGGCAAGTGGTACTGGCCACTACATTCCACCCGTGATGATCTTTAAAAGGAAAAATAAGAAAGATTCTCTCACTGATCATGCACCAGTTGGAACTTTGCAAGGAGTCTCTGATAATGGTTGGATCAACACCGAGCTATTTCTGCAATATACAAGGCATTTCATTAAGTATACCAATTGCACAAAAGAAAACCCTGCTCTGATGATTTTTGATGGGCACAAGACCCATACAAAAAGTCTTCAATTAATTGATCTTGCCAGAGATAATGGATTGTTTCTTTGTCATTGGCCCCCATACAACTCACAAGCTGCAACCTCTGGATAGATCTTTTTCAAGCCACTAAAACACATTATAATAATGCTTGTCAGAAGTGGATGAGAAATCACCCTGGCCGAAGAATCCAAACCGAGAATTTGGGAGAGCTTTTCAATGAAGCTTATGTCAAATCTGCTACCATGGAAAATGCTGTCTCTGGTTTTCGCACAAGTGGAATTGTTCCATTCAATCCAGATGTAGTACCAGAGCACGAATATATGGAGGATCCATGTTTGTTGGTTACCACTTCCTCTGCTACAAGTGGAGAGGTTGCAAACAGTGTGGATGAAATTGAGGTGAACATGCCAGAAGCTAGAGATAATGAAAGCCATGATGAATGTCTTTACTTGAATGAAAGTGTTACCACAAGAGCAACAACACCTCCAACACAAAGTTTGGCACCTGCTACATATCCTGTTTCTTCTCCACTTGGTGCTGATTTTGGCGCCAGTCCAAGATCATCCACCCCAAAATCACCAATCCCAAGAACACAATCCCCACAATCCTCAACATCATTTGAGGATATTTTGGCAACGCCTAAACTTTGTTTCAAAAGAAGTCCGTGAGGTATCTGAAATTATAACAAGCTCCCCATATAAAAGAAAACTACAAAGTGAGAAAGAACAACAGGCACAGAAGAGTTTAAAAACAAATAAGAGAAAAGGCAAGGCAAAGAACACAAAGGTAAAGAATAAAAGAAAACCAAAGGAAAAGAATATTGCAAGACCTGTTCTGACTGAATGTGAGAATGATAGATCAGACTGGATCTGCCCTGTCTGCAGTGGGAATTGGAAAGAAAGTGAAACTGATTGGATTGTTTGTACAATTGCACTGCTTGGGTTCACGAGGAGTGCACATCAGACGAAATTTGTTTCTTGTGTGATTAGATTAGTTGTTTTTGACTTTTAAACATTTACATTTTGAACACTTACATTTTAGCTTAAGCTTTCTATAGATTAATTAATCTTTTTATCTTAGATTTGTTTGTACAAATAAAGTTTATATATTTTTCGAGATGTTTTCTCAAATTTTTCTCCTCCGGTGCCCTATTACCTATTAAAAAAGGTCCCTAGCTAAGTGTCGCACTTTGCCCCAGGTAATGGGGAAAGTGAGACACTTCGACTTGTCGGATATTATGGAATACTGAAACGATACTTATTATATTTGAACGTTTTTTCATCCATTATTTATATCAGAAGGGCCTTGAGATTTATTGTGCCAATCTTTGAGTTAAATAAGTTTTTCCCAACCGAGATATATCCAAAATGTGAAAAGTGTCGCACTTTGCCCCAGGCTACGCTATTAGTCATATATGCCCATTGAACTGAAATACCTGGAGCGTTACTTTGTAATAGGAAAACCTTATAATTTCTTATACCCAGCCACGCGAGATTACACCCAGACACGCGAGATTACATCCAGACACTTGTGTGTAGTTCAATCAATTTTCACGCCGCCAGAGGATCTCTAAACACTAAACATGCGTGTCTGGGTGTAATCTTGCGTGTCTGGGTGTAATCTTGCGTGTCTGGGTGTAAGTTTTGGCTTCAATTATTTGCTTCAGGTAGCGTTCCATGTATTTCAGTTCAATATAAATGCCATGTACAAACATAGGAATGGTTTTACTCCATGTCAAAGTTAAATGAACAAATGAGAGAAAGAAACCACGAATTGAAACTTTCTTTGCACAAGAAAAGGAAAGAAGAAGAGATAAATAGACAAATCGACCTTCAGGTAAAAAAAAAGTGTAAACAGTTTTTCTGCAAAATATTTCACGTACTTAAAGACATTTACAATTATATTGCGAATTTCAAGCATTCTGGGCTACAATGTGTCTTTTCTCGTTTAGTTAAAGGTGCTGAGAAAACTTGATAGCCAAATTCGGCAGTTGTATCCGGAATACGAGAATTTTTTCAAAGGCATCGATGCTACTAGACATCATCTTTCCTTCCAGGACATCCTCATGCCTCAGAATGAAGGTATAGAACGTACATACAATGATAACTTCTACTGAAATTTTGTGGGGAGTTCAGGATAGGACCATAGGAACTACTATGGGACTGGAACATCATCTCTTGTCATTGCATAAAGCACGCTAATTGATTGGTCGATTTGTCTAGATGACATTCTGGATGCTTTATACGAGCTTGAAAATAATGCAGAGGAAGTTGCTCGTCTTCTTGAACACGACAAATCGAAGGTACGACCCCGCGTAGTGATTGCGAAAATTCAAAAACACGTCAATGGCATTTGCATTCGAATGTTTCAAAATTTTATATAGATCTTGTCTTTTTCCGACGAGATTTATGGTCTTGCAGAAATAGCACTCGCAGAAAAGGATGAACATGAAAGGTGAGAGAAAACTTAACTGGTGGAGTACGAATGCCTTACAGCTTTAAACCATGCACCTACTGCCTATATAGTGGTGACAGTTTTCCAGGAAAACGAGCATTATAATGAACATTAGAGCCCAGCTTATTGAAATAATATGAATTGCCAAAATATAGAATATATTAATATATAAATGAGCATGTATACACGTTCTCATACACGACCATGAAAAATTATTTGTGCAAACAAGGAATAGAACTGCTTACACTAAAGTGCGAGGTTTCATTGCCAGAGATGTATGGGGAAATAAAGTTTTTCTTTAGGTTAATGTTTGGTTTGGTTGCTCCGGAGGTTAGCCATTTTATATGAATATGTATCTTCCTTATATGCAGGTGTACCGAGCTCTTAGCCGCCGCATCATCGCTTGCCACTCAAGAGAACAGTTTGAAAGCTGAAATCATCGAGAGGAAAGAAGCGCAGTTCAATATGCTTGGCAAACTTCTCTAGCCAAGACAGTAATTGTGTAAAGTATTGGTGAGAAAGTTCTTGTGAGTGATGCCATGATTGTTTATAAATCTGTCCGTGTTTCTTATTGTGTAAAATAACAAACAAAATTTCATAGTGAGACAATATTTTGTCCTATCTTGTTAAAATCACTACTGGCGGAATAAGTGATTTAAAAAAATGGCCATACGAACAAGGTTGGAATGAATTCATCAAACCGTGTCATTGTCCTATAGGGTGCTTTTCACCAGAAAAGCACGTGTTTGTGTGAAAATTGACGAAAGTTTGTGCCTGTCAGCCTAGTTAAATATTTTCAGTTTTCCCTGACAAATCAAGAAGCATTTTCTTGCAAAAGTATGCTACGAACTTTAACTTATACTGTATCATTTTTTTTGTAAACGCGAGAAAATATCTATCGATCACATTTTACTCTTATTTATTTTTACCATAGAGGAATGTAACTTGACGATTGTCCAGCGTTTAGCTTCGTACTATATATCGTGTGCTGTGAATTTGGGCTGTTTATGATGGCATTCATGCATGTACCGCGTTTTAAGTGTAAATTTAACAGGTGTTTTAAAGACACCTCGCGACATATTAACATAACGACCTGCTGACGCACCAGTAACGACAATGTCCTTTGCTCACAGGTGGAAAAAACCTGTTGGTTTGTGCGAGTAGGCGCTTCGTTTTGGCTTGGTGAATTGGAAGTTTATATAAAGAAACCGATGGATAAAGTTAAATCACATTACTAGCATTGTCATACGGTATTTTTGTGTGTGATTTCTATTGTGGATAAATCCGACTTTCAAGTTTTTAACTATCTCGGTTATATTCTCACGTCGAACGAGGTGCAATCTGTTTATCACGGAAGATCTCTTCTCCTATCAAATTCCTTGAAATGGATGACGACGGAATCGAGAGTTATGACTGTGAGAAGCACGAAGCGAGAAAGCGTAAAGGAGCACATTTAGAAGCGCTATTCGCGGAAAAAACCATGAAAAGCTCTAAAGCTAACTACGCCAATAGTATTACGGAGGGAATTACGGATGAATCGAGTGTGAACATTGCATCCATAACTGATCCTGAAATGTCCTCTCGTACTGAAGTGGAATCCTCTGTCAACTCTATACGAATGTACTCACCCAACTCCACGCGCTCCTATGACAACGATGGACAAAATGAAAACGAAATCAATCTAGTGCGTACATCTTCAGAAAGTCTCATGGCTCCCACGAGCAGTCCTATTGCTGTACACCGTGCTGTACTTCCCGGAATGGCCAAAGTCCGACAGAAAGAGTGAATGATATCGACTTCGACGGCTCATCTCGCTATTCCAGTCACAGCACGTCCCGAGAGTCTGATCGCCATACTCCGCAACAAAGTTCCAAGGACCATGAAGACTTCGTTCCATTTCAATCTAGTTCAGAAACAAGATTAGGTGCTGTTGTACCGGAACACAAAAGCTCCGACTTTCTTACAAATGTTACTGTGAAACAAGAACCGGCTGAGGATACTTGCCCAGTTGAAGTGTTGCCAATTCAAAAAATGACAGAAAGTTCTCCCAAAGATAGCAAAGAGATCGGCGAAGATTGCCTGAAATTCTTGTTGTTCTCTGGTAAACTCTATCATTGCGAAAAAATATCTGATCTCACCGACTCATTCTCGAGATTGATTGGCGATAGTGTCCTTGGAAGGAAAGGTAAAGTATTCTTGTAATTTGATGATTTTTTTACTCTGCATTTTCTCATCTTATAGCTTTTACATCAAAATTCCCTTGTAATTTTCATTGTCTAAACTAGGTGACCAGTGCATCCACGTTTTATGAAAACCAAGAAATTATAGGCGATCGTACTCCAGGAACAGTCCTTAATTATTTCCTAGAAAACGATTGTCTTTTTCAGAAATATTTTGTTCAACATTCTAATATGATGATTTTTATTCTGCACGGTTTTTTCCAACAGCTCTTCGAGAGTATTAACTGTATTTTCGTTTAAAATTTGCAATACATTAAGGAAAATAAAAAAATAGAAACGATTCCTGTTTGCGATACACAATCAAATATTTGACGGCATAATTTATTATCTTCTTTCATTCTCCAGGTAAGGTCGTTGTTTTGCTTCTCTTTCACAAAACGCTACGTGAAGTATTGAACTACGCCGTCGGTGTTGTGGACCATTATATGATCGAGGAGCACAACGTCGTTGTGAAGATGATCAAACATCATACATACCCTACATCTACGGCAGACGTAGAAAAGATCGCTTCGAAGTTGAGCGTCGGCTCTAGAAAACTTCTTTATAATCTGCAACCGCTAAACGGACCAGTGTACGGTGAGCTTGTGAAGATTCTGGATGGATTTGGAGCTAACTCTTCGGTGGATCACGCTAAGATTAGCGAATTTAATGCGATGGTCAATGCAAACGCCGACCGACTTGATGGCAAGATTTCGAACGCTCTTGGCCGACTCGCCTATCCCCATAGAGGAAATCTTAACATTGGTTTAGTCTCGTCCGATTGCACACGCATCACATCACGATATCCTTTAGGCAACTCTCGGTACAGCCCCTTGCAAATCATCACACCACTACTTCTCACTATTCGCATGAGATATCTCACGGGGGGGACTCGCGTGAGATGTCAAGTGACTTGGGATATGACAGCGCATACCTATCAAGACACAATGTGCATTACCATAAAGAGAGACGTCACGTGAATACTGTGTCAGCCAATCAGACTGTGCGAATCACTCCAAGAACTGCATACAGTAATATCGACCACCGTACTGTATCGGCAGTACCAATTGCTCCGAAACCTCGATTTGGTTCACTTGAAGAGGGATCCATTGTCACTCAACGACGCAACGTGGAAGGTATGGAACATTTATGTCGCATTTAGTTCTAAAGATCATATAGTTTCATACATCACATTAAGCCAAAGATCATATAGTTTCATAGATCACATTAATCCAAAGATCATATAGTTTCATAGATCGCATAAATCCAAAGATCATATAGTTTCAGAGATCACATAAATCCAAAGATCATATAGTTTCATAGATCACATAAATCCAAAGATCATACAGTTTCATAGATCGTATAAATCCAAAGATCATATAGTTTCAGAGATCACATAAATCCAAAGATCATATAGCTTCAGAGATCATACAGTTCCGCATGTAAGAGTATTTCTCTGTCCGACAAGATTAGTTTTGGTAACACATATCAAATATTCCTAGCAATCTCGATATGTTGGGTTGTTTTTCAGATCTTCAAACAGTAGCCGAATTGTGCAAAGAAAAAATGAAACGAGATATGGCCGAACAGGAATTGAAATCCATAAAAGGTTACTTCAATTTTTTTCAATCATTCGCGATGTTCTTCTATCGGAAGTTAATCCCACTAAAAATTTTGTACATTTCAGATTGTGAAAAGTGTTTCTTTTTTACCATTTGTTTTATTATGGTGTTTTAGCTGCGTTTGAGGAATTCAAAACCCAGATGCAAAAGCATCTTTCGCAAGTCGAAGAACGCATGGTCTTACTACAGGCCGAAAACAGATCTCTCAAAGGTACTACGTGTAAATATACCATTGCTCGGGTACATTTAAGTCTCATTTCTTCTGTAGGGATAAAGATTTTCGGAGTTTTAATCCGAGATTGTTTAAGGTCCGGCAAATAGAAGTTCCTAGTCGATAGATTTCTACTGCAATGCAAGTTTTTGTCTTACCTTCATCATTGCTAAATTCAATTACTCAAAAAAAATTATGATTTGAAAAAAGGACATTATATATGTAACAACAATCATTTTCCTCTTCATGGAGAAGATAAATAAAATTTTAGGTTTTGTATACATGCGAACGAGAAACGCTATACACTGGAAATCCAGCGAAACTAAAAGAACAACATTTAAAGATGCAACTGGTGAAAGTTTTTATTAAAAAAAAATATTTTATTTCCAGGTAAACTTTCCAACATGCATCAAAACAATGGTTTCGCTGAAAAGAAATATCACGGTACTTTCAAGCTTTCCTTCGACTTATCACTAATTCGTGCCCATTCTCCCACATTACTAAATTCTTCGCACATTACCTCGGGTTTACTCTCACGGTGTTGAACTTATTTATGCTTTTATATAATCATAGAACTACGAAGTCAACTCGAGGATCTTTTGAAGTCGACTTAAAGGAGGTTCAATTGTTTTTCCGTGTAGTAAAAATCATGTGCGACCACAAGAACAAGTGAAGAAGGTACGAGCTACACGAGTTCCACTAACTTCGAAAATTTCAATTCGAACCTGTAATGTCACCTGAATTTTTACAAAATTTTGCGACAAAAAAACCAATGGTGTCTGTATCAGCAGGATGCTTGTCTTTACTCCTAATCTCCTCGCTTATATCTAATGGATCAAATCTTTGAACTAAAAATCTTTGTTGATCATCGAGACCACAATTCGCCAAACCAACACCTCCAACATGGATATCCTGTTAATTACGGAAAGCCTTGTGCATAAATTAGATGTAAAGAAAAACATTGAACTGAATATAACTGGAATGCCATCTCCACCTATTCAACCAGTTCGAAGTTTTTCACGTGCGGCCAAAAAAATACCTGTTTACGTAAAGTTTGCCTTCCATTAATATATTTAGTTCAATGGTAGAGAAACATACGAAATAAAAAATGCAAGGATTACCCACGTTAAAAACATGTTGCGGAGACATGATCTAAAAAGATGCGATGTCTATATTGTTGATAGTACTTACTTGTTTCATTAATTGCAGACATGGGAATTTTTTCAAAGCCCAAGCCACTTGTCTTTCGTTTTCTTCCGAGGTAATCGTGCAAGTCGAGTACACTAATGTGCCCCCGGTTTTAAGCAACTTTACTCCCTGAAAGAAACAGCATAAGTCAATTGGTGACTCAAAAGCACCACTATTAGAGAAAAATAACACACTAATAAATCCTATAAACCATGTGCAGCCGACAATTTAAAGAAATATAGTAAAAAAAAAAATTCCGAAGAAACAAGACATCTTGAGATTACAAAATATGAATCAGAAGAAGACGAGAAGTGAACTGTGGATTTTCGTAAATATCACGCTATTAAATTTCTATTGCTTGACTTCCGTTACTTAATTCGTGCGTTGTAAATATATATGTGTATGTATGGTTTTGAATATCATTCTGTCTGAGGATGACTTTGAAATAAAGTCGAAAATTTACAGTTCACTTCTCGTCTTGTTTTGATGCATATTTTGCAATCTCAAGATGTCTTGTTTCTTCGGAATTTGTTTTTTACTATAATAAATCCTATTTTGCAATGGCACATTTCTCTACCCGTTTCTTGCACCCTCCCCCCCGCTGAACATCTTGCCAACTCGCGTCCAAACCATATCTCAATTATTGTATTATGTTTGTATTATTTACCACATTAAAAAGCTTCCTTTGATAGACTGGGAACGACTCCAGTTCATGTCTGGACTTATTACAGGTGTGTTGCGGTCTTTGACCCAAAGCGCTGCAAGGGCCGTCGAGAAGAATGCGATCAAACGAATTAGGTGGAAATGGTGGTTTCAAAATTTCTAAATGATTAACAATTCAACGTATACATGTACGGCAAGGATCGAATACCTGTTTTAGGATGGAAAAATTCAAAACTTGCGCCGGTTTTGAACAAAATTGAGTACCTGATTGACAATGAATTTATCAGTATTTTTTCCCCGCGCAATCAAGGAAGGTAATAAAGTAACCAATCATCTTTTTAATTCCCAAAGCAAAATATCAACGTAAAATATAAGTGATGTACCAGTGATTTATCACCTGATTCGCCTTCTTCGTAGACGTTTTCACAAACAGCGCGCGTGGCGTCCCAAAGAAACGGTTTGACGCAAGTCAATTTCAGATGGTTTAAGTTTCGCTTTATCTTTGCTATTTTCGGTTTACTTTTGTCCAGTGCGATAACAGTGCCCTGAAATAGGTTTATGAATGCTCAGAATCAAAAAAGGTCAGCGATGAAGAATACAGGCCCAATTAAGAGGATTAACCACAGTTGAAAATGTCTCCTCCTCCATACCTACCCTATCCTGCATAATCTGGGCAATGTGCGTCGTTTTACCACCTTAAAAGTTTTATCAAACGATCGAATTAGGTATAGACAACGCTGGATAATAGTGGATAATTATGGCTACTCATTCCTCCAGCAAAAAAGATAAGCAGTAAGTAAAAGCAGGCTTACAACGTTTCATCTATTTTAAAGGATAGGGTGGGGGTTCGAGTAGTCAAGGCTTATTTCTTAAACAATCGTTAATTTGTACCTGGAGCAGCACACATATCAAGGATTATCTCACCAGGCCTGGGCCCTAGTACGTGTGACGTAACAACCGATGGAAGATTTTGTAGAAAAACGCTATGTGATAAAAAGCCATTGAGAGATGGTGAAGGATACAAGGGCTCTGTCATGGTCACTGCAATACCACTATAAATGAAAGACGCGGAAGATATGGAAATTATACAGCCAACCGCTTTCAAACCGTGTTTTCCCAGCGGGTTTTAAAGATTTACGTCAATTTCGCGAAAATGTTTGTGACTTTGTCTCGCTCAATGCATGGTGCCAGGAGCGTAGCCAGCCCGCAAGTTTGGTCGTGCTATGTAAATTTTTCTGTGTTCACTCACTGTAAAAACAATAGATTTCTAAAGAAATGAATAATGGTCTTAAATTTACATAGCACGACCAAATTAGCGGGCTGGCTACGCCACTGCATGGTGCTCTTTTCTTTAAACTAACAATTTTGTTCACCGTCAATACAAACTTCCTCCATGTCTTTGGTTGTCCTCGCTTTCTTATGCTCCATCTTTGCTTTATTCTATGCTCTCTTGCTACAATTTTCTCAGAACATTCCCTTCCTCCTTCTTCAATGCCCACCATACCATCTCACTTCATTCATCTTTGTTATCGATCCAAGATTTCCTTCAATATCAAAATAATTTTTCTCACACATCGCCCTCACCAATGATCTCTGCCTCTCAGTCCTGAAAACTAACACCTTACTTTCTCATAAACACCACGTGTCAGCTACATACTCGTGTTTCAGTTTGACACGAGCTTACGTAATTACCTTGGTGCTGTAGGAGAGCCGAAAATTTCATTTCTTGACATCTTGGCCTTGCCATTGCCAACAAAAAGTTTCTTTCCATGAAATGGTTTTATTAAACCTCTCCTGCAGTTGCTTTCAACATCAGAGTATACTGAAACTATGTCACCTCTATTCATTCCTACAGAGATTTTTGATTTTCAGATGTTATTGAGTAAGGGGGAAGAATACAAGAGAACAATACCGGCTGGAGCAGCCAATACTCCTGGTGCAAATACTTGGGCACCTCTTGAAACAGCAACTCCACACTGATAGCCAACTATCACTTGATCATTATATTCTTTGGGCCTTATTGAAATATCTGATGCGGACACAAGTAATATGTCTGGTATGATGTGATGCCTAGCAATGCTGAAACATGGGGATGATTTGCATTTGTATTCCTGTAAAGAAGAAAAGCAAACAGTGTGAATAAACTATGACTTCTAACTGTACTGTGTTGCCATCCATCTATGTTCAGCAGGAATACAAATTTGCAATTAGTATGAAAACTACTGGCAACTGATTATTATTTTCACACCTGTTGAATATATTCTTGTAGACATGAATGAGCTTCATCCATGGTAGTTTGCAAAGTGTTTATTCGTAAAACTGTGTATCTTGGTGGCTTGGATAAACTGGAAATGATTTGGTGAAGAATTTCATCATGGCCATTCGAAGAATCAGGATTGCACTAGGAATAGTAAACGTCATGTAAAGCAATAATATCATATTTCATAGAGCATCTTTGATGAAATTGGTCAATGAAATAAGATATTATTGCTTCATTATCATTGATATTTTTCAAAGATGTACTTAACATATTTACCATTACCTCTTTGGTTAATCTGAGATTGGCATACGTGCCATCCCACAAATACTGTTTGACATCCTCAGAAACATCACAAAAATTCATTTGGTTAACTTTCTTGGTCATGCGGGGACTAGGAATAAGTCACAAAATTTTTAAATGTTCTGTGTCCTGAGCTTCTTTGAGGGATAGAGGGGGATAGAAATGGATAGAGAACATCAAGAGAGCACGAAATCAAAATGGCTGCAAATTTAATTTAATTTATATTTTTTAATCTACATTTTAGTACTAATATTTTTTATGCGATGATGAGCTTTGATGAACTGTGCTAAAACATTCACATATTAATCATTGAACTAAACTTAACGTTTGCATTTTGAATCTGACATGTCTACTATGTACCGGTCGGTGTTGGGCAAATATTTCAATGGCAAACAGATGATTCCCTCAATTCGATATTATGTTGCAGGTATGTCGGGGTTTTTTCTCCTAAAGCTGAAAAAACACCATCCTTAAAAGTATAACATATTTTTTAACAATGGATGATTATCATTCAACTGAAGTATGCATATTTTTAGGCTTTCCATCAAAGAAGATTCCATTTGTGAAGATTGGACAAAGTCGCAATGGATGTGGCTCCAGGTGAACTTTAGGGTTGCTTTTGCCGTTTCACGCTTGTTTGCATTGACTTAACATCAGGATGAATTAAATTCAACAAAGCTCTGCATGTTTTGAACAGTCCATGCCACACAATTTTATTGCATTATGTTGAGGCATTGCCTCTTTCTTGTGCTAATGTATATATTTTCTTTTTTATCTTTATAGTTCAACTTGTTCATTGCTTGCAAGGACATTGTCAAATTGTTCTGCCATCTTGAAAAGAAAACCTTACTTTATGCAGAGCAAGATGTCCACTCATAGATCATGTTCCTTTAAACTTTGTAACACCTGTTATAAAAATGCTTATTCATCTCATATAACCTTATCATCCATTTATGCTGAAAGAAAAATTCATGAAGTTTTCGCTTCACATTTTTCACAATTTACCGGTCAGGAGGGTGCTACTCCTGTTGGTGAAATTCCCATTGTAGCCAAGTTGAAGCCTCTCTCTGCAAAGGAAATCAAACCATTGCTCAAGCCGGAGGAAAAGTCTAAAGTTGAAGAAACTTGTGAGAGTTTGAAGGCCAAACAACAAGCTGAGACTTCAAAAACTTTCATTGAAGCTATGGATGAAGCATTTCCATCGAAGAAAACTGAACCAGAGCCAGTGAAAAAGTCAATTGTTGAGAGAATTGTTCATGAGGTGAAACATTATGCCAATGGTTTTCGCTTGTTGTTCATAAACATTCGAATATCTGTAAAGCAGCTGTGGAAGATATTGAATGGCCAAGATTTGTCACGGAGAGAAAGGAAATTGGTAAGAGTTGCAGTTAATTGTAAGGTCATATGGTTTGCTTTACACATATTGTGTGTCAAACACATGTTTGAGCATTTGGCACAAAATCGGCCATAGCACTATTGGTCAAAAATATATTTTTCAACCAGAAATGTGGGATGCCTTAGCAAGAATGTCTTCTGACTGGTAACTTCCCTTCATATATTTCGTGCAATGTTGTCATGTATGTTGACCTCAAAAATTTTTCTTGTGTTAACGATCAAATTTCCCTTCTGAAACTACTGGTTATACGTCACGTGATGTACGGTTATACGTCACGTGATTTACGGTTATACGTCACGTGATATACGGTTATACGTCGCGTGATTTACACTTGGTACAATGTGACAAAATGTTAGAACAACTACTTATGTTGTTTAGTTTCTACGGACGGTGTCTGATCTTTTCCGTTTGGTTCCATTCATGGTATTTCTCGTCATTCCTTTTATGGAATTCCTAATTCCGGTTGCACTGAAGCTTTTTCCTAACATGTTGCCGAGTACGTTTGAAGACAAAACTCAAAAGGTACGATTATGTCTCTCTTTGACGTTTTTGGTAAAGTTTTTGTATCATTTTTGAATCTTTCAATGTGAAACAACAACGCTGAATTGCTTCAGGATAAAGCCAAACGGAAGCAATTAAAAGTGAAACTGTCCATGGCAAAGTTTCTTCAGGACACCGTTGAGGAAATGGCGCTGTCGTCTGAAAGTCCAAAAAACCAAAAGGAGACAAAAGAATTTTATGAATTCATTGAAAAGGTTTGACAATTGAATTGTGACGATCAAATGTACATTGTTTTTTTTTGTTTGAATCACTATAAATTGAACGCAAGTGTACGAATGAACGAACGAACGGACAAACGAATGAATATTTTATTTCTACGCGCTAACCATTGTCAACATGTGACTTGTTTTTCACATGGGCTGTGCGAATGTATGTGAACACGATGTGTAACTCCCGCATTTTTCACATGGGCCGTGCGAATGTATGTGAAAATGATGTGTAACTCCCGCATTTTCACATGGGCCGTGCGAATGTATGTGAACACGATGTGTAACTCCCGCATTTTCACATGGGCCGTGCGAATGTATGTGAACACTATGTGTAACTCCCGCATTTTTCACATGGGCTGTGCGAATGTATGTGAACACGATGTGTAACTCCCGCATTTTCACATGGGCCGTGCGAATGTATGTGAATACGATGTGTAACTCCCGCATTTTCACATGGGCCGTGCGAATGTATGTGAAAATGATGTGTAACTCCCGCATTTTCACATGGGCCGTGCGAATGTATGTGAACACTATGTGTAACTCCCGCATTTTTCACATGGGCTGTGCGAATGTATGTGAACACGATGTGTAACTCCCGCATTTTTCACATGGGCCGTGCGAATGTATGTGAATACGATGTGTAACTCCCGCATTTTCACATGGGCCGTGCGAATGTATGTGAAAATGATGTGTAACTCCCGCATTTTCACATGGGCCGTGCGAATGTATGTGAACACGATGTGTAACTCCCGCATTTTCACATGGGCCGTGCGAATGTATGTGAACACGATGTGTAACTCCCGCATTTTCACATGGGCTGTGCGAATGTATGTGAACACGATGTGTAACTCCCGCATTTTCACATGGGCTGTGCGAATGTATGTGAACACGATTTGTAACTCCCGCATTTTTCACATGGGCCGTGCGAATGTATGTGAACACGATGTGTAACTCCCGCATTTTCACATGGGCCGTGCGAATGTATGTGAACACGATGTGTAACTCCAGAATTTTTCACATGGGCCGTGCGAATGTATGTGAACACGATGTGTAACTCCCGCAGCATAAAATTTCTGGACCTATCACGAGTGTCGTTTACCACCGAGGACTAACAATAGCACACGCACGCAACGTTTGGTATTATTCATAGTAGATGTCAACTAGATACGCACAAAAAATCTACTTAGAACGAGATAAGAAATGAAAAAACAACAGAATATAAGTAAAGTACGATTACCAATTGTTTGCGTTTTTATCCAAATCGCAATGATTCGTAAGGTTTCGGTAAAATAGTTAGAAAGTACTAGATTATGTGTTCGTAAGTTTAAAACATTAACAACAATATTGTTTTTAATTCTTGAGGACTGGCAGTAGTGTCAGTTACACGATGTCTTTAGCTCCTGAACAGTTTTTGTCTTTATTGATACTTAGTGCCAACATTCACCATCATTAATGTTTGCGGATTTGATTTCTTATACAATGAACATTTTGAAGTTAAAATATTACTGAAACGATGTGAATGTTCACGATGCTCATGATGTTCATGTGAGTTGCTTGTCCCATTCCCATGATGTGTTCTGTTTAAACTTTAGATACGCTCAAAGGAGAGCAGCCTACGAACAAGGATATTATAAGATTCAGTCGATTGTTTGAGGATGAAATTACGTTGGGAAATATGACCTACGACCAACTGAAGGCCATCAACAGAATGTTGGGTTTACACACAATCGGAACGACAACATATCTCCGATTTCAACTCAATATGAAACTCAGGCAACTCAGAGCTGATGATGTGGTGGGTATCTATGGTAACCAATTTTTACGTAATGACTGATGATCACATGTGTTTTCATCTACCACGTATGTTGCTATGGTGAATATCTATGATAACTTGAGGATTGTTTTTACGTAATAACTAAATATCACATGTGTTTTCATCTATTACGTACGAATTGTGGAGATATCTACAATGGCTAAGCTACAGGATAGTTCTAATGAGATGATTAAAGAAAATATGTGTTTTTATCTACTGCAACATATGCACCATTTACTATTTACCAGTTGATCAAGAAAGAAGGCATTGACAGCTTGAATGTCTCCGAACTACAAGCCGCATGTCAAGCACGTGGTATGCGAGCTTTGGGTGTTCCCGAAGCAAGACTAAGATCACAGTTGAGCCAGGTAAAATATCGACACCGGGGCAAACTAAGTGGTTTGGTCACACTTGCATCTACCGAAGCTAGTGATCATTTCCCGGAAGATTTTATATTGATAATCTGTAAAGGGTCGTCCGATTAATATTGATTTTGGTAATTTAGTCAATAATATTCATAAAATGAATTATATAAGTTTCTCATGCAACCATACACAGCACACCTCTTTAGCTAAACCCCTCGCCGTCATTCTGTTTGTAAATTGTAGTCAATGCTCGAAACGTGAATGTAAAAATTTTTACATTCCATAGTGGTTGGAGTTACATCTCGATGAACACGTTCCTGCCTCGTTACTTCTCATGTCTCGTGCTCTTTATGTCCCGGAGAAACTCGAAAGTCCCGTTGACCAACTCAAGACAGCTTTGTCTACATTACCAGTGGACGCGGTAAGATATGACAAATGGATGTTCTTAAGTGATCGTCGCTCTCATGATTCCAGTGATTTTTTTAAACGCAATAAATTTTAAACCACAGCTGGTACTTCTGGCATTTTGTGTTTTGCATGCAATATACATTCATCACGGAAAAGAGGTTTAAAAAGTTCTATATGCGAGAGTTTGTAGCAGAATATACGACTAAGGTAGACTGAGGACAAATCATTGGTAACAGAATATACGACTAAGGTAGACTGAGGACAGATCATTGGTAAGAGAATATACGACTAAGGTAGACTGAGGACAGATCATTGGTAACAGAATATATGATTAAGGTAGACTGAGGACAGATCATTGGTAACAGAATATATGATTAAGGTAGACTGAGGACAGATCATTGGTAACAGAATATACGACTAAGGTAGACTGAGGACAGATCATTGGTAACAGAATATACGATTAAGGTAGACTGAGGACAGATCATTGGTAACAGAATATACGATTAAGGTAGACTGAGGACAGATCATTGGTAACAGAATATACGATTAAGGTAGACTGAGGACAGATCATTGGTAACAGAATATACGACTAAGGTAGACTGAGGACAGATCATTGGTAACAGAATATACGACTAAGGTAGACTGAGGACAGATCGTTGGTAACAGAATATACGACTAAGGTAGACTGAGGACAGATCATTGTTAACAGAATATACGACTAAGGTAGACTGAGGACAGATCATTGGTAACAGAATGAATATACGACTAAGGTAGACTGAGGACAGATCGTTGGTAACAGAATATACGACTAAGGTAGACTGAGGACAGATCATTGGTAACAGAATATACGACTAAGGTAGACTGAGGACAGATCATTGGTAAGAGAATACACGACTAAGGTAGACTGAGGACAGATCATTGGTAACAGAATATACGACTAAGGTAGACTGAGGACAGATCATTGCTCATTACTACACCGACTTCAACAAATTGAATCGCCTGTTTATTGCGTTGGAATTACCGGTCTACGTTCAAAAAGTTCATCACGAAAATTATGCTTGAATTGATGTTTTATTCCATTGATTGTTCACTTTATATCTTGGCGTTTTACCTTCAAGATATTTTTGAAACAATTAAACAAATTTCCATCCAATAAAAAACGATAGATATACGTAGGTGAAACCGGCATCATATTTGACTACGTACAAGCTACATGAAGGTCACTTTACTGTGTTTATTTTTATGCTTTTGATAGGTTGACGAGGCCGAAGTTTTGGCTGCCGAACTTGCTGGTGAAGAGGCTGATAGACAAACAAAGATCGATCTATTGAAGAAAGAAGAACTTCTCTGCGAGGAAGAGAGGTTCGAGGAAGAGATCGTGAAGGAAGAGGATATAAAACGAAAGGAGTCCTTGGACACAACCGAAGTGAGTCGGTTTTAGAATGTTTAAATTCTTTCAAAATTTGTAATCGGTTAAAAGGATAGTCGTCAATTAGTGATAGATCCAACTTGATGTTTCATGGGGAGGACTAGTATTTTTAAAGTTGGCGCTCGGTCTGATGTTTTACGAGTGTGATTAATTTTTAACCAGCTGGATATATTATAGCTGTGACTATTCCTTTATAGAATTGAAACAGCTAAATCATGCATGAAACTTTATTTTTGGCTTAAAAATGAATTACTTTACTGTTGATGTCTAGACCAAATTTGTCAGTATTTGCTGTGGGATTGTAGAGGATAACGGGGATGCCATATTTTGCCCTTGTCGAATCCTAGTTATACGCTAGTAACGGTTTTCATCCAATCAGCATGTTTGTGCTATTAACATCATTTAATTTTTATTTCAAACAGCTGATGGAAGCTCGAGAAATCTTGTTCAGTCAAATGGAATTGCTCAAGGTATGTAGTGTTCCAGCTAATGCTTGAAGAGTGAAAAAGTCTTCATTTTCACAACAAAGAACATTTATCAACACGAAAGTCCATGTTCACGACAAAACATTACTGTGGTATGTTGCAGACCCCCAGTCCATTTTTGCATCGTGGCGATGATAAAATTTCCAAGGAAGAATGGAAGAACTTGGACCAATCATGGAAAAGTACATATGATGCTGACAAGGAGGATCTTACAAGGATACGAGAGGATCGTGTTGAATACCAAGAGGTCCACAACACGTGTTTGCTTTTCTGACTTAATCCCATCCTTCAGTTCACATGAATTTCATTGGATATGAAGAAATATTTTTGTACATAGGAGCTACGTGAACTGAAAGCTTTGGATGTCGAAAACACGATGAGAGAGAGTTCTGCATCTATACGCATCGGTAAACGTGTTGACAAATTGATTGAGGAATTGGAACAAGAACTTGATGACAATGTAGATGATATTTCACGGGTCATTGATCAGGACAAGTAAGAAATTTACCTCTTACAAAGTTAAACCTTTTACTAAAACCTCTTAGTTAAACCTCTTAGTTAAATCTCTTAGTTAAACCTCTTTGTTAAACCTCTTAGTTAAAACTCTTAGTTAAACCTCTTAGTTAAATCTCTGTGTTAAACCTCTTTGTTAAACCTCTTTGTTAAACCTCTTAGTTAAACCTCTTAGTTGAACTTTAGTTAAAACCTCTTTATAAAACCTCAAAGTGAAACTTAAACCTGTCTGTTTGATTTCTTAATTAAAGTCTTGATTAGGCCGACAAAATAATGTTATGGTCGTGCTCAAATGGAACAAATATTCATCTGCTTCGATTAACTTGAAAATTTTTGTAATGTACTGTTTGCTTATGAAATGAAAATTTCAGTCTTGCGCACATTTTCGTTACATCGCAGTCATTACCATCTAGAGATTCACACATTTCCATGGTTTTTGATTTTGTGTTACTATAGAGATGGCATAATCACGACAGCTGAGTTTTTGAATTACATGAAAGGGAGGGAAGGATGTCCCAAGGCAACAAAAATGGAAAAAATTTCAAAGATTCTTGATGAAGATCATGATGGAAAGATACGAATTTCCGACTTAAACAAGGTTTGTTGTGTGAATACGAGACATCGAGCCTGCCATATTCTATACTGAATACGTCGTGTTTTAGTTGTTGTTTTGGTTGCTGGCAAATGGAAAACATGTTGTGGTTCTTCATAATTACAACCCTAAAATGTTGTGCAACAATTGCTGAAGTTACTGCGAGTGCTACATCCTTTTCTTTTTGTATTTTCTGCAAACGTAGCTGCTGTAATGATTATTGATCAGTATATGGCAGTACTTATAGTTTCAACTTGTTTTGCTTTTATTAATATTGTAGAAACATGAAATGGCCAAGGCGCAGAACCGTCGAGTTCATTGAACTTTTTTGAGAGCTAATTACATTAATATGCATAATAATTTCAGCAAATATAAATTAATTTATGTGGGTTCAATTTTTTTGGGGCAACCTGTACATATGTTATTGCATGGCCAATGTTTTTTCGTACAGTCCAAATCTCGCCACATATAATCATGTCAGAATTGAATTTTTGATTCGCTAACTATTCAGCAAGCAAACTGTGATCTTGACCGATTTTTTGTTAGGTGTTGACTTTAATTTCGGAACAAGAAGTGGAGTTGAATGATCAACAAATCTCGGACATCATTAGCGTTGTTACCATGGAAGGTCAAGTCGAGGAGGAGCATATTTCCTAGCGATTCAGCTAAGTGGAAACATTTTTATAATAAATTTTATGCTTGGAATTGAACAACCCAAAATTCTATTCTAAATTGCGAACGGTCTATCTAAATCTGAGCGCAAGACCAAAAATTTCACTGTGTTAAATTGAAGCACGCGACATCAACGTGAAATGAAATGAGATAAAAAGTATATTTTCATTGACGGCAATATGTCATAATCCGGGGAAATAAAAAATCCGAAACCAGTCCTCAAGAATTTCATTCATTTATGTAAAATTTGTAGCGTGTCCAATGATAATTATATGAAAATTATCATTGCAATAACATTCCGTCCGAAAAGTCATACCAAGCTTTTACACTCGAGCCATTATTCTGTGCTCAACGCACATGAGATTTTGAAATTGATAAATTTGAAATCAGAGGATTTTCACTACTTTAATTAATCAATCACTGACACCTTGTCGAAGCATTCGGGCAATTATTTGAACTCGTAAACTATTCACAACTATTTAGTCTCTATCGATATCTTGATCGCTAAACTATTAAGGCAGTAGTAAATAAGTAGTTTCAGTTAGAAAAATGTTACAAGTCACAGCAATTATTGTCGTAATCTTGGTCGTATAGAACCTGTAGTGCTATACTTCATAAGTTAGCCTTGTTCTTGATGGTCTTTACGTCTCTTCGTAGGTCGTGCATCATTTTTATTATACTATGGTTCACTAGCCGTCTAAATGTACCTAAAGCTTGAACTAGAAGCCCTGTTTGCGTTCTAGACTATTAAGCATAGGTTAATAAAACTAATTCTAACTATTTTCAACGATACCCTTGGCTTTCTTAGAATTACCTATACTGTTTTTTACCGACCCAGTGATTTAAATCCGGTTACGGCGTTTTTGTTTAATTTGCTCCGTCAAAGTTATTGGTTCGTGATTGATTCACTGTGTATACATTGTGAACGAACAGCCCATGTAGGCTAATCAATCCAATAATTAGGTAGGTTCCTGATATGAGATACACACGGTTTGTGCTGCGTTTTGCGTTTATGTATATGGGAAAGAAGATAGTCCACACTGCGCATGTCACATACATTGTGAAGAGAAGGTACTTCGACTCGTTGACAGTCTCCAAGATCTTCCTCGACTTGAATGCGTACACTGTACACAATATCATCAGCAGCATGACGTAGTTGAGATTGACTGTAAAACCCACAACATCCGGGGTGCATTCTAGCACCAGTTCCTCTCTTTCGCTGTAGTAATTCTCTTCGGGATACGAAGGATTGATGGTTAACCATAGAGTTGTGAAGAAGAGTTGTGTTGTTACCATGCCAATCGTTACCAACAGTTGCATGCGGTTTGTTAAGATTTTTTGCGTCGTCGTGGTTGCGTTCATAGTGGTCTGATACAGTCGGTGGATCTTCATCAACATGGGAGCATAACACATTGTGAGCGTGGGGCCTGTCATCAAATTTCGCGCCAAACAGATGGATTTCTGTGGTTTTCTCAAAAATAACATGGGCACGCTAAAACAAAAGCTTATACCAAGTAACAGAATAAAACTCAGCTCCCGCCCGCCCGCCGTTATTAAGGTGTGATTTTTGTGTAAGATGTATGACGCAAATACAGCAAACGTGAGTGCAAGCGACATAAAACATAAAGTCACCAATGCAATTGATAAACCGTTGTTCCAATCGACAAAGACCACCTTGCGTTTTACCCATCCACTGCGGTTCATGTTAGGAAGCCAACCTACAGGACCGCTGACGCATGTGTTGTTGTTAACTATTTCTTGTGGTTCGCATTCATGGCAACTCCAGCAGCATTTAAAATCGAACGTTGGTATCCGTACGCTAGTCTCATCATGGCGACATGTTTTTGTACAGAAAGACGAAGGTGGATTACTTTCACCTTTCAGCCAAGTTATTTTCTTCTTAATTATCAACCGTGACGTAATATGACCGGTTTCGTTTATGTCACCGTCCCAGGTTCCCACTCGGATGTATTTATTGACGCCATCTTCCTGTCGAAAATTGACGATGTCGTACATGCCGCTGACCTCGTAATTCTGATCAAACCTGAACGCGCTATTCACGGACGGATCCCAGAAAGATACATTCTTGAGGTGGTCCAACAATCTCCGTCTTTCAATACGATTCATCTTGAAGCACAGCCCACTTTTGTTTGGGCACAGCTCTTTGTGCAGGCTATGCAACGCTTTGGCAAATGCGTTCACGGCATTGATTACCACCCTGACTGGACTGTATTCAATATCGACGTCGGCAAGAGATTCGTCGCCTTGGCAATTTTCGGATTGGCTCCCAGCAACGGTCTTGGGAAGACAATTGAATCGATGTTCCCAAAATTCGTAGAAGTATCTGAAATTATATTTTAGTTTGACGGCATGAAACATTTCATTGAAAAATTGAAATTGTTCAGAAGAATAGAGACGATTAACTGTTTAGGAAAATGGAAACAAGCAAGTGGAGCAGCCTACGTTTTCATACACGAAAACTGGTAATTGTAGAATTTTATGTAACAACGTAAAGAAGCTAGTGAACGTGCAAATGAAGAAAACATATATAATATTACAAACCTTTTGTCAAATGGATAGTTGGTCAAATTCAAATTAGTAAAGTATCTTCGAAACTTTTCCGATAGTTTTCCCGCTCTCATCATGATTGTTATTGCACCAAGTGCAGCCTCCGGTGCAGTTTCAACGACATGTGGTCTGTTGCTCCAACCGTCACTTCCTAACCACGTAAAATCACGTGGTGCCTGATGACTGTGCTTAGCATAGGCCTCCAGAAAATTACGTATTACAGTCTCCGTTCCAAAGATGACAATTACCGAAACGTTGCTCTGTTCGGCTCGCCGAAAGATCTTCAATATGGTGTTCTCATATTCCTTTTCAGAGGGGTATGCTTTCATTTCCGCCTTAAAGTCGACGCATATACCATTCCGTTGGGCCACTTCCGTAAACTTTTTCATACCTTCCGTACCGTATGGTCCGGCTGAGTTGATGGTGGAGACATAAGTCCAGTTAAACTCTACGAGAATATCAACCATTGCCTGAGCTTGAAATGAATCTGGTGCAACGACGCGCAGAAAGTAACTGTAGATATCTTTGTTACTTAAGATGATACTCGTTGAAGAATAGCTGATCTGAGGAATCTCGAAGACACGAAGAAAATTTGCAACAGTTTCAGAAACCCCGCTACTAAGCGCCCCGATTACTCCTGCCAACGTAGAATTGCGATTACTTGACAATGTCATTTTATGAAATTCTTTGCTGCATTTGCTGCGATGGTTTTACTCTGACAAGTGTCGTATATTCTTGCGCCCAGTGTGATGTTTGGGAGTATGTTGGGATCGGAGTTGATTTCTCGGATCGTGAAGAGCATCGCTTCCATGTATTGGAAACCTGGTACTTCACTAAAGGGACCACACGTGTTTTCATCTTTTTTGCTTTTTTTGTGAAGCGGAAACAGCCCGCCCAAAATGATGTCTCCGTCAACATGGAGTGCACCTTTCAAATAAATACAGCAATTTGTTGATTCAATGTTTCTTTTTACAAGAAATGTATTGTTTTGTACTTCTGGATGCGGAAGTTAGCGCTTACAAGTTTCTACTGGTATTGGCTTTATTGAATAAAATGGACGTGCCGAAGACTGACTGACGTAGCAAATAACGATTTCATTGTATGTAGATTTTACTGTATCTAGATTATTCTATAACCATAATTTACTGTGACTAGATTTTACTGTATCTCTTGCTTGGCACATCATCAAATTGTGCACAATTCACATTTGCGCGGACAAGTGCACACAAGCGGACACAATCCACTTAAAAGTGGAGTTAAATTGTGATTATGCTTATCGCGAATTCTTGACTTGCAACCGTTCTCTTGAGATTTACCAAACAATGTTGCTCACGCACGTCGGCTCTGTGCCAACAATAACACTGATAAGATATTCTTTTGTATCATACCACCAACATGGCTGAATTGCAAGTCAAGAATTCTAGCTTTCTTTTCGTTCAAGTTTTTGCAAGGAACGAGTTTTTGCGAGGAACGAGTTTCTCGTGATCCCAAATAGTACAGTATAATAAACTTTTGGTTGAGTTCTGTGACAACATGACATATTTCACTCACCTTCGTCATTTTTGCGTTCCAAGCCGACATTTTACCTCGCAGGCAAGCATTGCTATAACGAAAATAATTATTAACATGACGATATAGAAGGCGTTAAGATCGTTTCTTCCTCCCGATGCTTTGAGTCTCTTTGGAAAATACAAATGTCCTCTTCGTCGTCAACACTTAAAATGAAAATGAGTTGTCAATATTTGTTTCCGTTGCAACAACTTCGCACTTACGATAATGAAATATGGTCTAGATTTGACGTGTCATTGCATCTTTTCATTATTAATCACTCATTTCGTTTGCCACAAGTTAATTACGAGAAAGCAATTGGTATTTGGACCTCGTTGAATGTCGACTGTCATTTTTGCATTCGAACAGCACACTTGAAAGTAGAAAGGAAAATTCAAAACTCTCAGACATATCACGGCTTAAAGTTACCATTTTCCATGAAAAATTGATGACCGTTTCGACAGCAAGTCTTATACGTCGTATAAAATCTTCAAAATTGTTCAACAGAAGAAACGTATGTGAAGTTTCAAATTTAACATGATGTCTATCAATCATTCGCACGGGCCATGCACTGCTTTTGGTTTACATTTTGTGTTATGTTTTTAAGTTCAATAATATCAATATAGGAAGTGACTGGTCTCATCACAAGACATGTTTCACTATCAGGTATGTGACACGAACTTGAACTTCACACACAATATATCAAGCTAAGTCATTTGCACGTACAACATTCATTGTAACAGCTGAACGAGCGACGGTAATAGTGTGATATTTTATTACATTCATTATCATAAATTTAATAAGGTAATAATTATACTTTGTACAAAATCTAATTCGGACATCTTGATATTCAAGATTACAAGTTTGAAACATGGTGTAATATTTCGTCTTTGTTCCAAAGACATCATCGACATCAAAGACATCATCAGACATCATGACTATAAGTCTGATGATGTTTTGGAATAAAGACGAAATATTACACCATCTTTTGTTACAAATAATATCTTGAATAAAGATAATTATATTATACTTATACTTTATAGGACTCAATATCACAATGTCCACAACCTACGACATCCTGTTCATTTTATTATCTCTTCATAAGGACTTGGACGAATAATGAATTTTTATAAATGTTTTCATGCTTTACTACCACTTCTTGTAGTTTTAAGGTCAATAGCCGTCATCCATATTTTTTAGGAATATTAAATATTGCTTCAATATCTCGTTATCTTATCATAAAATATTTACAGTTCTGCATGATAAGTGTAAAATAACTGGTGTGGGGTATGTTTACCATAACATAACTTGTGTTAAATGACAAATGCAACATAGCCATTGTAGTATAACTTATCTAACATACCAAGTGTTAAATGTAACTTGTATAACATGGCAAATGCAACATAGCCATTGTAACATAACTTATGTAACACAAATTGTTCAATGTTCTTTTGTAAGCATGTTTTGTGTTTCGTAATTTGTACAACGGCACTGTTGTTATACAAGTTTTACAACACAGATGCAACATAAATAGTGCACAGCATAACTATTGTAACATAACAAGTGTATCGAATAATTAAAAATCATCGTTTCCATACTTCATCACGACGCATCACTATGTCCGTTTAGCTTTTTATCCGTCATATCATTCACGTGGTTCGAGATTTCTCGTCGATCCTCGGAACCAGGCAAATGCCGTTGAGTAGATCGTGACGTCATCACCAAGTCATCATTCCGTAGATTCTTCACGAAATAGATGATGTAAATCTTTTGCGAGAACAGGCCGACTAGTGTGATCAGGCCTATCACGATACTTGCCAACGAAATGAGATAAATATGCGTCGAACTGTCCTTCGTGTTCAAGTAGAATGGGAAAAAACCGAGCCACACGGCACACGTGATGTACATGGTTATCCCAATGTACTTGGACTCATTGAAATTCTTCGGGAATGTCCGCGTCTTGAAGGCATAGACGGTGCAAAGTATCATGAGAACCATAACATAGCACAAGTTTACGGAGAAGCTGAGCTGGTCAACTTCGCATTCCAGGACTAGCTCTTTGCGATTGCTGTAATATTTCTCAGTTGCCGTCACTGGTTTTGCAATAAACCAAAGAGTTGTGAACATGAGTTGAATGGAAAGCAACGCAAACGTAAATCTGAGCGCAAGACCAAAAATTTCACTGTGTTAAATTGAAGCACGCGACATCAACGTGAAATGAAATGAGATAAAAAGTATATTTTCGTTGACGGCAATATGTCATAATCCGGGGAAATAAAAAATCCGAAACCAGTCCTCAAGAATTTCATTCATTTATGTAAAATTTGTAGTGTGTCCAATGATAATTATATGAAAATTATCATTGCGAATTACCTTCCGTCTGAAAAGTCAGACCAAGCTTTTACACTCGAGCTATTATTCTGTGCACAACGCACATGCGATTTTGAAATTGATAAATTTGAAATCAGAGGTATAATATAAAACAAATTCCGAAGAAGCAAGACATCTTGAGATTGCAAAATATGAATCAAAACAAGACGAGAAGTAAACTGTAAATTTTCGACTTTATTAAAAAGTCATCCTCAAGATGTTTTGCTTCTTCGGAATTTGTTTTATATTATACTTCTTTAAATTGTCGGCTGGTCATGGTTTTTGTGAAATCAGAGGATTTTCACTACTTTAATTAATCAATTGCTGACACCTTGTCGAAGCATTCGGGCAATTATTCGAACTCGTAAACTATTCACAACTATTTAGTCTCTATCGATATCTTGATCGTTAAATTATTAAGGCAGTAGTAAATAAGTAGTTTCAGTTAGAAAAATGTTACAAGTCCCAGCAATTATTGTCTTAATCTTTGTCGTATAGAAGCTGTAGTGCTATACTTCATAAGTTAGCCTTGTTCTTGATGGTCTTTACGTCTCTTCGTAGGTCGTGCATCATTTTTATTATACTATGGCTCACTAGCCGTCTAAATGTACTTAAAGCTTGAACTAGAAGCCCTGTTTCCGTTTTAGACTATTAAGCATAGGTTAATAAAACTAATTCTAACTATTTTCAACGATACCCTTGGCTTTCTTAGAATTATCTATACTTGTTTTTTACCGACCCAGTGATTTAAATCCAGTTATGGCGTTTTTGTTTAATTTGCTCCGTCAAAGTTATTGGTTCGTGATTGATTCACTGTGTATACATTGTGAACGAACAGCCCATGTAGGGTAATCAATCCAATAATTAGGTAGGTTCCTGATATGAGATACACACGGTTTGTGCTGCGTTTTGCGTTTATGTATATGGGAAAGAAGATAGTCCACACTGCGCATGTCACATACATTGTGAAGAGAAGGTACTTCGACTCGTTGACAGTCTCCAAGATCTTCCTCGACTTGAATGCGTACACTGTACACAATATCATCAGCAGCATGACGTAGTTGAGATTGACTGTAAAACCCACAACATCCGGGGTGCATTCTAGCACCAGTTCCTCTCTTTCGCTGTAGTAATTCTCTTCGGGATACGAAGGATTGATGGTTAACCATAGAGTTGTGAAGAAGAGTTGTGTTGTTACCATGCCAATCGTTACCAACAGTTGCATGCGGTTTGTTAAGATTTTTTGTGTCGTCGTGGTTGCGTTCATAGTGGTCTGATACAGTCGGTGGATCTTCATCAACATGGGAGCATAACACATTGTGAGCGTGGGGCCTGTCATCAAATTTCGCGCCAAACAGATGGATTTCTGTGGTTTTCTCAAAATAACATGGGCACGCTAAAACAAAAGCTTATACCAAGTAACAGAATAAAACTCAGCTCCCGCCCGCCCGCCGTTATTAAGGTGTGATTTTTGTGTAAGATGTATGACGCAAATACAGCAAACGTGAGTGCAAGCGACATAAAACATAAAGTCACCAATGCAATTGATAAACCGTTGTTCCAATCGACAAAGACCACCTTGCGTTTTACCCATCCACTGCGGTTCATGTTAGGAAGCCAACCTACAGGACCGCTGACGCATGTGTTGTTGTTAACTATTTCTTGTGGTTCGCATTCATGGCAACTCCAGCAGCATTTAAAATCGAACGTTGGTATCCGTACGCTAGTCTCATCATGGCGACATGTTTTTGTACAGAAAGACGAAGGTGGATTACTTTCACCTTTCAGCCAAGTTATTTTCTTCTTAATTATCAACCGTGACGTAATATGACCGGTTTCGTTTATGTCACCGTCCCAGGTTCCCACTCGGATGTATTTATTGACGCCATCTTCCTGTCGAAAATTGACGATGTCGTACATGCCGCTGACCTCGTAATTCTGATCAAACCTGAACGCGCTATTCACGGACGGATCCCAGAAAGATACATTCTTGAGGTGGTCCAACAATCTCCGTCTTTCAATACGATTCATCTTGAAGCACAGCCCACTTTTGTTTGGGCACAGCTCTTTGTGCAGGCTATGCAACGCTTTGGCAAATGCGTTCACGGCATTGATTACCACCCTGACTGGACTGTATTCAATATCGACGTCGGCAAGAGATTCGTCGCCTTGGCAATTTTGGATTGGCTCCCAGCAACGGTCTTGGGAAGACAATTGAATCGATGTTCCCAAAATTCGTAGAAGTATCTGAAATTATATTTTAGTTTGATGGCATGAAAGATTTCATTGAAAAATTGAAATTGTTCAGAAGAATAGAGACGATTAACTGTTTAGGAAAATGGAAACAAGCAAGTGGAGCAGCCTACGTTTTCATTCACGAAAACTGGTAATTGTAGAATTTTATGTAACAACGTAAAGAAGCTAGTGAACGTGCAAATGAAGAAAACATATATAATATTACAAACCTTTTGTCAAATGGATAGTTGGTCAAATTCAAATTAGTAAAGTATCTTCGAAACTTTTCCGATAGTTTTCCGCTCTCATCATGATTGTTATTGCACCAAGTGCAGCCTCCGGTGCAGTTTCAACGACATGTGGTCTGTTGCTCCAACCGTCACTTCCTAACCACGTAAAATCACGTGGTGCCTGATGACTGTGCTTAGCATAGGCCTCCAGAAAATTACGTATTACAGTCTCCGTTCCAAAGATGACAATTACCGAAACGTTGCTCTGTTCGGCTCGCCGAAAGATATTCAATATGGTGTTCTCATATTCCTTTTCAGAGGGGTATGCTTTCATTTCCGCCTTAAAGTCGACGCATATACCATTCCGTTGGGCCACTTCCGTAAACTTTTCATACCTTCCGTACCGTATGGTCCGGCTGAGTTGATGGTGGAGACATAAGTCCAATTAAACTCTACGAGAATATCAACCATTGCCTGAGCTTGAAATGAATCTGGTGCAACGACGCGCAGAAAGTAACTGTAGATATCTTTGTTACTTAAGATGATACTCGTTGAAGAATAGCTGATCTGAGGAATCTCGAAGACACGAAGAAAATTTGCAACAGTTTCAGAAACCCCGCTACTAAGCGCCCCGATTACTCCTGCCAACGTAGAATTGCGATTACTTGACAATGTCATTTTATGAAATTCTTTGCTGCATTTGCTGCGATGGTTTTACTCTGACAAGTGTCGTATATTCTTGCCCCAGTGTGATGTTTGGGAGTATGTTGGGATCGGAGTTGATTTCTCGGATCGTGAAGAGCATCGCTTCCATGTATTGGAAACCTGGTACTTCACTAAAGGGACCACACGTGTTTTCATCTTTTTTGCTTTTTTTGTGAAGCGGAAACAGCCCGCCCAAAATGATGTCTCCGTCAACATGGAGTGCACCTTTCAAATAAATACAGCAATTTGTCGATTCAATGTTTCTTTTTTCAAGAAATGTATTGTTTTGTACTTCTGGATGCGGAAGTTAGCGCTTACAAGTTTCTACTGGTATTGGCTTTATTGAATAAAATGGACGTGCCGAAGACTGACTGACGTAGCAAATAACGATTCATTGTATGTAGATTTTACTTTATCTAGATTATTCTATAACCATAATTTACTGTGACTAGATTTTACTGTATCTCTTGCTTGGCACATCATCAAATTGTGCACAATTCACATTCGCGCGGACAAGTGCACAAGTGCACAATCCACTTAAAAGTGGAGTTAAATTGTGATTATGCTTATCGCGAATTCTTGACTTGCAACCGTTCTCTTGAGATTTACCAAACAATGTTGCTCACGCACGTCGGCTCTGTGCCAACAATAACACTGATAAGATATTCTTTTGTATCATACCACCAACATGGCTGAATTGCAAGTCAAGAATTCTAGCTTTCTTTTCGTTCAAGTTTTTGCAAGGAACGAGTTTTTGCGAGGAACGAGTTTCTCGTGATCCCAAATAGTACAGTATAATAATTGCTTTTGGTTGAGTTCTGTGACAACATGACATATTTCACTCACCTTCGTCATTTTTTGCGTTCCAAGCCGACATTTTTACCTCGCAGGCAAGCATTGCTATAACGAAAATAATTATTAACATGACGATATAGAAGGCGTTAAGATCGTTTCTTCCTCCCGATGCTTTGAGTCTCTTTGGAAAATACAAATGTCCTCTTCGTCGTCAACACTTAAAATGAAAATGAGTTGTCAATATTTGTTTCCGTTGCAACAACTTCGCACTTACGATAATGAAATATGGTCTAGATTTGAATTCTAAATTGTTGAACAGAAGAAACGTATGTGAAGTTTCAAATTTAACATGATGTCTATCAATCATTCGCACGGGCCATGCACTGCTTTTTGGTTTACATTTTTGTGTTATGTTTTTAAGTTCAATAATATCAATATAGGAAGTGACTGCACCTCATCACAAGACATGTTTCACTATCAGGCATGTGACACGAACTTGAACTTCCCACACAATATATCAAGCTAAGTCATTGACGCGCGTGCTTGTACGAAAGAAGATTCTCTTTAAGAACTTCGCTAACATCATTCGCTAAATCAACGCGTTATTGTAGCAACAACATTCATTGTAACAGCTGAACGAGCGACGGTAATAGTGTGATATTTTATTACATTCAGTATCATAAATGTAATAAAGATAATAATTATACTTTATAGGATTCAATATCACAATGTCCACAACCTACGACATCCTGTTCATTTTTATTATCTCTTCATAAGGACTTGGACGAATAATGAATTTTTATAAATGTTTTCATGCTTTTACTACCACTTCTTGTAGTTTTTAAGGTCAATAGCCGTCATCCATATTTTTTTAGGAATATTAAATATTTCTTCAATATCTCATTATCTTATCATAAAATATTTACAGTTCTGCATGATAAGTGTAAAATAACTTGTGTGGGGTATGTTTACCATAATATAACTTGTGTTAAATGACAAATGCAACATAGCCATTGTAGCATAACTTATCTAACATACCAAATGTTAAATGTAACTTGTATAACATGGCAAATGCAACATAACTATTGTAACATAACTTATGTAACACAATTTGTTCAATGTTCTTTGTAAGCATGTTTTGTGTTTCGTAATTTGTACAACGGCACTGTTGTTATACAAGTTTTACAACACAGATGCAACATAAATAGTGCACAGCATAACTACTGTAACATAACAAGTGTATCGAATAATTAAAATCATCGTTTCCATACTTCATCACGACGCATCACTATGTCCGTTTAGCTTTTATCCGTCATATCATTCACGTGGTTCGAGATTTCTCGTCGATCCTCGGAACCAGGCAAATGCCGTTGAGTAGATCGTGACGTCATCACCAAGTCATCATTCCGTAGATTCTTCACGAAATAGATGATGTAAATCTTTGCGAGAACAGGCCGACTAGTGTGATCAGGCCTATCACGATACTTGCCAATGAAATGAGATAAATATGCGTCGAACTGTCCTTCGTGTTCAAGTAGAATGGGAAAAACCCGAGCCACACGGCACACGTGATGTACATGGTTATCCCAATGTACTTGGACTCGTTGAAATTCTTCGGGAATGTCCGCGTCTTGAAGGCATAGACGGTGCAAAGTATCATGAGAACCATAACATAGCACAAGTTTACGGAGAAGCTGAGCTGGTCAACTTCGCATTCCAGGACTAGCTCTTTGCGATTGCTGTAATATTTCTCAGTTGCCGTCACTGGTTTTGCAATAAACCAAAGAGTTGTGAACATGAGTTGAATGGAAAGCAACGCAAACGTAGATCTGAGCGCAAGACCAAAAATTTCACTGTGTTAAATTGAAGCACGCGACATCAACGTGAAATGAAATGAGATAAAAAGTATATTTTCGTTGACGGCAATATGTCATAATCCGGGGAAATAAAAAATCCGAAACCAGTCCTCAAGAATTTCATTCATTTATGTAAAATTTGTAGTGTGTCCAATGATATTTATATGAAAATTATCATTGCGAATTACCTTCCGTCCGAAAAGTCATACCAAGCTTTTACACTCGAGCCATTATTCTGTGCTCAACGCACATGAGATTTTGAAATTGATAAATTTGAAATCAGAGGTATAATATAAAACAAATTCCGAAGAAGCAAGACATCTTGAGATTGCAAAATATGAATCAAAACAAGACGAGAAGTAAACTGTAAATTTTCGACTTTATTAAAAAGTCATCCTCAAGATGTCTTGCTTCTTCGGAATTTGTTTTATATTATACTTCTTTAAATTGTCGGCTGGTCATGGTTTTTGTGAAATCAGAGGATTTTCACTACTTTAATTAATCAATCGCTGACACCTTGTCGAAGCATTCGGGCAATTATTCGAACTCGTAAACTATTCACAACTCGTAAACTATTCACAACTATTTAGTCTCTATCGATATCTTGATCGTTAAATTATTAAGGCAGTAGTAAATAAGTAGTTTCAGTTAGAAAAATGTTACAAGTCCCAGCAATTATTGTCGTAATCTTTGTCTTATAGAAGCTGTAGTGCTACACTTCATAAGTTAGCCTTGTTCTTGATGGTCTTTACGTCTCTCCGTAGGTCGTGCATCATTTTTATTATACTATGGCTCACTAGCCGTCTAAATGTACTTAAAGCTTGAACTAAAAGCCCAATTTCCGTTTTAGACTATTAAGCACAGGTTATTAAAACTAATTCTAACTATTTTCAACGATACCCTTGGCTTTCTTAGAATTATCTATACTTGTTTTTTACCGACCCAGTGATTTAAATCCTGTTATGGCGTTTTTGTTTAATTTGCTCCGTCTAAGTCATTGGTTCGTGATTGATTCACTGTGTATACATTGTGAGCGAACAGCCCATGTAGGGTAATCAATCCAATAATTAGGTAGGTTCCTGATATGAGATACACACGGTTTGTGCTGCGTTTTGCGTTTATGTATATGGGAAAGAAGATAGTCCACACTGCGCATGTCACATACATTGTGAAGAGAAGATACTTCGACTCGTTGACAGTCTCCAAGATCTTCCTCGACTTGAAAGCGTACACTGTACACAATATCATCAGCAGCATGACGTAGTTGAGATTGACTGTAAAACCCACAACATCCGGGGTGCATTCTAGCACCAGTTCCTCTCTTTCACTGTAGTAATTCTCTTCGGGATACGAAGGATTGATGGTTAACCATAGAGTTGTGAAGAAGAGTTGTGTTGTTACCATGCCAACCGTTACCAACAGTTGAATGCGGTTTGTTAAGATTTTTTGCGTCGTCGTGGTTGCGTTCATAGTGGTTTGATACAGTCGGTGGATCTTCATCAACATGGGAGCATAACACATTGTGAGCGTGGGGCCTGTCATCAAATTTCGCGCCAAACAGATGGATTTCTGTGGTTTTCTCAAAAATAACATGGGCACGATAAAACAAAAGCTTATACCAAGTAACAGAATAAAACTCAGCTCCCGCCCGCCCGCCGTTATTAAGGTGTGATTTTTGTGTAAGATGTATGACGCAAATACAGCAAACGTGAGTGCAAGCGACATAAAACATAAAGTCACCAATGCAATTGATGAACCGTTAATCCAATCGACAAAGACCACCTTGCGTTTTACCCATCCACTGCGGTTCATGTTAGGAAGCCAACCTACAGGACCGCTGACGCATGTGTTGTTGTTAACTATTTCTTGTGGTTCGCATTCATGGCAACTCCAGCAGCATGTAAAATCGAACTTTGGCATCCGTACGCTAGTCTCATCATGGCGACATGTTTTTGTACAGAAAGACGAAGGTGGATTACTTTCACCTTTCAGCCAAGTTATTTTCTTCTTAATTATCAACCGTGACGTAATATGACCGGTTTCGTTTATGTCACCGTCCCAGGTTCCCACTCGGATGTATTTATTGACGCCATCTTCCTGTCGAAAATTGACGATGTCGTACATGCCGCTGACCTCGTAATTCTGATCAAACCTGAACGCGCTATTCACGGACGGATCCCAGAAAGATACATTCTTGAGGTGGTCCAACAATCTCCGTCTTTCAATACGATTCATCTTGAAGCACAGCCCACTTTTGTTTGGGCACAGCTCTTTGTGCAGGCTATGCAACGCTTTGGCAAATGCGTTCACGGCATTGATTACCACCCTGACTGGACTGTATTCAATATCGACGTCGGCAAGAGATTCGTCGCCTTGGCAATTTTTGGATTGGCTCCCAGCAACGGTCTTGGGAAGACAATTGAATCGATGTTCCCAAAATTCGTAGAAGTATCTGAAATTATATTCTAGTTTGATGGCATGAAAGATTTCATTGAAAAATTGAAATTGTTCAGATGAATAGAGACGATTAACTGTTTAGGAAAATGGAAACAAGCAAGTGGAGCAGCCTACGTTTTCATTCACGAAAACTGGTAATTGTAGAATTTTATGTAACAACGTAAAGAAGCTAGTGAACGTGCAAATGAAGAAAACATATATAATATTGCAAACCTTTTGTCAAATGGATAGTTGGTCAAATTCAAATTAGTAAAGTATCTTCGAAACTTTTCCGACAGTTTTCCCGCTCTCATCATGATTGTTATTGCACCAAGTGCAGCCTCCGGTGCAGTTTCAACGACATGTGGTCTGTTGCTCCAACCGTCACTTCCTAACCACGTAAAATCACGTGGTGCCTGATGACTGTGCTTAGCATAGGCCTCCAGAAAATTACGTATTACAGTCTCCGTTCCAAAGATGACAATTACCGAAACGTTGCTCTGTTCGGCTCGCCGAAAGATATTCAATATGGTGTTCTCATATTCCTTTTCAGAGGGGTATGCTTTCATTTCCGCCTTAAAGTCGACGCATATACCATTCCGTTGGGCCACTTCCGTAAACTTTTTCATGCCTTCCGTACCGTATGGTCCGGCTGAGTTGATGGTGGAGACATAAGTCCAATTAAACTCTACGAGAATATCAACCATTGCCTGAGCTTGAAATGAATCTGGTGCAACGACGCGCAGAAAGTAACTGTAGATATCTTTGTTACTTAAAATGATACTCGTTGAAGCATAGCTGATCTGAGGAATCTCGAAGACACGAAGAAAATTTGCAACAGTTTCAGAAACCCCGCTACTAAGCGCCCCGATTACTCCTGCCAACGTAGAATTGCGATTACTTGACAATGTCATTTTTATGAAATTCTTTGCTGCATTTGCTGCGATGGTTTTACTCTGACAAGTGTCGTATATTCTTGCCCCCAGTGTGATGTTTGGGAGTATGTTGGGATCGGAGTTGATTTCTCGGATCGTAAAGAGCATCGCTTCCATGTATTGGAAACCTGGTACTTCACTAAAGGGACCACACGTGTTTTCATCTTTTTTGCTTTTTTTGTGAAGCGGAAACAGCCCGCCCAAAATGATGTCTCCGTCAACATGGAGTGCACCTTTCAAATAAATACAGCAATTTGTTGATTCAATGTTTCTTTTTTCAAGAAATGTATTGTTTTGTACTTCTGGATGCGGAAGTTAGCGCTGACAAGTTTCTACTGGTATTGGCTTTATTGAATAAAATGGACGTGCCGAAGACTGACTGACGTAGCAAATAACGATTTCATTGTATGTAGATTTTACTGTATCTAGATTATTCTATAACCATAATTTACTGTGACTAGATTTTACTGTATCTCTTGCTTGGCACATCATCAAATTGTGCACAATTCACATTTGCGCGGACAAGTGCACAATGCACTTAAAGCGGACAAGTGCACAATCCACTTAAAAAGTGGAGTTAAATTGTGATTATGCTTATCGCGAATTCTTGACTTGCAACCGTTCTCTTGAGATTTACCAAACAATGTTGCTCACGCACGTCGGCTCTGTGGCAACAATAACACTGATAAGATATTCTTTTGTATCATACCACCAACATGGCTGAATTGCAAGTCAAGAATTCTAGCTTTCTTTTCGTTCAAGTTTTTGCAAGGAACGAGTTTTTGCGAGGAACGAGTTTCTCCTGATCCCAAATAGTACAGTATAATAATTACTTTTGGTTGAGTTCTGTGACAACATGACATATTTCACTCACCTTCGTCATTTTTTGCGTTCCAAGCCGACATTTTTACCTCGCAGGCAAGCATTGCTATAACGAAAGTAATTATTAACATGACGATATAGAAGGCGTTAAGATCGTTTCTTCCTCCCGATGCTTTGAGTCTCTTTGGAAAATACATATGTCCTCTTCGTCGTCAACACTTAAAATGAAAATGAGTTGTCAATATTTGTTTCCGTTGCAACAACTTCGCACTTACGATAATGAAATATGGTCTAGATTTGACGTGTCATTGCATCTTTTCATTATTAATCACTCATTTCGTTTGCCACAAGTTAATTACGAGAAAGCAATTGGTATTTGGACCTCGTTGAATGTCGACTGTCATTTTTGCATTCGAACAGCACACTTGGAAGTAGAAAGGAAAATTCAAAACTCTCAGACATATCACTGTTTAAAGTTACCATTTTCCATGAAAAATTGATGACCGTTTCGACAGCAAGTCTTATACGTCTTATAAAATCTTCAAAATTGTTCAACAGAAGAAACGTATGTGAAGTTTCAAATTTAACATGATGTCTATCAATCATTCGCACGGGCCATGCACTGCTTTTTGGTTTACATTTTTGTGTTATGTTTTTAAGTTCAATAATATCAATATAGGAAGTGACTGGTCTCATCACAAGACATGTTTCACTATCAGGTATGTGACACGAACTTGAACTTCACACACAATATATCAAGCTAAGTCATTGACGCGCGTGCACGTACAACATTCATTGTAACAGCTGAACGAGCGACGGTAATAGTGTGATATTTTATTACATTCATTATCATAAATTTAATAAAGGTAATAATTATACTTTGTACAAAATAAAACTAATTCCGAAGAGGGACATCTCGTTTTCTTGATATTCAAGATATTACAAGTTTGAAACAAAAGATGGTGTAATATTTCGTCTTTGTTCCAAAGACATCATCAGACATCAAAAGACATCATCAGACATCATGACTCATAAGTCTGATGATGTCTTTGGAATAAAGACGAAATATTACACCATCTTTTGTTACAAACTCTTGTAATATCTTGAATATCAAGAAAACGAGATGTCCCTCTTCGGAATTTGTTTTATTTTGTATTATTTGAAATTGTCTGCTTGTCCTGGTTATTATACTTTATAGGACTCAATATCACAATGTCCACAACCTACGACATCCTATTCATTTTTATTATCTCTTCATAAGGACTTGGACGAATAATGAATTTTTATAAATGTTTTCATGCTCTTACTACCACTTCTTGTAGTTTTTAAGGTCAATACCCGTCATCCATATTTTTTTAGGAATATTAAATATTGCTTCAATATCTCGTTATCTTATCATAAAATATTTACAGTTCTGCATGATAAGTGTAAAATAACTTGTGTGGGGTATGTTTACCATAACATAACTTGTGTTAAATGACAAATGCAACATAGCCATTGTAGTATAACTTATCTAACATACCAAGTGTTAAATGTAACTTGTATAACATGGCAAATGCAACATAGCCATTGTAACATAACTTATGTAACACAAATTGTTCAATATTCTTTTGTAAGCATGTTTTGTGTTTCGTAATTTGTACAACGGCACTGTTGTTATACAAGTTTTACAACACAGATGCAACATAAATAGTGCACAGCATAACTACTGTAACATAACAAGTGTATCGAATAATTAAAAATCATCGTTTCCATACTCATCACAACGCATCACTATGTCCGTTTAGCTTTTTATCCGTCATATCATTCACGTGGTTCGAGATTTCTCGTCGATCCTCGGAACCAGGCAAATGCCGTTGAGTAGATCGTGACGTCATCACCAAGTCATCATTCCGTAGATTCTTCACGAAATAGATGATATAAATCTTTTGCGAGAACAGGCCGACTAGTGTGATCAGGCCTATCACGATACTTGCCAATGAAATGAGATAAATATGCGTCGAACTGTCCTTCGTGTTCAAGTAGAATGGGAAAAAGCCGAGCCACACGGCACACGTGATGTACATGGTTATCCCAATGTACTTGGACTCATTGAAATTCTTCGGGAATGTCCGCGTCTTGAAGGCATAGACGGTGCAAAGTATCATGAGAACCATAACATAGCACAAGTTTACGGAGAAGCTGAGCTGGTCAACTTCGCATTCCAGGACTAGCTCTTTGCGATCGCTGTAATATTTCTCAGTTGCCGTCACTGGTTTTGCAATAAACCAAAGAGTTGTGAACATGAGTTGAATGGAAAGCAACGCAAACGTCAGGAGTAGTTGAATATGTGGCGTCACCAAAGGAGGTCTTGCCACGGATGCCTTGGCACTTATGAATATTCGATAGATTCTGTTTATCTTCATGAACAACGGAGCATAACACATGGATAGTGCCAGTCCCACGCAGAAATTTCTTGTGTAGCATACGGAATCGCTTGGTTTAGAAATGTAGAAAAAGGGCACGATGAAACAAAGTGATATGCCAGCCAGAATTACGCAGCAAAGTTCTCTACCCGAGGCTTTGACCAAACGGTTTTGCTTGTGCGTGACGTAGACAACGACAGTGGTTAGTGCGAACGTTAGGGATATAAGGGACAGTGTGATGATGAGAACGGACATGGGGTCATTCCATTTTGGATACAAGACCTTCCTCTTTACGAAACCTGTATAATTACTGTTTGGTTCCCAGCCTAATGGTCCTGATACGCACGTGTTATTTTCGTTCACAATTTGAAGCTCTTTACATTGACTGCATTGCCAACAACATGGAAATGCCCTCTTCTTCAAGGGAATTCGAATGGCTGTTCGCCCACAGTCACTGGAGCAAAACGACACTGGTGTTTTCACTACATTACGTCGCCATTGTATGGCGTTCACATTCAGCCGAAGCTGTCCGTTGACGTTTCCGTGAATCTGCTCACCGTTCCATTCACCAACATGTACAAACTCGTATCTTCCTTCGACGTTTTGTATGTTCAAAATGTCGTACGATCCATTCACTTCTAGATTCTCATCGAATTTAACGGTCGTGTTCAAACTTGGATCAATGAATGACACGTTTTTCAGATGTTCTAGCAATCGGGAACGCTGAAATTGCGTCATCTTTTTGCATATACCATGCTCTCCTGGACATAACTCTTTTTGCATACTATTCAATGCGTGTGCGAATGCATATACGGCGTTGATGACCACTCTGATCGGACTAAATTCTACGCTCGAGTTCTTAATTTTTTCATTTCCAGTGCAACTTTTTTTGAAGTTTCCTATCTTGTAAGGCTGCTCCTCGTTGCGAAAACGACATTCAAAATGCTCTTCCCAAAATTCTTTAAAGTATCTGTGGATAATGGACAATACGAGTGCTATTAGTTATATATACTCAACCTAATCAGATTTTATAAGCAATAACTACATAAAACATGATTGGCTGATTATAAAAAGATTCATTTACACATGCAAGCACATAAGTCGGATGATAAGGACACGAATTGATAGTTGTTTTGTTATATCTGTGCATTTGTGTTCATAGTTGACTTTTCGCTTTTAAACTTTTGTGTATTTTTGTAATGGACATTCGAAATTTAGGTGAAAATTGTCGATGATTTGTTGAAAATAACTTTAGGGGCGCAAATCCCCCCCAAAATGGGGGCAGATGGGTTAGACGTTGTGAAACCGACTTTTATACTCTCTTTATTTGATAGACAAGCTCATAATTTTAGCTGGACCGAGTTTTCCTACATAATTCACAAAAGGTTTTTTGGGAAGGGGAATTGTGTACTCGTTATCGTCGTAGACAGACAAGTCAACACAACGATACATTATATGTGTATTAAACCAAGTATAATAGATCTGAACATAGTGCTAGTCACATGATCTGGTAAGCACTACTTATTGTATGCTAATTTTAAATTTTCCCACTTTATCTTCTGTTCTGCTCGACACCACACGGCGAGAACAACGCATATTAAATATATGTCGTTTTGCTTCTGCTTTAATAATAAATTAACATGTTATGGGCCCAGGACACTAGAGCGTCTGGGTAGTATCGAAGATTTGAGTTTGAAGCAATGAAATGTTTTAAATAAAACAAAGTGAGACTGAAGCGTGCAACAATATGGTGATGTCACCCGACTTTGCATTGAAAATGACAAAGCTGAATGGGACAAACTATCGCGACTGGGACGTCCTGCTGATGATGCTCCTGAAGCGGTGAAAAAGAAGTTCATATCTTCCGCGAAGAAGGCGTGGACTTACATTTGTTTGGCCGTCGAGCCTGAACAACAAATTCATGTCCGGGAAACGAAAACAGCGAAAGAGGCGTGGGATGCCTTAAAAGCCCAATTTGCACGAGAGTCAATTTTGCTGAAAATCAAGTTAAGGCAGCAATACTTTTCCTGCAAATTCCAGTCTGGAAGTAATATGTTGCAACATATCAATCACATGCGTACACTTCATGATCAAATGCGAGAGATGGGGATAAGTGTAAATGACAAGGAATTGGCGATGACCTTGTTGGCAAGTTTGCCTGATGAGTACAAACCTCTGATTACCGCATTAGATGCTGTTGGGAATGATAGCTTAACGTTTGAAAAAGTCAAAGGCATGTTGTTGAATGATGTGGACAGAATGGGTGATGAAAAGAAGTATGAGGATGCCTATTCCGTTCAAAGAGGTAGATTCAACAATGACACGTCAACTCATGGAAAAGGGAAAGAACGAAGGGATTATAAGAAACAATTTCAAGGAGTTTGTCACAATTGCAAGAAAAAGGGACACTTTGCCAGAGACTGTCCAGAACGTTATAGAAGAGGGAATAAGCAACAACATGGTGATCAAAATAAGGGATCCGTCCATTGTGCAGAGAAAGATGAAGCTGATCTTGATCAAGAATTTACATCCGACTGTGGAGATAATGTCCACTGGATTGTAGACTCTAGGGCTACTCAGCACATGACGTACCAAAAGAACTGTCTATATGATTATGTGGATTTCAAGAAGCCATGCATTGTAAACCTAGGTGATGATCGAAACATATCATCGTATGGAAAAGGATCATACAATATTTTGGCAGATATCAATGGTATTTATCAAAATATTAGTCTTCGTGAAGTACTGTATCTTCCAGAATTAGGAAAAAACTTGTTATCTGTAAGAGCAATGACAAGATTGGGCGCCTCAGTAAAGTTTCAAGGAGATGAATGCTTAATCTCAAGAAATGGAAAGTTATTGGCAAAAGGTGAGATATGTGGAAAATTATTTGTGTTAAAAACTATCAGTGATGAGCAAGTCAATGTTGCGAAGAAAATGTCTCAGGGAGAATTATGGCATTGTCGGTTTGGGCATTTGGGATATGATAACATTTCAAAACTTGCTAAAGGTAATATGGTTAGGGTTAGGGTTAGGAATGAATAATTTTCAAGAAGATGAAATCAAGTCTATGTGTGAATCATGTATTATGGGGAAACATCATAGGACTCCCTATCCAAAGAACGACCCTCACCGAGCAGAGAAGTCATTCGAAATTGTTCACAGTGATGTGTGTGGTCCAATTGAGATACCATCTCTTGGAAAATCTTTATATTTTGTCACATTTATTGATGACCTTTCCTGATGTACACAAGTATATTTCATCAAACAGAAAAACCAAGTCCTGGAAAAGTTCAAGGAATTTGTAAACTATGCTGAGAATTCTGGAAAGAAGGTGAATATCTTGCGCACTGACAATGGAGGTGAATACTGTTCTAAAGAATTCAATTCATACTTGAAAGAAAAAGGCATAACACATCAAACCACTGTCCCCCACAATCCAGCACAAAATGGAGTGGCTGAACGGATGAACAGGACACTATTAGAAACCGCTCGATCGATGATGGCTCATGCAGACATTCCCACTGAATTCTGGGCTGAAGCTGTGAGTACAGCAACCTATATAAGAAACCGAAGTCCTACTACTGCTGTGAAAGAGGTAACACCACTTGAATGTTTCTTTGGTTATAAGCCAGATGTGTCAAGCATGAAGGTATTTGGTTGCTTAGCTTATGCCCATATTCCTAATATGGGCAATAATTACTCTATAATTGCTACTGGTACATACAGTTGGTCGTTGCCATGAGCATGAACTTGGAGAGTTGACTACGATAAATTAAATGAGTTTTAAATGAGCTTTGCTGAAAAGATTCGTGTCATTAAAAAAAGCGATGGCTATTACTTACATGTTACTACCATTGTTATCGTTATTCCACTTGAGATTGAAGTAATATTCCTTAAATTCCTCCAACACTTCACCATGTTTAAATTCGACCTCCAGTGCACCAAGAACGGACTCTCCTCCCAGTTGGCTCAAATAGTCAACATTTCCCCAGCCATCACTTCCAATCCACGTGAAACGATGCTCTTTGTCATTCAGTTTTGCAGCTTCGAAGATTTTGCGCGCGTCATTTTGCGTCACAAAAAGCACGACCGCTGACATGTTCGTTTCAAGGGAGCTCTCGATCAGAGAATTTATCAGATTCTTGTATTCCTCGTCCGTAGGAAAACGGTTTAGGCTCCAGTCCACATCGATGCAAATATTGAACTCGGTCGCAAACTCTTTAAGCTTACGTATACCGCTTTCACCATACTCACCGTGCGAGTTCACGACGGAAATGAAACTCCATCCGAACCGCAGAACGATATCTATTATTGCTTTTGCTTGAAATGTGTCGGGAGGCACCGTACGCATAAAGTAACTATAAATGTCCTTGTTGCTCAAAGTTTCGCTCGTGGAAGCATAACTTATCTGTGGTATCTCGAAGACACGTAGGAAATTTGCCACGTCAAGTGAAACGCCGCTCGTAAATGCGCCCACAACTCCTGCAAGCTGCCGCTGATCGTCATCGATTGTCATTTTGATGAATTCCTTAGCGTGGTTGGCGCCAATTGTTTTGCTGGCACATGTGTCGTAGATGAGAGTGCCCAATGTGATGTTTGGTAGAAGCTTTTCGTTTCTGTTAATCTTTTCCACGGCAAAATTCATTGCTTCCATGTACTGAAAACCGTTCTGCTCATTAAATTCCGCGCACTCGTTCTCCGACTTCTTGCTCTTTCTATGGATGGGAAATAGTCCACCTATAATGATGTCGCCTTCCGTTTTCCTGGCTGCTGTAAGATACGTAATGATTACTTTCGATCAGATATAAAATTGATAACACACATATACATGAAACCAACAATATTTTCGCATGGTTTCCAAATAATTTACAGAGTCAACTAGCATGCAAAGTTATCAAAATGATACGGTACATCACACTAATGGTTTCAACTGAGACATTTAACGCTTGAGTTTAGAGTAATTACTTCCATTTGTGGTTAGGCATGACGTCTAATATTGTACAGCTTGGTTTTAATACGATCGTAAAAGTGTCACAACTGTATGATAAATGGGGCAGAGATCCCTGCGACACGTTCGCGAAATCTTCACGACTATAAATGCATGGCAACCGAGCTCAAGTGACTTTTTCCATTCTTAGAACTCTCAAAAATTATCAGCTAACAAATTGCGACATGTTGTTCATTAATGCAGCTTTATCACGAGAATACTGTGTGGCATTTCATTGGCTATCGTGCTATTTCATTTCAATCAGAGACTGTGATATTTCTAAGCAAATAAAAAGTGGTTCTGACTTGTTTTCATCTATGATGTGGCAAGTACGTAGTCAAGAATGGATATTTTTATGACGTCCTCTTTGACGATACGCAGTCCTTTGTCTATCGTGTGAAAATATAGTGACACGTGCACCGACCTACTTAATATCACAACGTAAAAATTTTATGTGTTGGTTGCTTCCTATGCCTGAAGTGCTTTGAGAAAATATCTCACTATGAAAGATCACAGTTTTTTCTATAAATTTCTATGTAAATGATTGCGTTATTAGTTCATATGTATATTCACAAAAATCTGTCGCGACATTCAACACATCCCAATGAAGGTTCTGGCTGGCTCGTTTTCAATTAGTATCGGTTTGTCTGATGAAAATGAGTATAGCAAAACAAGGCTTGCATCTGGTTTAGATGTTAACTGTGCGAACTATATTCACGCCTCGTTCTCTACCATGACCTTCCATGTACAATGCTGTAATACGTTTTAAGAAACATTTTCTATACAATTGAAATGGTGGAACCGCTTCAATGGAATATTATAGAAACTCTTTGAAGCAATCGTTTCAATATTCATATAAAAACATGGAGCTCTTCTCTGTTCCTGTGGAATCGTTATTCTGACACAATAACCACTGGAGCTACCTGCTATAAAGGTGTAAAAGTTGTTCAAAAATTCGTATTTCGTGAAAGATTAACTATGTGTTCACTTCATTGTTTCATCACATATCTGTGTTTTGCAACACGTGAAAATGTCACATTAACTTTATAAATTTTCAAACCTTTTGCATGTGCCATCGTTGATGAATCGATGCTTGAAAGGAATAACGTTATGAAAGCCCAGAACATCATTTTTTCCACGAGTGTTTGAACTGTGTGATTGAAGTATGCGGTTTCTCTCCGACTGTGTCAACGGTCTGTCTTGAATACAATGTATTGATCGACCTTAATTTCAATTACAGGATAATTTATACACGCATCGTTGACATTTTTAAATTAGTTCCGGAGGCAATATATTGCCTACCATCGGTCGTTCACTTAGACGTTTGAACGTTTATCGGTGTAACAAGGTTTTTTTATCTTTTTGCCTCACGACCTTTCCATTGTCATTTAAATTACCAGTTACATTGTTTATCTCCACGTGGCTGTGATGTACGTACAGCTCAACAATTTCAATTCAATGTTGCATTAAGATGAAATTCGAGATAACTTAGCGTTAGACTGGTACCACGTGTTTCTCCATTCGCTTTGCTTACAAGGTTGAAAGTTAGTGTTAGGCCGAAAGGAGATAGTAATTAGTTAAGATCTTCCTTTGGTGTTGTCTATGAATCAACATAAAATTTTTAAATGAATACTAAACTAACAGACATACTGACAAAAAACGTAAATCAATCGCTTTTCTTCCCGCTCATCCCCTCCCCCTCTTATCATACTTGAAAATTGTGTGGGTGAAGAATGTTCTTAATTCGTTGCTAGAGTTCTTTGTAAATATTGACATCGGTAATTTTACTTTAATTCTCACATTATTAATGGCAGTAATCGAAGATCCGTGATTAAATTTCTTTCTTCCACACACAAGACATGCATGCCGGGCAACCATTTATTGCAGGTTGTTGAGATGGTTTTCCTATTATCGCATTTAATATTTTTTCTTCGCGATCAAGACCCCTTGCCATGCATTGTCTAGTACGCGTGAAGTGTGCACTAAGATCACGCATTGGAATACTTGAGTTCGTACTCAGCCATGTATCATGAAACTTTAATACCGCTTGCGTAGACGAATATTCATCAATTTCTGACTCTCTTCCGTTTTTTCTTAGACATTTTTTTTACTTTAAAGTTAACGGTTTGGTGTTCTGTGAGGATTATCAATTGCAATGTTGGCATGAACGATTAAAACATGTTTTGCTCTAAACTTTACAAACATATGTAAGTTATCTAAGCATTTTCATGTATTAATTGGCTCGCGTTTTTGTTTCGTCCTGCTTTTGTGCTTTAATTAATATCACTTGATTAAATATTAAGGCAAACCATCAGCCATAAAAGCCACTCTGCGGTTGTTTTGTACGTTTATCATCATGTATAATCTCAGTGGAGATTACCAGGTATTATTTTGATAATTTCTGTTTTGAGTTATCGTCATTTCAACATCATATGAATCATTGCATGTCGAAGGTTTTTATTACTTTTCTATGACTTTTAGAATTTCGCTTTCCACATATGACTTCTCACACATTATCGTACGCGAAAATGTTGCTCGAACCATTTTTTAGCTTAAGCGACGTTATCATTTTCGCAGATTTTTTTTGCTTTTAGCTGCTTCTTGTAAAGTCTCATACAGCCAATATATAGATATATATAGATATGTCTTAAAGAAAGATAAGCATCACACCTGCATATGTGATCGTCATAAATAGACATGGATGTAGCTGCAAATATCAGCCTGCAGTTTAATAGAAAAGCTCTTAACCATTCAGATCTTTTTATTGTATATATGGCACATATTCTTCGTTGTTGTTAGCTGTTAGATATTATACGTTATAGGATTTCTTTTGTGTCCATTTATTCATTATATTTATGTACACAATTAAGGTGTGGCAAAAATCAATACGACCAAATAATTGCATAACACTGTATATGTATTGCACAATGCATACCATAAATGAATAAAAAAAGTAATGGGAAATACAGCAGAATAGAACACGAAAAATTTTTGCACCGTTTTTCTTCTTATATGTAGAGGAAAGAATTCTGAAAAGGAAATAGTCTTTAAAAAAAATACAGTTGTGCAGATTAAGGGAGAAACACTACTTGGAATTGATGATGAAAAATCGAAGAGTTTTGAGGTACACGCATGTTTAAATCAAGAGTTATATTCATAACTTATTTCATAGACATGCAATGATTGCATAGAATGTGTCTTTTCGCATTTGGAGATATAGAGGCTGAATAAATATTGTGTGTTTTTCCTACTTTGCGAAAATTTCATGAAAATGTTTACATATAATTAGAGCGATGATTTTGAAAGATGCTTTAGTTTGTTTGTGAAGGGCTTTTTGACAGTTCTATGTTCTGTTTGTTCAGCTAAACAAGGTTTTTGTTTAAGGCTTTAAGCTATGAAAAATCATCTGAGAAAATTTACTCTCTTTTTTTCATTTTTTTTTTAATAAACGATGTAAATAGATTATTTATAAAGAATCCATGGATTGTTTATAAATCATCTATTTTTATGATTCTTATAAACGTCATCAGTTTGAATTTTTTTGAATGGCAATTTTCTGAGCAGTTCAAGTGGTTTAGGAAAAAGTACTTCTGCGTTATTAAAAAATGCGCATTTTCTTTTGCGGCAAGTCAATAGCTACTTCCTAATATTCGCCTGACGGAATAGAAATATATATTTGTCGTCTGTTAGGACTTGGGAGTGCCAGAGAATTTCATTGTTTTTTCCTGTATTGCAACTTCCCTCCTTTATTCTGTCGAAAATTTTGCTCATTACATATTGTTTGTGTACATCAAGAAGCGTTCGGAACAAATTACTAGCAGAAATTCTTCGATCGTTTTAAAGGTAGGTAAAATGTCAAGAAGTCAGTATATCGGAGATGTTTATTTTGTTGTGATGAAAAGCAAATTTCTTTGCTTGCTTGCTCTGTAGTCGTTTGTTCTTACTCAAAAGCAATCGCATTATTTTGGTTATTATTTTTTTGTCATTTAATTCAAAACGAGTAGGATGTACTAATTTTTTTGTCGTCTATAAGCATAAAGGTAATTTGTCATATATATTTAAATAATATTCGTTTGTGACCTCTTGTATTGACCTGCTCTAAAATTTCTGCTATTAAATAGCCATGGAGATTCGATTTCTTACGAAACTTTACGATATTTATCTCATGCATTCTCTGTTAAATGATTTTTAAATCTATATGATATATATTTTCACGTTGAGGAATATGACGATTTTTTGATACCCGTGACTTTCTGCCCACGGGGAAGGTGTCAACATGAAATAGTCATTTACAGCTCTTTTATACGTTTCTTGCTTTTGGTTATGCTAGGTTTAAAAAGTTTGTAAAGCATCCAACTTACATTCATGAATCGGCTGTTGGACAAAAGTCGATGTTTCATTTATCGTGATAAAATTCCATCTGTAGATATTAGTGAGTTTCGTTTTCTATTTTGAAAATTTCATACTTTATACTAAACATATTTATATTCTACATATATATATAAATATATGTATAGTTTTACCGTGTATTTCATTATATCCTGCTAAGATGTAAGTTTATCTAAGCTCGTAATTATTTTTATTATCATAAATGTCGATAAACAATATTACATTTGATCCTTGCCAATAGACGTGACTAAGTCTCCTACAGTAAGCTCTTTCACACAAGTTTCTTTAAATGATCACATCTAGTCCGAAATTGTCTTTCCTTGTACTTTGCAGGAAAATCTCAACTTGTAAATAGAAGTATTACACATTGCCAAGAATAATTGACCGAGCCAATGCTTTCGTGATGTTTTGATTGATATACCTTTCCGAAAAACAATATTTGAAGTATGTGTTTCGTTGATGATGCTTGTTTTGCATCTGTTGTGTGGACTTTCGGCTAACCCAGCTGTTCCATGCAAGTCTTGCGATTGGCTTTTTGATGATATGACGACAATCATAATTAAAAACTAGTTTGATTGGGCAAACAAATGTACATTTTTAAGGCATTTCTATGTATTCATTACGCCTTCGGAGATAATTCATGATTTTTTTGTTGATTTTTGTATGCTCGAAGTTCCGCCTGCACAAGATTACCTTGATGACCGTGAAATGAAACCATTTAAATGAAAAGCTCCATCATCATTGACATTCTAATAGTTTTAGAAACGTGAAGTTTTGCTTGTGATTGCTTGTCTCGAATGCTGTAGATACAGGGAAATTTTAATTTTGAACAGTGGGAAACGAGAGTCGATTGAATGTAAGTCGATCTATATGCGTGCTACGAAGCTAATGGTGACGTTATTGCCAATTGTCTGAACATGGGTTACTCGTGCAATAAATACTTTTGGTTTTAAATATGTCCATGATATGTCTTGGGAGCTATGACATCACTGAATGCATTTAAGTAGAAATCGTGGTCGGTCATCATTTTGTAAACTATATGTTTAAGTCCAGTGACGAGTGATAACTCCAGTGATGACTGAGATCTGTAAAATGTAGACGTAGCAATTTGATATTTTTCACTCACTTTGTTTCCATCTTCTTCACAAAATATAAACTCGTTATAATGATAGTTTTTGTCTTGACTTATGCGTATGTGTTTTTTATAAGTTTCAGTCTATCTTGACCACGGAATTCATGGTCGTATTTTGGTCTTGATCAAACGAGCGAAGTCTAGAATTCTATATTTTAAATGAAAAGGAAACGAGTTCGGGATATGAAAGTGTTGGTCCTGCTGTTATCATTACCATTGTTCGGGGCGCAGAATTTAGAGACAAACGAATATGATGATGATGATGATGATAGTGAGTTCTTAAATCTAGCTTATCTATTGCTGAATTTCAAAAGTATGTTTGAAAAGGAAAATACTTCATTTTTGTTTCGATGTTGGATGATTCTGTCAAAATTTTTTCTTCCTTGCTTTTATTGCATTTCAGAATTCATTTGTATTTTTCAAACATCTAGCTCAATTCGCCGTAAAAAAACATACGTCGTTTTTTTTAGACGAATTCTACATCAACAAGGATGGTGATCTAATCTTGGGCGGCCTGTTTTCTCTACATCTTCGTGGCGATAAAGAAAACAGCTGTGGAATGTTCGAGAGCATGCCGGGATATCAAATGTTGCAGTCCATGTTATACGCCATCGATAAAATCAATAACGACACCAATATTCTTCCTAACGTCACGCTGGGTGCTAGGATCTATGATAGTTGCTATAGTCAGGTACATGTTTATCTTCGTCCATCGTCATTTATCATTTCTTGTCATCATCATGAGTGCACATCTTTACAACTTTACTGACAAATTTACCCCCCCCCCCTCCTTATGTCCAAATGACTTCTATCATCTTACACTCTGATGAAAATGAAAGTTTCGTCATAAAATTCATAACGTTGAAACTTATTCTTTATGTTTGTGAAGGTCATTGGAGCTGATATGACGAAGGAGTTGATAATCATGACCTTGATGGAACAAGAGAACGAACAACTTGTTGGAGTAATCGGCGCCCACTCTAGCGATCTCTCTAAGGTGGTGGCGGATTTTTTACGAGTGTTTGAGATCCCACAGATAAGCTACGGCTCGTCGGCTTCTGTTTTAAGTGACAAGACCGTCTACAGTTACTTTTTCAGGACCGTTCCACCTGATACACAACAAGTTCTTGCGATGATTGACATTATGATTGCATTCAATTGGAACTACGTTATCGTTATCAGTTCAGATGGTTTGTACGGAGAAACGGGTGCGGAGGAGTTCGTTAAAGCTGCTAAGAAACGCGGTATATGCATTGCACTGCAATTAAAACTCCCTGCGTTCCCGTCACCAAAGGAGTATGATGATCTAACGCAAAAATTGAATTCGGAGCCTGAGGTGAGAGTAGTCGTGACGTTTGTTAACGTACGGGACATTCGCTCCGTTCTTGAAGCGTTGCATCGAAATAATATCACGAAGCAATTTATTTGGATAGGCAGTGACGGCTGGGCGAATAACTTGAACGCTATTGAAAATTACGAAGATTATGTCCAAGGGGCGATAACTCTCTCTCAACATGTCACGCCAGTCGTTGGCTTTCGTGAATATTTTCAAAAGTTAAATGTTTATGAAGAATCAAACTGGAACAATACATGGCTTCAGGAATACTGGCAAACTTATTTTCATTGTCGACTGAGAAACCGTTATGCACCGTTTTCTCGAAATTGCACTGGTAATGAAAGTCTAGCGTCCAGTCCAGTGGCATTGGCTCCGGTTCAAACAGTCGTTAATGCTGTTTACGCTTTTGCACATGCGCTGCACAATTATCTCAAGAATCGTTGCCTTGGCAATAGTTGCGAGCGTGTGTCGATAGACCGAACGATATTGCTTGATTATCTGCAGAACGTCTCGTTCAATGATGTAGCCACTGGTAAGAAATTCGAATTCAATGATAATCAAGAGGTATGTCGAGGTTATTCCATTCATAATATTCAAAAACGCGAGGGAAAATTTGTGTATGAACACGTTGGGAATTGGAGCAAAGTAGGAAAAGGGCTTCACTTGAATTTAACGTCTATAAAATGGCCGAATGATTCGAGAAGTCCACCTGTTTCCGTCTGCAGTCATCCCTGCAAGAACGGTTATTTTCGACAAAAGAAAGGTAGCCATGACATTGCGTGTTGCTGGAATTGTCTTCAATGCAAGTCTCACGAAATAGTCAAGAGCAGCAACGAGTCATGCGCGTCATGTCCTTTCGGTGAGGTGCCTAATAATAACCAATCAGATTGCATTGAGCTGCCATACGTCACGGCTTTATCCCAAGGTTCTTCTCAAGCTATACTATCTGTATCGATGATTGGCCTATTTCTAGTCACGTGTACAGCCGTTATATTTTTTTCAAACGGTAACATGCCCCTCATCAAGGCATCTAGTCGGGAGTTATCTGGAATTATCCTTGTCGGTCTCGCGTTCATGTTTGTGTTTCCATGGTTTTTATTCGCGGAACCGACTACAGCCTTATGTATTTGTCAGCCACTCATACTTGGCTTCTCTTTGTCTGCATGCTACGCTCCGCTGTTCATGAAACTCTTGCGTATATATCGTATTTTCAAGGCAGCACAACAATCTGCTGAAAAGCCCATCCTTATTAGTCCATCGTCACAAGTGCTGATTTCTCTTGGCTTGATCGTTGTCCAAGTTTTATTTTCATGCATATCATTCTTTCCCAGTCCACCGAAACCCGTTTTTCGTGTAATACACAACGGTCATTCGTTGTTTGTGGAATGCTCTACGGAAAAAGATATCTTCGCCACGCTGCTTTCGTACAACATGTTTTTGATGCTTTTGTGCACACTCATGGCCTTCAAGACGCGAAAATTTCCACGTAATTTCAACGAAGCAAAGTTCATCGGGTTTACGATGTATTTTACTTGTTTTGTGTGGATAATATTCTTTCCCTCTTACCTGAGCTCTGCTAATGGCTTGGATCGGATTATCTGGGAGAGTGGAGCCGTTAATATGATTGGATGGATCACTCTCTTCGGCTTATTTGGGCCTAAGATATTTCATCTGGTGCTACGTAATCACTTGTCGTCGAGCAATCGAGAAACAGCCCTGACTACTAATAGTGTTTCTCAAGCAGCCGTTGTCACTGTAAGCACGGACACGTCAAAAAACATTCTAGAAAAAGTCAAAGCAGAAGTTGAAAACAAATCCAGCAAAGACTCAACTGATGACAAGAATGAGCACGACGACCAAATAACACCTTTTTAATTCTATAAAGTTCTTTTTACAACTGCAGAGTCAATAGTAATCCAGTATCTCCATGATTTCTGTCAATGGTCGTTTTATTTTTTCTTCATGACAAAGTCTTGAATACTGACCACCCATTCTTGTTTTGACGACACACATTACCTTTAAATCTTTGTCGGTCGTTGTTCAAACTATTCATTTATTTCTTCAATCATTTTGCAAGGCTTTCACTTATGTTTGACTATGCTTGTTGCGCTATGATTGACAATGATTGGTTGACTAAACATCAACTTTACTCAATGGCAATGTTTTTTTTCACGTTGAAATTTCATTGTATTCCTGTATTATATATCGAGCAGCTTATTCAGTAGCTGTGTTTTTTACTTCTTATTAAAGTTTAAGTCTTGTTGTTGTAAAATTTTGGGCAAATCCAATGAGATAAATTGTAAATTCTACTTATTCTAGTCACTATGCTTTCATCTTCATCTTGTGATTGTCGATCAATGATCGATGTGGGTGGCGGGAAATTGAGAACTAGTGAATTTTCCTGAAAGATGGCGGGCAATTTGATGGTGAACGAGAAAGCTCCGGACAAAGATACGACTCCTTCTATCCGAAAGCTTGACGAAAGCGTCGTAAATCGTATTGCAGCAGGCGAAATTGTAAATCGGCCAGTGAATGCCGTCAAAGAAATGATAGAAAACTGCCTTGACGCCAAAGCAAACGCTATACAAGTTACTGTAAAATCTGGAGGATTAAAATACCTACAAATACAAGACAACGGCTGTGGTATTCGTCAAGAAGACATGCCTATAGTATGCGAGCGATTCACAACCAGTAAACTAAGCAAGTTTGAAGACTTGAATAAGATTTCCACTTACGGTTTTCGTGGTGAAGCATTAGCTAGCATAAGTCACGTTGCCCATCTTACAATCATAACAAGAACCAAAAACTCGAACTGTGCTTTCAAAGCTCAGTACAGCGATGGGAAACTCAAGGGTTCGCCAAAACCGTGTGCTGGAAATCAAGGTACTCAAATAGTAGTCGAAGACTTGTTTTACAATATGTTGACTAGAAAGAAAGCCTTAAAAAACCCGAACGAGGAATATGCCAAAATAGTCGACGTCGTTGGAAAATATGCCATACACAACTCAGGGATTGCGTTTACTGTTAAAAAACTTGGCCAGAACTTTGGTGATGTGAAAACACTTAACTCTGCCGGGATTGTTGACAACATCTCTGTTATCTATGGTGCTGGTATCTCCAAAGAAATAATTTCAGTTTCGCATGACAACCAACATTATGGTTATAAAATGAATGGCTATATTACAAATGCCAATTATTCCATGAAGAAATTTATATTCTTGCTATTTATTAACAATCGTTTGGTTGATTCTCCATCAATTCGTAAAGCAATAGATAATGTTTACTCCGCCTACTTACCTAAAGGAACACATCCATTTGTCTACTTAAGTCTTGAAATAAATCCAGCCAATGTTGATGTTAATGTGCATCCGACCAAACATGAGGTTCACTTTCTTCATGAATATGCAATCATCGAGGCTATTCAAAAAAAATTTGAAGAGATGCTTCTTGGATGTAATTCCTCTCGGACCTATTACACACAGTGTTTGTTACCAAATGTTGTTCAGGACTCAATTACAGGTCTGTGTGCCTTTTTTTTCAAAGTTGAAAATTTCCTGGTGTTTAGCTACTATTTTTCTTTCTGCTTCAGGTGACAAAACCAGCAGCAAACAAAGTCAGCAAAGAGTGTATGACAAACAGCTGGTTCGAACAGATAGCAGAGAACAGACTCTACATGCTTTTGTCAAGCCACAGTCAGCTGCTTCATCAGACCAAAGCATTCCTAGGTAAACTGTCAAAGTCATCTCTAGTGCTATGTACGATAGGATTGCTTGGGATATTAGGGAATGATTGGGAGCAATTTGAAATAGAAATTTGTGAGAGCACACTAAGAATGAAAAATTGATCATGTGTTGAACTTGTGCACAGCTGCAAAATGGCATGACTTCATAGCTGCTTTCCATTCAGTTTTTGTGTATTAATGGTTGTGTATTGTTACGATGTAGCGAAAAGAAAGGGGATGATGCATCTTGTAGTGAAAACAATGAAGATGTTATCATGTTACAGGATGAATTGGAGGAAATGTCTGGTATGATTTATGATTATGTTCAAAAATGTTATTGCTTATGTCAACCTCATATTTACTTGTTATTATTTACAAAAACTCTTTGTTCTCCCAAAACTCAAGTTTGGCTGTTATTTGTTGTCCACTCTTATAGGCATATGGGGCAGGGGGGCAGCTACCCACTCAAGAAAGTTTGAAGATTGAGAAGTTGGGCAAATTTCAAACTTTAGTTGAACAAAAATATGATGGAAACTTCAGTGTGAGTTGGGGAAAATATTTACTGTCCCCCCCCAGAAATGATAGCTCCCGTACACCAATGTCCACTCCCCCCTTCCTCTAAAAATGCTTTGTGGTGGTTATAAATGCAACCAACACGTACTGTGTTTCATTAACACTGTTTAGTTATGTCTAAAATCCCCCCCTCCCACTAGATACGCTGTATGGTTTCCATGTTAGAGACTCCTGCTGTGATTCAGTAACAATGTTCTCAGTTACCATGTTTGAAATTTTCACTCCCTCAGAAACACTTCGTTTATCTAACTTCCCTCTCTCACAAAAACTTTGTTCAGTTACCGTTCTGTCAACCCTCCCCCCTCCCATCTCCAAAATGTGCTTGCTCATTCTATTATCATGTTGCTCACTTCTCATACTTATCTGCTGCAAAACATCAACTGCAACTTTAAATGTAAAAAGATTCGAATTTTCATGATTGCCTTAAACTTCTCGTTGTATTTATACCTGAATACAATTTGTGATAATTATTTGAGAAGCGGCAACGGATATTCTCAGCGTTCTTTTGAAGCAAAAATCGTTCATAATGAGATTCTACCTATATTCCAAAATTAGATTCCAACGGTAGTAGCAAGACAGTGAGCACTTCTAAATCTCCGTGTCGTCGTTCCTTGCGCAGAGATATACGTTTAACTAGCGTACTAGAACTGCGCAACGCGATCGATAAAGCTGAACACAAGGATCTTAAAAGCGTATTCGAGAACCACAAGTTTGTTGGTTGTGTTGAAAAGTCGCTTGCTTTGATGCAGCACGGAACGAAGTTGTATCTTGTTAACGTCACATCTATCAGTCGCGAATTTTTCTATCAAATTTTGCTGTTTGCATTCGGCAATTTTGGTTATCTTCACATCAATCCACCGGCATCCATTTATGATCTTGCCTTGCTTGCTTTGAATGCCCCTAATTCGAGCTGGACTCCAGAAGATGGCCCTCGCGAAGAACTTGCCGATTTGATTGTATCGAATTTAAAGGAGAAATCGACAATGTTGGACGATTATTTTTCTTTGGTTATCGATGAAAACGGTCATTTGAAGTCACTGCCGTTGTTACTAGATAACTATGTTCCTAATCTTAATGGACTACCGATGTTTTTACTGAGACTGGCTACTGAGGTAGGAGGTAACATTATCTACACAGACAGACTATCCTCACTATCCTCTTCTGCTGCATGATTTCTCTTAGTTGCGTTATTTAAACTTTGAGCTTTTTTTTGAGACAAGCGTTTTTTTGCAGTTCAGCTATGTTTTTGATTTGTGCTTTTCCATTTCCTCTCAATCTTCAGGTGGAGTGGAACAAGGAGAAGGAATGTTTCGAATCGTTTTCTAAGGAATGCGCATTGTTCTACGCATTCAAAACTGATCCCTATGTCGGTGAAGAGATCACGGAGAATGGACACGATGAGAACTGGAAATGGACGGTTGAACATGTTCTTTTTCCCGCCTTCCGAAGTGGATTCCATCCTCCACAAAGAATGGCCGATGATGGCAGCATCCTTCAAGTTGCCAACCTACCTGATTTGTATAAGGTTTTCGAACGATGTTGAATCAAATGTAAAAATAGTCAAAAATACTCGCATACTTTAAATGTATCATAGTTTGCTTTTAATGCATGTTCACAAACATTTAACCACATTTTCTTGTGACACTCTTATGTACTGTGTTTAATATTCATGTTACTCCCCTAAAGTAGCATAACTATCTGTGCTTTTTACTGTTGGCGGACGTGCATTTAAAGATCTCCTCGAGAAAGCGAAGAAAGAAATAGGTTATGTCCTCGTTGGTTCAAACGGATGAGAGTTTACTAAACGGATGATTATCCATTACATTGTAATTTATATTTTGTTTTATAGATATGTTGACTGAACGTAGTATAAATACCGCATCCTATTGGTTATCGACGTTTAAGTTTTAATATAATGAATTGCTGTTGACTTTTCATGAGTCTTCAACACTGGTTCAGATTAGAGATTAATGGAGATGTTAGTATTGCGAATGGTAATTATCACTAAGCCAGGAAGTACATCGGTAAGCGATATCTTGCTATACTATAACACATAAATAGCTTTTTTGTTTAGCAGTAGCAAACCGGGCAAATTTCTTGTATCGTGTAGGAATGAAACGCAACCAATACAAACTTTGAGTAGTGCCGCAATGATAATTTTGATGTATATTGTTCATTGATATTGAGTCATGCTTAAATGTTAATTCACTGTGATGCAATCATCAAAAACAGCAAATCGGGAAAGTACATAGAATTTGCAACAACTGTAAAATTTTATTCAAGTTCCTAAATGTCTCACATTGATAATACATGAAGCGAAAAATACGCTTTCAATAGAAATTGAAGTTATACACAGGATTTCATAATAAAAATTTCTGCGTTTTTGACTTTTGAGAAGTATTATGTCCTTTGAAATTTCCGACTGCCTTTCAACATTCCGGCAAGACCAATATATAAGCGATAGCATGTGCTGTTCGCTCAACGATCGCATCCATTATGTCTGCAAACATTTTCAAGTGCTGAATAAATTAGTCAACAAAAGATTGCTAAGGCAGAGACCAGAATGATGAAGCAGAAATCAGAATGAGGCAGAAACTACAATGAAGAGGGAAATCAAAATGAAGAGGTAGAAACCAAAATGAAGAGGTAGAAACCAAAATGAAGAGGCAGAAACCAGAATGACGAGGCAGAAACCAGAATGACGAGGCAGAAACCAAAATGAAGAGGTAGAAACCAAAATGACGAGGTAGAAACCAAAATGAAGAGGTAGAAACAAAATGAAGAATGGATGAGGGATAGAAACCATGATATGAAGAGAACGATAGAAATCATAAATGAGGAGAGTAGAAATGAGGAATCCGATGAGGCAGAAAATTAAATGATGATGAACAGGAAATCATAATGATGAGGCAGAAACCAGAATGACGAAGTAGAAACAAAATGAGGTAATGATGAGGCAGAAACCAGAATGATGAGGCAGAAACCAAAATGAAGAGGTAGAAACCAAAATGAAGAGGTAGAAACCAAAATGAAGAGGTTGAAACCAGAATGGTGAGGTAGATACCAGATTGTTGATGATGAGATGAGTATACTTTGAGGAATTACTTGATAAGTCCTTCTCTGCTCTAGAATTACAACACCTGTTTTAAGAAGAGGAGAACGAAGTAATGGTACACGAAACTGCTGTCGACACAAATAACAAATATTTTGCTCGAGAAAACATCAAAATAACGTAATATAAAAAAGAGGATGAGTTATTTAAATAAAAGTACACATTGTGAGTGCAGCATTAAACTTTAAGTTATGACTAGAAGGCGTGAGTTCAGAAACTTCACCGCAATGAAGATTATTCATTTTCAAAGGTCTTTTACGTCATGTAGAGCTACTGCCGCGTTATCGTCATGTTATTCATGCATACAAACCAGTCTTTGCGAAATGGACAATCTATACATACGAGATTGTTTAGCAATGGAGATGGAATTCAATAAAATGCTTCGATATAAAATAATGAATATATTCTCTATAGAACAAAGTTACTTTTACATGTCAAATAACGATTAGAGTGGTTTTATTTGTCACTTTTCAATAAACGCTCAATCGTTTATTTGCGCTCAGTTTTTTGCTTTGTGTTGGTGGCAGAGGGCTCGTGTTGTTCAGTTTCTTTTCGTGAACAGAGAGATTAGACGGAGGCATGGGATCAAGTCTAGATGACGTCAGCGTCATGGCGCTTCCTTGACCTGTTAAATGGTCCTTTCCCGGCTTTTTCTACACATTAAACAACATAAAAAGTCAAAAAAGCAAAACTTAAGTCAAATAAATAATACCAATGCTCTTTTACAAACCTTATATTGAAGTGGATTAATCACACCAATGTTGGGTGAAGAGTTTCCAAATACTTTATTGAAGTTTGTCTCTCTATTCAGCAACTCCAATTGGTAATACCGTTTTTCATCCTGTATTAGAGAATATCACGTGTTTTTGAAGGATACCGCTGGTCAACAGAAATGATGGCGAAAACAGCAAACAACTTACCAACATTTTTCTTAGTTCTTGATCTCGAAGAGTCAACGCCGTTTTTAAGCTCTGTATTACTTCCATGTCTTCATCGCGAGGCGGTCGACCTCGAAATTTGGCTTCTGCTTCTTCAAGCCTAAAAACATTTCAATCATTTATATTATGCAACGCTTTTAACGTAAAGTCGTAGCAATCAATGGTTAAGAAAATGAGGATCCGTTCTCGTCAAAATGTAGAGTTTGAAAGACGACATTAATTTGCACATTCTTTTCCGAACTAAAATACAACGCGTGTTTCACATACATGAGTTGGAGAGCAGAACATTTTTCCTTTAAATGCTCCTGAGCACGATTGAATTCATAAACCAAGTTTTGTGTTTCCCTTAGATGGTCGGCAACCTGCAAGTCCATTTCTTTCTGATGCGCTTTCGCCAGCTTTTCCTCCGTTTTTCTGAGAAAATTAGATGCAGTTCATAGATATATCATAAATACTATCATTTAAACAAGCTAGGGCGATAAAATGAACAACAGACTAAGTTTCATTTATATTTTAAGATATGTTTTTAGTTTCTCCTTACCTTATGTGGTTATTCGTTTCTCGTCTGACATTGAAAATTTCTTGAACTTTAGATTCGACTTCGTCCTGCAATTTCTTTTCGTTGTTTTGGCTCTCGGATAGTTGATTTTTAATTTCGTTCATGGTCACTTCGTTCTTAAGAATGCTACTACTGAGCTCTTCAACTTGTACAGCGTATCTGTCAGTCTGGAAGATGATTTTCATGATCTGGTTAATTTCTACGATTTTCATGCCGTACACATTTCAGGGAAATGTAATTTGAAACTTGCCTCTTTCACGCGCAATTCGTCACTTTCTTGAAGTTGCAACTTCAGGGCGCTTAATTGCGACTCGAAGTCGTTCTTCATTTTATTGATTTCATCTTTACGACGTCGTATAAGTTCATTTTCCAGAATTTGTTTCTCTTTGTCAAATTGGACTCTTTCCTCCGCCATCTTCTCCTTTGCATTAAGCTCAGCTTGTGATTTCACGACCTCCATACTCAACTTGGAAGCTTTGAGTTGAGATAACGTTTCTTCGTCGTGTTGCTGTTTTAGCTTCGCCTCCAGTTCCTAGAATGATGGATTAAAGATTGAAAGTGGCATATTTGGATGGCATACTTAGCAGTAAAAATGGATTAAAGATTGAAAGTGGCATATTTGGATGGCATACTTAGCAGTAAAAAATGGATTAAAGATTGAAAGTGGCATATTTGGATGGCATACTTAGCAGTAAAATGATGGATTAAAGATTGACAGTGGCATATTTGGATGGCATACTTAGCAGTAAAAAATGGATTAAAGATTGAAAGTGGCATATTTGGATGGCATACTTAGCAGTAAAAAATGGATTAAAGATTGAAAGTGGCATATTTGGATGGCATACTTAGCAGTAAAAAATGGATTAAAGATTGAAAGTGGCATATTTGGATGGCATACTTAGCAGTAAAAAAGTTTTCGTTTCATTCACTAAAGTTTTTACCCACTTACGCCATGAGAATACGATGCATTGGCATTTTGGTATGATATCTATTCTACTTAACTAATGCACTTTGAAACAACTGGATCCTGTTGATCCTAGTTAGTATAACAGTTAATACATTCGACACATTTTCGGCCTTCAATATGTGAAAATGTTCCAAGCCAAAAATTATTAAAAATCAGCATTAATTAATCTGAAATTGTCATATAAACTGTTCGAACGTTCAGTAGTGAAACGGTTGCCTTTTTGTCTGCAGGGCACGGGCAGAAATTCATTTGACTTAAAAATTTACCTTCAGTTCTTGTTCCTTGATTTCCTTAAAAAGCGCTAGTTCTTGTTGATGTTTCAATTCTAAATTGTTCATCTTTTCCTGATGCTCTAACGTTTCCATTGATCGTTCATCTTCGATTCTCTTTCGTTCTTTACTCGCCGTTTCTTTTAACGACCTTTCGAAGGACAAGAATCGTGAAGCAGCATCCTTGAGTTCTTTCTCAAGTTCGTTGATCTAAATATGAAACGATTTATTTTCTCTTTCATATTTCTTCGGTGGCATAAAAAACAGGCGTGAAGATGAATGCAAACCTTTGTTTGTAGAATTGCCATGTCCTTTTCAGCGTTGAGTCGTATGTCTTTCTTTTCTTCCTCTTTCAAAGCTGACAGCTGTTTCAAAGCAGCATGTTGTCCATCTTTATGTTGCTCATTTAACAGTGTACGTAACGTAGAACTTTCAGACCTGAATGTATAACAAAAGAGACGGTATGCTCGACGTGATGCGACAAAATTCATTTTAACTACTTTGGGTGAGTTTTCTTAATTTTTAGATAAAACATACTTCAGCCTTTCACTCCATTCCTTTGTTAATTGTTGTCGCATGTCTTTTAAACTTTGATCTAAAGTTAGCTTTGCTTTGCTCTTCTCTTTCTCCAAGGCAATTTTTGTCGCTTCCGCCTCATTCTGTAACGAGAATATAGCTAAACGGTATGTTGTATAGAAAAACATGAAATACATATCTTTCCCATGGTCCTACCTTTAATTGTTCAACAAGATTTTTCAATGATACCAATTCCTTTTCCATACGAGAAACATCCGCCTGTTTTTCTTTAATGATATTGTTTAACGCGGTAATTGTAGACGACGCTGAGTCAAGTCCATGTTCGCTTTCTTCCATCCGAGAAGACAATAATTTCACTTTCTTCGTTTCTTCTTCGTACAGTTTTTGTAAGCTAACCAATTTTCTTTCATTCTCTTGAATGATCTTATCCTTTTCCCTTGAAACTTTTTCTTTTCTAGTAATGATTCTGCTTTGAGTTCTTCTTTCGTCGTACAGTGATGTTTCATGGTTCGATTTTAATTCAGAGATTATCTGTTGGTGTTTTTCTATCATGTTGCTCAACTCCTGTCCGTGTAGCGTTTGCAGATCGTTTTCGCGTTTTGATGATTCTTCTTTCGTTGACGCTAACTCCTCAATGTATTTAGATCTGATGTGTTCGTTTTCATTTTCAAGAGACTCGAGGTTCTAAAGTAGAATTTGTAAATCGATCACAGGTTTTATACACAGGTAGACGTAAAAGTTTCGTGTGTTGATAAGTTGATCTCGGTGAATGGCGATAGTCAGTACCTGTTTAAGTAAATATAATTGTTGTTCGGAGTCTGTTTCCAAACTGTGTTTATCATTTTTTAGTAACTTTAATTCCTCTTCAAGTTTGAAACATCTTTCTTTGCTGGATTCCACGTTTTTCTTCAATTCCTTTACGCTCTGTTCTTGATTCAAGCACGTCGCCTCGAGCTTGTTGTGCGAACCTTAAAAAGAATTACAATCTCAGTGAAACTCAATACTTGCAATAAAAAACTGCTCATTACTAAGTTCAACATATATTTACAATTAAATAAAGCAAGATTCTTAAAATATTGCAGCATTACAATAACATGTTTAAACAAAGTTGGCCACTATGTATTTTATCACAAAAAGCAAAAGTGACTCTTGGTCACTATATACATATATATGTAAATATTAAAATGATTGGGCCAACTTGTTCTGTTATCTTACATGTTTTATGCGATAACTCGTCAGCTAAACATTCAGAACGTTTTATTGATACTCGTAGCTCAGTTTGAGTTTCTTCAAGCTCCTTAGCAAGTTCACTTCTTCGATTTTCAGCGTCATTCAATTGTTTCATTATCGCTTCAAAGCCGTCGTTTTTTAAAGCAACCTCTTTTGTGAAATCTGACAATTCCTTTTCCAAAAGCGCCGTTTTATTGTTTGTGGTATCCAGTTCCTTACGCAAAGTAGAGATCGTATTTTGGTACTGTTTTTCTTGAATTCTCCACGTATTTTTTTGATCAATTTCTTTATGTTCATATTCTTTTAGCAAAGTTTGAGCTCTTACAGTCTCTTCCCTGACATGACTTAGTTCATTCTCATAAAGAGATTTGAGTTTTTCCAACTTTGTCTTGTACTCACGGTCTATTTTCTCTCGTTCTGCGCGAAGTACTTCAGGGGAACTACTTAATTCGTTTATCTGAGCTTCAAGATTTTTTTTGAGTCGATCTTTCTCCTTCACAACTTCATCATACCTAAGTCTATGTGCTTTCATTAACTGTTCAAGTTCTTCGTGGTGTTTACCAACTAGCTCTTGCATTGCTACATCTTTGTCCTGTTCCATTAGCCTCCTTGTATTTTGAAATTCTTCCAATTGCCTCTCAAAGTTTTCTTTGCTATGTAAGATAAGCCTGATGCTTTCACTAGCCCTTAATTCGTTTTCTTCCTCCATTTTTTCCCGAATTTCCTCTGCGGATAATTTGTACTTTTCGAATTCCACTAAAATCTGCTTTCTTTTTTCGCTTTCTTCGTGCAACCGTTGCTCCAGACTTTGCATGTTGGTCTTTTCTTTTTCATATTTTTCAATTCTCAATCTTAGTTCATTTGTTCGGCTTCTTGTCTCTTCAAGTAACCGTTGCATATCATTTTCGTGCCTTTCTTTAAGACAATCGACAATGCTTTCGTGTTCGTCATTCTTAGTGTTTAAAGCGTAAATCACTTTGGTGAGCTGGGCAATTTTCTTAGACATCTTAAGATGAAGTTCTGGTGTTATTTCCAAGCCATTCCCCGTCGCAATGTTTCCCATATATGTTGTACCCTTATGTGGCATTTTGTTATTATTGAAAGTATTTGTCTTTGCTGCCGCCATGTTTGTTTCAACTTTTGTTGTCATGACAACGCGCAATTTTGTAAAGTAATATGGCGGTCGATATAGTGGATTTTCCAAGCAATTGTACATTTGTACTCCTTATTGTTTCTGTATGATTTTAGTTTGCTGCCCGCTTCACATGTTGATATGAAAGAGAAAACACGGAAAATGGAATAACAATTTACAGTCTCTCTAAAAATGGTGGCGGATGGATTTTATGTTGCGAAATTTCCTAATTTTCTGTTGCTAATTGTTCACATTGAGATGTGTGATGCTCCTTGTTCAGATTACATTAAATCTTGAACGTAAATATTAATATTAAATATTAATATGTCAATAAAATCTAAAAATTCATTTATGTGAAAGCGATTAATTATAAATTTATGCGTTAAAGCCATTTCGCGTAAAGTGACATGAAGTAATTATGCAGATATAAACGCCGTCTATTTTGGTGTTTGCTACTTTGCATTGTAAAGACAAATTCATCCGAAAATTTCTGCAGTTTTTGATAGAAATCATGGCAGCACGTAACACAAGCTCGTCGAGTTTGACTGATTTGATACGTAAGGATAATTCAGTGACAGTTCCAGGCGTTAGCAGGTCAGACAGACGTCCATTTGCAATTTCTCTTTCAATATCATCGGGTGCTGAATGGCAAGATGTTGTCAATCAAGTTACAACTCTTTTTCAAACGAAGAAAATGTCGATAAAACTACACGAACTTACGGAGAAAGTAAAAAACGTCAAGGCAGAATTGGGTGCGCAAATTAACGATTTTTATCAAGAGTCGATCCTTAAGAAAGGCATGATAATATTGCGTGAAGAAGTTAGAGAAAAATCCAGTGATTTTTTGAACAAACTCTCCGACTGTTGGACTGTATTCTTTTGCAATATCTTACCAACACTTCAAGCCGTGTTCGTTTCATTGCCGCAGTCTAACGGCCTTTCTGTTCGTGAAGTTTCACTTGTTTATTTCAGAGACATTATCGTCTTAAAGACTAAATTAGATAAAGTTATTGACCAAGGAATAGAGGTTCCCCCCCGTATTGTTCAAATGTTGCTCGTACTACAGGTGGGAAGTTTATCTTATTCCTTTTATTAACTTAGCTAATTTTTGAATTTTAGTTATCTTGCTTAATTGTTGTTGCAACTTAAACCTCATATATAATGTTCATTGTCTGAACTGGTTATAGTTTGACTTATTTTCATGGCAAACTTTTTAAATTGGCAATTTTAATTTCTATTTGCAAAATCCATTTAATAGAGCGTACATGACAAAAATTTGGAGAATTATCAGAAGTTGGAAAAACTAGTTGCCAAGACCGTAAATCCATATCTGTGTACGTCTATTCTTTCTCTCCCTAAACCCAAGTTGTCGGTTGTGGACAGTGATGCTGTGGAGCAACATCAGACTAAAATCTTTACAATTGGTAACGAAAGACTTGATCCTGTGATGGAGGTTGAGGTTGGATCCCAGCGATCATCAGTGTCCTCTGTATCAAATGAAAGCACAGTGCCAAATGCCACTCCTGTGTATAAACCATCTGTACTCGAATCTGATTATTCTGCTTCTCATCCATTGTCGTGAACATGTTGAAATGTTTAACTCACTTCTCATTTGCTAATGTATTGCTGATGTATGAAAAGACTTGGAAAAATTCCTTCTGCCAGTATGAAAGTGAGCAATGAGAATTCAACTTATGCCGCACAGTTGTCTACACAATGTCTCGCATTTAAAGAAAATTTAGGCGCAAAATCGATACGTGTTCACAACTGTTGCTGTAAGCAAAAGTAAGCATTCATTGTAGGAAATAAATGGACTTTAAAAGGAATGTTGAAATAACTATGTGCAACGTATTTAAATGTATGTCCCTAAGTACTATCTTTAAGACTTTGTTTGTTAAAGATGAAAGTCTTTCACTTTTGTGAAAAAAATTTGTTGTCCACCTCTGACATATTCTAAATTGCAGGTTAGATCATTAAGATTTCCTAATCAAGAACAAACGGAAATTGAAAGGACTTCCTAAAACGAAGCAACAAATTGGCTCTTTAATGCAAATTTGTCTTTTTAAGTCGTGAGTTTAGCTTTCCCACAATTGGTCAGCATGTTAAATAGAGGTTTCCACACCTTGAAATGGAATGCACTGATAATATTTTCACATGCCTAGTCAATACGGGAATTTACGTAAAGATAGTGCTACACTTGTCTCGGGTGCATCCATAATTTCTTTCCTGTTTTCGCCAGATTTAATACCGTTTTTATCATCTTCAAAATAGCACCAAAGGGCCGTCTAATTTCAAGTACTTGTCCATTAAATGGCTTTGCGTCTTATTTTGATTTTCCCACAGTACAAGTTTCCACTTATATTGGTGTAAGTAAAGACGATAACACATCACAAGCTTCTACGATGGACTCGAAATCATCATTTGGACTGTGCGTTATTTTACAGTTCTCCTTGATACAGGCCGTTTCTGTCAGTGAATTTTATCCTTTCGGTCGACTGACGGATCAAAGGCTACCTGTAACGGACGATGGAAATTCGGGAGAATTGACGCTGTCTGCGTCATTTCCATTTTTCAAGTCCTATTATCAGCGTTTGTTTGTGAGTACTATCATAAACTTTCGTCCATTTGTTAATTTATTTCGGCATGCTTGCATTTCCCAATCGCCCAAGGAAACGTTATAATGAAAAAAAGTTGACTCTATGAAGTATGTTTTATTGACAGTTTAACACAGTTGCTGTAAACATTTGCTTGATCTTTCAGTTTTTGCGTATGAACAGTTTTAAAATATATCTATTTTCTTTCGATCATATACGCTCTCATTTATGTCTCACACACAATCTCCTTTACCCTCACCTTCCCACCTTGTCTTCCCTCCCACTACCAAAACAAAATTCCTTTGCAATATGTAGCATTCAGATCAATTGACAAATATATTGGCATGTAGAAGCTCCTTGAAAAGTATTTTCGACGAAGCTTGTGATGGGTGTTTACTCGTTTAGAAAAATTAACTTAACTTTGTCGTACGGTGAATGTCTGTTCAAAAAAGTGTTTTTATATACCAATTACCGACATTTAAATGCGTCATTAATCATTGGCAACCCATAGAAGCTATGTTGTTGTCCGGACGTCAATCCGTGAGACATGATATTGTGTGTGAAATGAATTTCCTAGCGTGTCATTTACGTAGAAATGAGTAAATCGTGTTTGTGCGACAGTGATCAGGCATCGATTGTATTGATTGCAAAGGGGGCTCTTTTTATTCTTTGGGGGGGGAGGTGCATGCATTCTTGTGAAAAAGCTTTTTTGCTTGTTTTATTCCAATTCCACACGAATAAAAGTTGCAAAATACGGTGTCCAAAAGTAAGAATAAAATGAAAATGAACGATGTTTGTAGCTACATAAGCAATAATCAGGACTATAATTTTCTCTATAATATATATAAATATTGCTGTTATTTTCATAGGGATTGCTCTGAAATTTTAACCCCTATACGATTATTCAATTCAGAAATGACTATTGTTTTCTCTCGTGCAGTCTGTCGGAAAATTCAGTGTAGTAACCATGACTACCATTTTAGGTGAACGCAAATGGCGTCATCTCCTTCAAGGATGGTGTTGAGGAGTATGTACCTTTCGTTTTTCCCACTCCCAGCAAGCAGCCAATGATAGCCCCGTATTGGGCCGACGTTGATATCCGAAATGGTGGTGAGATTTTCTACCGTCAATCGACGAACTTTGAGCTGCTGCAGCGGGCTACCAACGATGTAAGGAGATTTTTTCCAAATCAGTTTCCATCTTTCCAAGCATCGTGGATATTCACAGCGACCTGGCTGAACGTCACACGTTTCCGACATGACAGATCTTTATTGCGTATTGCCAGCACCAAGGTCTAGTATAGGTTCCTTCATGTAACTAACAGTAATGATTACGGGTACTATTGCAACTCTGGACAATAGAACCCAATACATTAAGCATTGGTTCAGGTGTTTGTAGACGTAGTTGCTTCGTCAAAGTGTTGCTTTGTCAAAATGTTCCTTTGTCATAGTGTTGCTTTGTCAAAATGTTCCTTTGTCATAGTGTTGCTTTGTCAAAATGTTCCTTTGTCATAGTGTTGCTTTGTCAAAATGTTGCTTTGTCATAGTGTTGCTTTGTCAAAATGTTCCTTTGTCATAGTGTTGATTTGTCAAAATGTTCCATTGTCATAGTGTTGCTTTGTCAAAATGCTCCTTTGTCATGTTGCTTTGTCAAAATGTTCGTTTGTCATAGTGTTGCTTTGTCAAAATGTTGCTTTGTCATAGTGTTGCTTTGTCAAAATGTTCCTTTGTCATAGTGTTGCTTTGTCATAGTGTTGCTTTGTCAAAATGTTCCTTTGTCATAGTGTTGCTTTGTCATAGTGTTGCTTTGTCAAAATGTTCCTTTGTCATAGTGTTGCTTTGTCAAAATGTTCCTTTGTCAAAGTTTTGCTTTGTCAAAATGTTCCTTTGTCATAGTGTTGCTTTGTCAAAATGTTGCTTTGTCATAGTGTTGCTTTGTCAAAATGTTCCTTTGTCATAGTGTTGCTTTGTCAAAATATTGCTTTGTCATAGTGTTGCTTTGTCAAAATGTTCCTTTGTCATAGTGTTGCTTTGTCAAAATGTTCCTTTGTCATAGTGTTGCTTTGTCAAAATGTTCCTTTTCATAGTGTTGCTTTGTCAAAATGTTCCTTTGTCATAGTGTTGCTTTGTCAAAATGTTCCTTTGTCATAGTGTTGCTTTGTAAAAATGTTCCTTTGTCATACTGTTGCTTTGTCAAAATGTTCCTTTGTCAAAGTTTTGCTTTGTCAAAATGTTCCTTTGTCAGAGTGCTGCTTCGTCAAAATGTTGCTTCTGTTGTAGTTTCTGTCGTTGATAAATTGGCTGCTGAAATACATTAAAGATTTGATGTTGCTCGAACAAGATTGATGACAAAATTTTTTGTCGTTTTAGAAAAACACTTTTCAAGTTGTGATAATCACCAATGGAAGACATTCCTTCATCTTATTCAATTACGATAAAATTGAATGGACGATCGGAGATGCTGGCAAGACTATTCACGGTGGCATTCCTGCACAGGTGACGTTCTTGTGTTGTTGAATCAAAAGCCAAACTGTACCACAAAGCTCATTTGATTTAAGAGTGATCAAAAATTGACATAAATAGTTTTAATGTCTGTTGTTCTTTCTACTTACATTTCATCTAGGCTGGTTACGATTCCGGAGATGGTCACTTCTTCTTCAACATCAAAGGTCAAAAGAGAAACTTCATAAGGCGACTACCGTTACTCTCAAATGTTGGTGTACCTGGTACGTTCATGTTCCGTGTTGATATTGCTGAGACTACAAAGGGTGGCTGTAATACTGCTGGTAAGATCATTTCTCATCGCTCTACAAAGTTTTGCTGTTTTATGTTGACAGTATCATCCATAGTAATTAGACATCGAATTGTTTAATTTTTTATAACCATTGAGCTTTCCACAAGTTCATTCATCCTTTAAGTCTGCAACACGTTTAACTGCATCTTGTTATCTACAACATATAGATAAAAATGAAGCAGACAATCAAAATTCAATACAAGTAATTTCGCGGATAAGTGGAGATAAAGGGCAATGCCCCCCCCCCCCTCCCCACTTTTTCTATGGATGAGCCATTGATTGAGTATTATTGAGTGTCCCACAAATAGAGTATGTTCTCTTGCTATTCTACCCTCCCCGATTCCTGGACCTTTCCCTTGTTTATGTGACAAGTTTGAGACTCACTCAATGTAATGCAAACATAGAATTCTTGGATTATTTCTTTGTGGACAGAGAAACTTTTTCACTCATGCGATATACATTTGTCTAGAATGCGTAACTATTTTTCATTTTTTTCCTTCACAGGAAGTTTGACTTTAAAACCAAGAAGGGGTTTAGTGCTAGGTGGAACATTTGTTGAAATATCTGGACCGTGTTTCAACGTCATTTCTGACAACATCGTATGCCGTTTTGACGAGAGTATTTTGGCCGATGGAAATGTCATCAACAGATTCAAGGCATACTGTGTCACTCCACCGTTACGCCGAATTGGTAAAATGTCATTGGAGCTCTCTCTAGATGATGCAAAGACATTCAAATTTGCATCAAATTTCACCTCGGGTAAACATGATACAAATTCTTTTTGATTAAAATTCTAATGAAATATCAATAAATTTCGTGGGTTTTTTGTCTCGCCATGACGATATGTGTTCTTGCTTTTATATCAAAAAAAGTTTGCAGGAAACGTTTTCTTTCAAATTATTAGATCCCTCACACACCCGCCCTCCCCTCACCTTCGTCCTCACCGCCGCCCTCCTAGTCTTCGAAACTGGATAAAATGGTTCAGCAGTTTGTACTGTCGTCATTTTAGGTCACAAGACCCAACACTATGTTAGTAATTATTGAAGGTTTGCTGTGCCCGTTACTTGTTATGTTATTGTAAGCATTTTTTTACTGTTTCTGAAATAGTCGCCATTGGACGTCATGGTCCTGGGATCTCGGGTTTGAAGTCTAAGGACTGGACAACACAACTCAAACCGCTCTTCATCGCTTGGAACCCACACAAACTAAGAACACGTGACTTGGTCGATGTTCAAATTGCGCAATTTGATTGGGAGAATTTCGAACTACTTGATAAGCCATTTACGGTCAAATATAATGTTAGTAACTACGGCTTTGACTTGCTGAACAACGTTGTGGATTCGGTGTAAGTATCTCTTACGAATTTATAATGATGAAGTAGTTCATAATGTGTACTGTGTAGGCATTATATATGTATGAAAAATATTTTTCAATAAATTTCTTCTTTCTTGTTATGGCATAATAGTCTGCGAAATAAACACTCTATTTCGCTATTTTTTCTTGTCATCTCTAGACCTACTCTTGATGATATGATCATGAAAAATGACTCCTCGCCGCTTTCGATCCTCAGCATCCGTGCTCCAAAGCCAGCGCTAGGACTGGCACCGAGGATATTTAGTGCACCATTTCTATTGTTTCCCACTAAAGTCGACGACGTAAATGCGAGTAAAAAATGTCACGATTGGTTCCGTAAAGATAAGTTCAACGTATCAACTGCGTTAGGTGGGTGGAATTGGAATGAAAATAAATTTCATGCGAGAAACTGGAGTTTTGTTTACCATTATTTGAAGTTTCTTTTTGCAAAAAGTGAAGTTTTTCGTACGAAGAAGTTAAGAGAGTCTCTTCAATACATGTACGCTGACTCTCAGGGTGTATTATCAATATATTCAACTGTCAAAATTTTGACCTATATTTCTAGCATTTACAATGACTAAATTCATTGTTGTTTAACTCCTAACCGAGTCATTAGATGCAGTTCCATAATACCGCGGTCGTGAATGTTTTATTCTAGTAAACGTTCTTTTTTATCATTGAAGCGTTGATGTATTAATAGACCTCAAAATATACATATAAATTGCTTTATTTCATTAACAATTCGATCTTTCAATGATAGGAAAATGATGGTTTTATTTGTTCTATGACATCTTGGATCATTTTACGTTTAGATGAACTGATTGGATGTCCGAGAAGTCTCCAGCAAGCGGAAGCGGATACGGCTAGATTTGCGTCGGACGACTATTGCAAACCGCCGCGAACTGGTTCTTGCATGACGTATCATAATGGATCTTATCATTGCTTCCGTAGCGTCTTCCCAAGGTAATCCAAATCGGTTTTTCATTTGCAACGAAATCCGCCTTTGAAATCATTTAAGTCTTCCACGCTTGGTGACAAAAGTTGCAGCCAAGGCGAAGTTCACGTAATACACAGGCGTTCAAAAGAACTGCTTTCTAACTAGAAACAGTTTAATTTTGTAACATTTGAACAAAGTGCCTAAACATTAGAGATATAAGTTACGCAACAACAAAAACAGTAGTGTGTTTACTTAATACTGGGTCTTCTTCTTACTTTAGTTCCATTTCTGCATTGAGTACACAAGGCTGTTCAATTAGTTAATCAAATATGGCGTAAATTGTAATCATCACAATGCGACCTTACAAGACAAAGACTGAGTAGTTCTTTTTGACTGCGTGTGTACTAAGTTAACTGACCTTAATAACTTGTCAAGCCATTCTTCCATTGCCTACTCTGTATAAAAATTAAGGATCTTTTAATTTCAGCCCCAGTGGTGCTGGTCAACAATGTTGTTATACGCAAGAGGGTCACCTGGTCGTTGGCCCCCCCGGAGGTGGAACTGTGGACCGATATCACGCCGGTAGCTCACGATATGCTACGTTGAAACATTTGAAACATGACATTTATCCTTGGTATCTCTGCTGTAAATTAAGTAAGAACTGTGGCCTTTACTACAGACGTAGACCCTCGGTAAATGGTGCTCGTTATAGGCCACCTCAGATTGGTAAGTACATCATTTTATAATATAGCAACGATGAAACGCGTGCGCTGATTGGTTTAGAGCTGACATTGCATTAGCCTTTGCAAACTGATCGGGGCTCAATCAATTCAATTATTTAAGAGAATCTTCAAATCAAGTGTTTGTACTGACGAGCTCTCGAGTTCACCCAAACATCTCTTCGATCCTTTCTTAAATGAAGAATGAAAAATGGCGTTGAGATAAAAAAAAATATGAGTGTAATTAGAGTTCCAGTGCTTACATATTCCAACTTTTAGTCAACATTGGAGGCCAGCTTTCATGTGCTGTTCATTTCCATGAGTAAAGAATGAATATTACTATTGGTATCTGTTATTTTATACTCAGCAACAACTTTCGGAGACCCACATCTTGTTACTTTGGATGGTTTATCCTACACATTTAACGGTTATGGTGAATACACGATGTTAAGTATCGACGTCATTGGATTCAAATTTCAAGCACGAATGCAGCCTTTACTTGCTAATGGAAGGAATACTCGTGGAACGTTTTTGATGGCGTTTGTTCTGAAAGATGATCAAAGTGATAAAGTTCAGGTTGGTGAAAGCGAATTTCACACTTTGTGGTGATCAAGTGAAGATACTTCTCTTTCATTTGACCGATTACGTAAAGCCCAGATGGTGCTATCCATTTCCTAGCGACTTTTTGTCCAGGCTTTGTGTGAATGGACCGTGCAAGTTATAATAGATCTGTTGAATATATATGTGGCAATATCTCCTTTAGGTTGAATTCAACTCATTGCATAAAGTAGACCTCCTGGTGAATGGTGTTTCCGAATCATTTGAAGCCACGTCAACGTTCATGGACTTCACAAATCTTCTTTTGATGCAGCAAAACAACTCTAATGTTCATATCATCTTCAAATCGGGCATCAGTGTTACTGTCATTCCCAATGATGATTCTTTATCGTTTGAAATATCGATATCTGAAAAGTTTAGAGGTTCGTTATCCACATGTTACAATTTTGAATATTCGTTATTTTCTTCGTTTTGTGCAGTTGTTGAAGTAATCTCAGGACTTTTGGTGCTGTAACTCTCGCCATGTTTTTTTTCTCCAGGCAAGACTAAAGGACTTCTTGGAGTCTGGGACGACGATGTAAAGAACGATTTTACTTTACCGAATGGTGAAAAAGTTGATGTTAATTCGAACTCTTCGGCGATACATTGGACATTTGGACAGAAATGTACGATTCAGTTACTCCTTTATTTTAACGCATTTATATATTTATCTGAATATAAAAAAAAAACCATTTAAGAGTTGACATTCTCTGGGTGGGCGGAAATTGAATTGTTTATTTAAGGGTATTAAAATTCATTTAAACTCCTCAACAACAAAAAAGGTTTATGTTGACAGTGTGCATCTTAAGAGAACGTATTTTTTCAAAAGATCGCCGTTAATGAATGAAAATGGTAAAATTGCATGAATTTAAAGTTCTTGTCTTTCATATAGGGCTGATTGACGAAGCAACTTCCCTATTCACCTATGGCAATGGCAAAAATCACAACGATTTTATCAATACTCAGTACAAACCATTGTTTTTTGATGAAATCAAATCGTTGTTCATCGACAAACGCCTCGAAATAAAGGCAAAAGCCATTTGCGGTGATGTCAAAGAATGCCTATTTGATGTTGCTGCCAGTGGCAGTGTGAGTTTTGGCAAATCCACCAAACAAGCAATCGACCATTTTACAAAAATCAAAAAGGATATTAACACTGGTAGGCTGGCGTTAATACTTTTGCATTTTCAAATATAAATAATGTCTTTCTCAATCATGGAAGGGAGGGGTGAAGGAGGATAATCTTTCTTCACTGGTCATGACTTCTGGAATAATAAGTCTCTTCACATTCACAGTCAACACGAGTAAGATTTGACCTCATGCAACTGATGGCAAGTTTGCATTTCAGTTATATGTGATTAGAAAATTTTTGTAAGAATAGATGTGAGAGTACTTATAATGTATCTGTATGTTTTCATTGATTTGCTTATGTGCATTTCTTTTTTTTCTTTCTTTCTTTAAGTTCGCTCTCCTCTTTACTTTAACTGTGACGGCATGCCAGAGACGGAAGCTTGTTCAGCCTGTCATAGCCAGTGTTCCTCTCCACGTCATCACTCGGTTGCCATTTCGATTCTCACAATCATCATCGGTGTTATTGTATGCTCCATTTTCGCTCTTGCTATTTCCTACTGCGTTTATAAAGCAAACAGGAAGGAGGCTAAAACAAGTATGAACTGCCCCAAATCAATGTATCGTCACCACCCAAGGGTAAAGTGAAACCGTTTTCAGAAGCGACATTAATGGCTTTTGTGCTTCCTGAATTTCCCGAATCTAAACGTGGAATGGTGATGAAAGAATAACTATATGGACGCCATTTGGACTTTTAAAACACTTTCGCAAGGTGAACTTCAATGCATATGTTGACAGAATACTGAACAATTTAGGATATACTATCACCATTATATAAACTATCGTTAGGCCATTGTAGTACTCATAAAGTAGCTAGTGCTATAACCATTACTAGTGCATTTTATTCCTTATAAAGGAGCTAATACTGTAACCATTACTGGTGCATTTTATTATTTATAAAGTAGCTAATACTGTAACCATTAGCAGTGCATTTTATTACTTATAATGTAGCCTAATGCTATAACCATTGCTAGTGCATTTTATTACTTATAAAGTAGCTAATATTGTAACCATTACTGATGCATTTTATTACTTACAAAGGAACTAATACTGTAACCATTACTTATGCATTTTCGTCCATAGTGTAGCTAATACTATAGGCATGATATAAACTGTTGCTATATCTATGGAATTATATTTCAGGTGAGTAAGAACACTGTTGGACGTTTTAAATTGGAAAATGTAAGTCATCCAAATTCTATTATCTTCAAACTTATGACGTAGATTTAACGCTACTGCAAAAAATCAGTTGCTTAGCACTGATATTGAAATATTACTGTCCTTATGAAATTTGTCCTTGCAATCTTTTAATGCATATGCCTCACTGAAGGATCACACGCAATCTATCACGTTCTCGTTTCCAGTATCTTACCGAGTGACCGAGTTTTAAGTTCTCCTGCCCCGCTATATTTCAACAGTATGTTTCATGCTGTATTGTGCCGCGACCCTTTTCAAACATGATCAATATGCTCAACTATATGTGCAATCGGCTATAGTTTATCTTAGGCTGTGTAGTAAATGTTGGTGCGTGAAATTTAAATTATAGTTCAATAATTACGAATTTTATGCTGTATTCACATCACATCACTGAGCATTCATCTGAGTTTCTTCGTTGAGATCTTGTAGCCGTTCCCATTCCACTAACGTCCTAAAACGCAAACAAGTAGCACGCATGCGCTGTTCATGTTAACTCTGTAAACATCATTCCTTCATTATCCCAAGCTATCAAAATTTTAACTTGTGTTGTAGTTTTAATCATTCGTACACCCTAACTATTTCATTTTGTTGTTCCGTACCTCCGGCAAGACTCGCAAATCGTAAGCTCCTTCTGCACCATTACGATAACTGTTTGTGCTGCCGTCATCCCAACGCACCTTAAAATATCGAATAATCAGTGGAACCGATGTACTTCAATGTTTTGTTCATTGGAAAGACATGTTTCATGTTGTTTTGTGATTGTTAAGTGCTGACCTCCATCAAAACTCCGAATACCCTCTTATTTTAACTAGAGCCTGCATTTTTTATGTGTATGCGGTTAACGTGTTTTCAACACTGGTTTTGAAGCAATATAATGGCAAGTTACCTTACAAACACCTCGTAACCCGCTCACTTCATAGACGTATCCTTTGCTTCCAACTCCGCCATCTTGGTTTCCCCATTTCCAGTCTTTTCCTAAAAAGATGAAGTACGAAGTAATACAGGATTTGTTTGCGAAATTTCTTAAATATCTTCTGTTTATTCCCAGATTTCTCTTTCGTCCCAGAATATTAACGTACAGATGATTATATCATGTCAGTATACCTCGTACTACTCGGACTCCAACTTTGATACCTTCGTGAAATGTCACTTTACGTGGCTCGTTTACAATCTGAAATATGTGAAATTGTAAAGAAATTTTTCAACAAGGTTGAAAGATTGAAGGATTTTCCTTGACGTCCATCAAAAGTGAAGATATTTATTTAACGAGTTTGAAAAATGGAAGAAATTATCTTGAAGTCGATTAAATAGAAAGAAATTAATTCGATGAGGTTGAAAGATGGAAGTAGCTACCTTGACGTCCATTGCATTGTTTTTTCCAAAGCGATAAGAGTTTTTTCTGCCATTGTCCCAGCATACATCAACCCATCCTAGTTAATCATCGTTGACGTAATTAAGCATGGTTGAAGATGACGTCAAACAACTCACGTGTTTCAAATGGATAAACAGACGATTTATAATGTCACCTTTTGTATCTGTAGTATTGGTAACAGTTCCAACACCGTGGCCATCTTGATTGCCCCAGTTCCATTGAGGTCCCCGTCTTACCCGTGTCCCCAGGGGTGGTGGTGTGGGTAAAGACTGCGGAGCGATAAAAATTATTGTCAACGTAATAAAAACATGACATTATTTACTTCAGTGACGTACCTCATCATCATCGCTGTCTCCGTCTTCGAGGGCTGCACCAACCACCATCGCAGCAAGTAAGCCACTCAAAGCACGCTGCAAAGATGGCAGTCAGTGACATTACAAGTCTCCTCACTCAAGTCATAATTTTGCATTTGGTGTAAAAGGCTTATAAAGCTTCAAGTCATTCTCAATCATTAGCTTTATATTAACTATTTGTAATGAGCATCTTCGTGCTTGTATGTCGTTTTAAGTTACGTGAAAAACGATGACTTACTGCTTCAGCTTCCTCCACGGCTTCTCCACAAGCACGCATGAACTGCTGTAAGGCCAACATGGAACGTAGCTGTGACATATCTGTCGATATGAAAAGAAAGAGTGCTGATTACGTGTTTCGCAGGCAAATTATGAGACATTTGCTTTGCTACGTTCTACCTATCATAATCATTCTGTGAAGCTTACTTGGTGTTATGCTAAAGTTTATCAGCTAGTACTCTGGGGGTTAAATAGAATTTTTGCATACCGTGTGAGAACTTCGCAGCAAATCTCGACAGCATTACTTGACGGCGAAAGAAAGTGCTCAGTTCCTCCATATCACCAACCATTTTGAACATGCCTTTGGTTATTTTTGCTATCCCTTCTAAAAGTTTCTTGAAAAAAGATCAACCAGAAACATCTTATATTAACTGTCCAAGTAAAGTTCAGGATGGTCTTTACGAATGGTTGCTTTCAAACTTGAAAATCAACTTGAACGTTTTTCCTAAACTATTATGTGCAAATTAAGTTGTCAATGAAAAGATTATTTTTATACCTTGTCTGCTTCTCCACAGCCAACACAAGCAATAGGTATCGGATGAGGCAGACCAACTTCCCTCCAATGTTGCCCAAATAGAGCTGCAACAGCTAACACCTCGCGTACAGCCTGAAATTATGCAAGCTATCGATTATCAATTATTCCTGGCATTTAGCATACTCGTGATTGTAAACAATAACCGAATACATTTGGTAATTGTCTTCATTTTATTTGGAAAAGTGACGAACATGGTCAATCAAAGAACCAAATTGTTTTATCGTTTGTATACCTGAGCCTCGCTGTCGCCGGTTGGTTTTCCATCGGTCATCAAGACAATCCGAGGCGAAAGCTTTAAACCATTTACATTCACGACTCCACCTATATTGGTAAAGTAGTCAAGTTAGCTGTTTCTCTAGTTTTATCCTTCGATATCACGCGCGTATATGTAAAACAATTTCCCTGACGATTTGTGCTCCCCCTTCCTCCTCTCAAACATAGTTTCTGTTTATCTGACTTAGGACAACTGGCCCTTTAGTATTTACCGTGTTCGAGAATTTCCTTCATTGCCAGTTTAAGCCCTTCCGTCATTGGTGTTGCACCGCCAGCACGCAAGTTTTCTGAAATCAATATGGATGTATCATGGTCACATAATGTCTTGTCATGCTTCAGACATTTTGATATTTTTGATCGCTTACCAACACATCTTTTTAAAGCCGTGTAGTCGGTGGTTAGACTCTTAACAACTCTTGTGTTGCTTCCAAATTCAACAATGGCAACATTTTCCTGTATTGTAATGTATGTATGGTTAAGAATCACCTTTCGTGTGTTGCAAGTTGATAAAGGAACATCAACATATGATAAATGTCTCGCAAACTTAATTGGTACATACGAGGGTAGATATAGCATTTGAAGTTTACCCTTAAGTCTGATTGTTTTGACGTATCTTCGATTCCCTCAAGAAATTGAGTTGCAGCTCGTTTCAGTTCCCTTATGCCCCGATTCGCCATTGAACCTGACGTGTCGAGACATAACACAGTGTCGAGCGGCATCTTTCTTTCTGAAATGGACGATCTTATATCTATTATACACGTTTTAAACTGATCAGCTATCGTGTCTATATCAGTATCTATGGCTTTGGTATTATTGTGAAGAAAACAATGGCTTTAGATCATGTTTTGTAGTCGGCGATGCTCGAATGATGTCGAATGATGTTCTTGGAAAACAAATGACGCAGTTTCATTTTATGATTTATTTCAGCAGTTAAAATCTTACTTTCAACATTGTTATAAAAATTGACGACAGCCACTATGATAAGTTGAATTATATCAACCACTCGACTAAAGAGTGATTTAATCAACCTCTCCCCCTCATTTTACAAATTTTTTTATTAAGTATATTAAACTTATATACAAAGTAAAGTTTGAAAGTTGGTCTGCCTTTTCTTATTGTTCAAATGAAATTTTTGTATATTTATCGCATTCGCCATGTATTTTACTTATATTTTAAGTAAAATCTTTAATCATCTTGCTCATTTGAGCCTGGCTTTAAAGATCACTGACATCGCCACGATTTAAGGAAGAAATCAATGAAAATTTGAAAGAGAACATACAGTCACATAATGGTACCGTTTATGCATAAAACTACAAGTAACTATGTTAGTTGGCATTTCTTGCTTTAGATTTTTATGAAGATCCGCGATTTGTTTATAAGCTGTTCTTTAGTTTTCACAATACATTTGAATTCAGACAACTGCTCTTCATCAAACTAAAGCTCCTAGACGCTCTTTTTCAATGAATGACGAGCATATATTATCATGACATAGGTATATTTTGAAGAACTAAAAAATCACAATTTTTACCTTTCGATGCACAAGACCCAGTGTCCAAAAGCTATTAGCTTCTACTCGTCTTGTGAAATTATGAACGATGATTTCATTATATGAGGAGAGGAAAACGAATATAAAATGATCTGAGTAAGTAAAACTTACGATCTTATTGGTACAAAATATAGTAGATCTGCAGTGATTGGCTTTTGATTTAAATCTCCATACTTCAACCTCGACTGCATGCGATTTCCAAGAATACTGCAATTATATTAAATTGAAAGCAATAATATCACTTTTAATTAAATCGTCAGTTTTCAAATTATTTTATTGATCTTCCATCGTTATTGTACCCCAATTGATTGCAAACTTAAAAGTGTGCTTTTGTCTTTCGGTTCCTGGGGGGAAAGGATGACACGTTTACCTTATGGGGGACAAAACAAAAAAACAAAAAATTGTTTGTTGTGACTATCGAATAAAACTCCCCCGTATGCAATGCATTTTTGACATTCGTAAAATAACAAATTGTTGATGTTTGATGAGGAAATTGTCAAAAAAATTTTTCTATTGTAAGAATGATAATTTTATTACTCATACACATATTCACAGCTAGTTCTAACATTGAAAGACGGAAAGTTGTGACTTTGACTAAATAAATACTTTCGTTCCTGTGTAAAATGTGTGTGTGTGTCGCAAAGTTTCTGTTTAGATCGGTTTTATGAATATTGATGATTTATTTTCTATAGAAATTTAATTTCGCTTTTGCAAAACTAAAACATTTGCATATCATGAGTAAATGGGGTTGAATGTAACCATAAATGTAACTAACTGAGATCAGTGGCGTTCAAAGTCTCCATGTTCATTGGACATTCTAGAATAATGGCGGTTTTTGTCAAAATTTGAACGACCTCTCGACGTTCTGATCATTTAGATCTAACAATAAAAGGATTGTTTATTCCTGCGTCAAAAATTAAACAGTGTTCGACTATTTGAGCCGTATTCTTTTCTTAAAGTCCGTTAATTAGTTTTTGAAGAGGATCAGATTGTGCAAAACAATCTATTTTGCACAAAATGTTGAACCACCTTCCATTTTGTTTTTTGAAAAGAAAAAGAAGCGAGACGGACGATAAGGCGGAAGGTTCGAAAAATGCATCAAAGCAGGAAATAGTACCATACAAGCCATCGGCTAAAGTAAGTATTTCTGCACTTTGTTTCAAACTTTCAGTCAGTTGTGCTTGTGGATAATGTTTGTGCAATACCGAATATATTAAATTAGAAACAATCTCACGTGGTCATGTTTTAGTCCTAAAATTTTATTTCCTAATCATTTCCAATAATGCTGTTCTTCAGTATTATAAAGTAAAAGTTTGTATTTGTCACTTTCATTGTTTGGCTAATCCTACAAGATTGGGAGTGAATCATTTATTATGTTAATTTAATATATATATATATTTAACATCCCATGTTGATTTTATCATTCATTCATTTCATTTGCCATCCATGGTGTGCTCATTGTAATTTATTTTCATTTGATCCTTCCCAACAATTGTAAACTATGTATATCAATTCATTTCTTAAAAATTACAGCTTACCGAGAAAAAGGAAGGTCTTTTAGTCAGAGCATTTCGTCGAATCAAAAGACGTCTTGTGGGTGATTGCCCTCCGAGTGTTGCTGCAATATGCTTGTATAAGACTCCAGGAAATGGGAGGAAGCAATGTAGATATAAGATGACACCTCAGCTCACTGAAAAACAATCATTTGATAGCTTGTTGCCCAGGTACATTGCAGTTATCAAATGTTATTGCAATTGTTGGAAATCAAATCACAAAAGTCATGGTTTTAGATCGTATGTGCTGAATGCATTTGTGGATGTTCGAGAGTCAAGGAACTTTGAATTTAAGACAGGTGGAGGATCCTATCCTGTTAGTGTACTACCAGAGGTAAATGGAATTAAGGATGAAAGCTTTCATACATTATCACAAAAATTTTCATCAGACTAGTTGGGTCAAATAAGGTTCAGGAATAGTTCTAACTGCACTGGACTTTAACACTATTATTGATCCTGAATACCTTGCATGTTTTAAATCCTAAACATGTCAAACTTTAAGGGAAACATATATTCAGTGGACTTAAGGTTTAGATTATAGCTAATGATTAATTACATAATGTAATTATGTACATCAAATTAATTATGTGATCTGTATAATTTGTTTTACAGCATATCAGGAAGTACGGTAGTGCCTTCCTAAATTGTGATGGAGGCATTTTGATTGCTGGAGTTTTAGATAATGGTAAGAGAAGATGATAAACAAGGCATTCTTATAATTTCTTATAATTTTTTCCCTATTTTTATCTTTACTAAGGTCAAATTAGAGGATATATTGTGATGGCTATATGGAAGATAGAATATTAGATATAGTTTACAATGAACTAGCTGAATTTTACCCCCCTGTGCCCAGGAGTATGTACAGGTAAGTTACTGTGATCAAAACTAGAATAAGCAGTTTAATATGTGGTTAAATTTCATTTGCAAATGACAACACATAACAGGAGCACTGACCTTTGTATGATTACAATAAATTATGTATGTAGTTCAGTGAATGTGAAGGAATACTTCAACTTCGATAGCGCCTTTCCTAAACATCTCAATTGTTGATTCATTTTAACTATTTTAGCATCAAATTCCTTCCTGTTTACAATAAACATTCAAGGCGCTATCTTCGTGATTATCGAATAGTAGAAATCATCTTTAAAGCAGGCGATCCTCTTGCACTATATGAATGTGGTGAACACAAGGTGAACAGTCAAACTGGATGATTTTTATCGCTCAATTTCTTAACATTGATTTCTTTATTGATAATTTTTTGTCTAAATTATCTTTGTCAGCCGAAGTCATTAGTTAACATTGATCATTTTGCATTTCCGAGTAGTTTTAGCACAGCAAAATTGAAATGATAGTTTTTTATATCTATTTTGTAAAGTAAATTTTCTCAGTTTTCCATGTTCAATGTTTCTACTAATCCTGTTCTCTTGCTACTGAAGGTGTTTTTGAAGCGAGAAGGCAGTGTCGAAGGTCCTTTGTCTCCACTGCAGATAAAGGATCTTGTTTTGAGGAAATACCGCATGGTAAGGGCAAGTCAAAACAATTTTTTGTTTCAAACCTCACAAGTAATTTAACTAGGTAATAGTTATACATAACACTAGAAAATCATTTGATATTTTGATTATAAATCAGCGTAGATAATGGTATGTTGTTGATGATTGTTGATCTAACCAAACTCTCAGTTGAAGATGATTTTTATCATAGCATGCGAAAAACTTTTACATTGAAAAAGTAGCATAAAAGTTGCAATTTATAGGATCGTAGTTATATATGGTGTGTCATGTTTACAAATATTTAATTGATATGAAGACTGTTACAGGTATAAAAAGTAAGAAATGTGTTGAAATTGCTCATGTCATTAACAATTAGAAATTGCAATTATTTGGTAGCTGAATTTCTTTTTTTTTTTCATCTAAAGGTGCTGGCTGAGCGACGACAGCAGAACACAACACTGTTGTCTCCTTGAGCAAAGGAAACGTTAACGTAACTATGTGAAAAACATACCGGGCAATATCTTTTAAGTTTAGTTATACAGTGGTTTAGATGAAGTATTGCTTGAAAAAGTTAATTAGTGACAGATATTTGTAAAAACTTTATGTAAATATGGAGTGACTTGTACAGTACTTTAATACTCCACAGTATTGGTTGATTTTTGACTTTTTCAACCAGAATTACAATATGTGCAACTTTTATCTAACACTAAAGCATGAACGTAATGATCTCACTAAATCAACAGCATTGTTAGTGTGGCGGATGGAATATAGTACAAAAGTACAAGTGAGTCATCGAAGGACATTGACATTGCTGCGGATTAGGAAATTATTTTCAGAAACCACATAACTATCTTATTTATGTCTGATCCTTCGCTGTTAGCTGCTGGAATATGGCTAGCTATTGCTGCCATTATTGCTGTTGTTCTTTTTATTACATCTTACTTTGTGAAACCTGCGAAAAGAAGTAAGTTGCTTCATGGTTTGACGATTTTTGATTGTTTTGTGTATAATGTGCTATGTACGGAGTCTTGAGGGAAAAAATTGTTATTTAAGGTTTCTTTTCGTCATTGGCAATACGCTAACCTAAGACTGCGTTTGTTTTACTTAATTTCGATAAATTTTGAGTTATGAAGTTGGCATTGCAAACAACTGAATAGGTTTTAATGTTTTAATAAACTGGCTTGACTTGGTCTGTTATGATGAATTATTTGATAAATCCAGCTTTTTGATTCAGAAAAGAAGGATAAACAACATGTTGGAAACATTCAAAATGAAAGAGTCGGTGGACATAGACGTAGGCGAGGTGCTGATATGATGAGACGCCGAGTTCTAGAGCTTGAAGATGATGAAGAAGATGAAGGTTTTGAGCAACAGTTAATAGAAAGTCTTATATATAATTGTATGATTATTCTTGTTTTTTTTTCACAGATATTGATGACTTTGGAAGTTTACCATTTGATCCTAATGAAACAACAGGAAAGATTGGTGCAAAGAAGATGAAAAAACTAGAAATGAAGGCAAAAAAGAGCGCAAAGAGAGGTCGATACAAGACTTGTCTAGAAGTAATTATTGAACATCATATTTAACTTTTTTTTGTTGTAATGTAGGAAATGGAATATGAGCGTGAAGAAAGAAAACAACGTCAGCGAATGCTTGATGATGAAGCAAAGAGACTTGAAAAAATTCGAAAGAAGGAAAAAGAGAAGGAGGTATAATTTTTTTATATGATTTTTCCTATTGATATCAAATTGTCCTAAATATATGTCTATTAGAAGTTTGGTTTTGTTTGGTCCATAACCATGCTGATTTGGTTTTCTATAGGAAGAAGAAGAGAGAAAACGTAAAGAAGAACAAGAAAGATTGGAACATGAAGAATATTTAAAATTAAAAGAGAGTTTTGCAGTTGAAGGAGAAGGAAGTGGTGAACAACTGATAGAGGAAGAGGTGATTTTAACTTTATCGATAGCAATCTGAGATTTTCTCTTTGAAATATCAAAACAGGACACATGCAGTGAAGTGGAAATTTTCAATTCTGTCAAAGGAGATTTTACAATTTTTAGACTATATGGTTGTATAGACGAATATGGGAAATTTCCCTTTCTTAACAGTTTTGTTAAGTGTTACAAATAGTTGTAATTTTTTCTTCAATCATTTACAACAAGTTTAAGAAAACCATGTTTTGAAAAGTGACCAGAAATGTGTATCATTCAATGCATATTTGATTAATTTACCCTCTATTCATCAATATAGTCCCAATCTCTGTTACAAGAATTCATTGACTATATAAAGGTAAGTTGGGAATATGAAAATGGAAAATTATTTTCAATGGCTTCAGTCTTTTTATAATGAAAAATTTTTCATACCAGTGATTTCTCTTCAGGATACAAAAGTAGTGCTTTTGGAAGATTTAGCTTCGCACTTTAACCTTCGTACTCAAGATGCAATAAACAGAGTAAAAGTTCTTCAGGAAATGGGAAGAATAACAGGTAAATACTTTCTTAAAGGATTTGAATGGGTGATATTTCAACAGTGCAGTGATTCAAAAAATGTTTTTGTTCTTTGTTACAAAGGTGTTGTGGATGACAGAGGAAAGTTTATTTACATATCTCAAGAGGAATTGGAGGCTGTAGCAAAGTTCATTCAACAAAGAGGACGAGTGTCGATAAGTGACCTTTCTGATTCCAGTAATACTCTTATAAATCTTGAAGCATGTTTAAAGAAGCCTGAAATGTCATCAACAGAAATCCCTGTGTGATGTAAAAATATAGACTTAACATGATTGTTATTGATTTAAAAATTTATCTACAAGCATGACTTAACCATGTCACCAACAACATTTTATTAAAATTGTGTCTAATACTTCTAATACTTATTTTCACATTTGTTTTGTCTCTAGTATGCATGCAGACAATTGCATTGATTTATTCCACATAACATTTAAAAGTATTTATTTTGTGATGCTCAGCACATCATTTAATTATCCTCAGATTTGATGATAAATTTGAAAAATATTTTCTTCGATTTCAGTAATCTGCGTGAAACATGTTTGGTCTATGCTGGATAACCAGTTAACAATCGAACATCGATTGATTTATTGAAGCCTGCCTTTTCGATTGATTCCAGACCAATATTCCTTTATAAAAAAGTTTAAAAATTCATTCTCTCAAATGTTTTGAAGAATTCAATATAAATGTATTTTCCCCCAAGTAGTACAAATGTTTTGAAATTCTACCAAAGTACAAGCAAATTTAAACTTACGTGTCTTCAAATCCCCAGCATTTTTCAGGTTTTACTTTCAGCTTTTCGCATGCTGTTAAAAATGCATCAGGACTTGGCTTGTGTCTTGTGTAGTCTTCATTTCCAACAATAACATCGAAAAGTTGTCGAAGGCCAGCAATTTCTAGCACTAAACAATTTGAGGGATATCATTTATGATTATAAAAACTTTGACAAGGTAAAATATTCTTTTATATAATAAATTATTTTTTTTTGTATTTGTTTTTTGAAATATGATAGGCTGCTTTTGTGATAATTGATCTTAAAGGTCAAAGATCTTGGTGGGAAATGTTATGCTTTTTAGCTACTAATTTGTTTAATAATTGCTTTTAAAATTTTTTGAGTAGATTAAAAATTTTTAAAATTGTTCTAAGTGAAAGCAAAATGTACTTGCATGGCGAAAGGGAATTTTACCATTCAGACAAACCATTGCAGCAATTGGTTGATTATGTAAATTAAAAATATGTTTTCTGAGCGATGTTTTATCCCATAAATAATATTTAAAAAGGTGACCATAATCCTTGTAGCCAACATTCTTTCGTGACACTTAGTTACTCTCCAGGGAAATATATCGTCTATAGATACTTAGTATTTGGTAGTGAAAACACTTTTGAAGCATTGTCGAATTTTCGTCTAGTTCAGTTTTTCAAGTGTTTTTTTTTACTTTGATTTTCTTTCTAGAACTCGAACAAATAATTTGTAATCAAGGTAAAACAAAAACATAAGTTTTTACACACCCACGTAACGCCTGCATTCCGAAAATAATTTTCACTAGTTTGATGTAGAGTTTGAGTGTTTTTGAACTGAAGAAAATAATTATTGGTTTATTTCAACTGATTAAGTGCACAATGTAAGTGTTTTGTTTGAACCATGAGCAATAACTATCATGCTAAATTTGATGTACATTTCTGATATAGAATCATCTTGGACTTTGAACAGTTCAAACTTCAAACGAACAAAGGCCAGCAATACGTAAAAACGTATGGTACTTTCAATACGTTTTCTTCTACATGAGAAAAAATTTTGAAATTAATTCTCGCACTATCTATATTTAACGTTTCGACTTATTACCTTCTTCGACCTGAAAACGAGAACTGCCAGTCGCCACTCCAAGTAATAACGACTCGTTTCTACTTTTTGCTTCGATGGCAAAATTCACGACACATGTTATGGGCAAATTTTCGGGCGCTGCTCCCTTGAATGATTCCATGTAGAAAGCTTTTTTTCTATTGTAAATATTCGTGACATCTAGATGAATACCCTTTGCTCGTGCGAGACTTCGTATAATTTCTCGGCCAGGTACTCCTGCCTTTTCCATAAAATACTCTTTTGAAAAGCACAAACCAGTTTCTTCGCATATCTGTTCCCAGGCTTGTAGATGGAATGGCATTGTGTCCACTAGTGTTCCATCACAGTCAAATATCAAAGCCTCCAAGTCATTTGGCAAAGGGGGAATGCGATCCATGACTGTCGTTGACTTCATTGAAATTCACCTCTATATTTCCAAAAGAATAGTCGATATTTCGATATTTTCTTTAGATTTTTACCTTATGAGTTGAAATTTATGACAGGTAGATTTCCTACGTTTACAGACAGACTATTATTGCCAGCTTAGCTTTCATCCACCTAAATGTTTGCTGTGCAGTGGTTAGAGAGTAAAGCTGCTAAAGCCTATAATTTGAAACATTACAGTCCAATTATTATTTATTTTCGACTAGAATGACATGATCAAATATAATGTTTCGTGTACAATTGCACGATTTCCTTCGCAAAATTTTCGTAAACAAACTTACCTAGGCAAGTAAGACATTCAAACTAAGTTCATTTGGTAGTTGTTCTTTTACACTAAATTTCGATATTCGAAAATATTTTTACGCTGTCTTAGTATTTGTCACTGGCATTTTTGTGATCTCTGGACTTTGCACTCACCTCATTTAATATTTAAATATTAAACTTCTTTTCTTTCGTATTACTTTCGAGTTCAAGTTATCATGTGGTCGTTTGGCAATATAGTTGCCGTTTGTAAAGGGAATTCTTGCTTGGATGAGTACACATCTTCTTTTCATAGCATAAGTTTGTTAGTTATTGTTAAAGTAAAATCTTTGTTATTGTTATTATTACCCTTTCTAGGGACAAACAAAGGCGTGCGGGGGGAGAGTATTTGTATCATTTTACAGTGTGGTTGCCCAGCAACGGAAATTTCAACATGGCGACGAATACATTGGAAGAATGCCATTTGTGTCAATGCCAAAACGGAGTGCATTTGTGAAAGAACATGATTAGTAGTACCGTGTCGAGCGACCTTTCCTTAAATATAAGTGAGTAGAATGTGAATTTTTATAATATAGATGTCCATTAAGTTTTAAATATGTTGAAGTTGTTAGATTTTTCCAGACTATCGACTGCTGAGAATGTTGTCTTTTGTCAGTAGCGCAGGAAACTCGTTTCCCCCTGCCGTGCAATTATTTTTATGTCATGTGGTATACAAGCAATAACCTTGAAATATTATTTTAGTAGCAGGAGTAGAACACGTGGGCAGATGACTCAATGAGTCTTATGTTAGCACACATACTGAAATGCATAAAATGTGAATTGTCAAATTTCCGGTGCGACCACCCACTCTTACTTCATCTATGTGTGCTATCCAAGCTTGACATATAGAAATAATTTACTATGAAAACACTGTTATTAATTAGCATTAATTATTTTTTCAATTTTTAATTATAGTTACAGCAAAGGAAAGTTTGGAGGTATTCCCATCAGTCCCGTGTACTTCTCTCATACAAACTCCTTATACTAAAATCGCAGATTGGAGAAAAACAGAAAATTCCCATGATTTGACAATATGTTGTAAGTCAGTTCATCAGAATGGCGGATCTTGCTCACAGAGGACTAGGAAAAAGATAACTGGAAATATTCGAATGCTTGGAGATTTGCCAGAATCACTTTTGGATAAACCAGTGGATAATTTTCAAGGTTTACTTCCTAATACAAGCCTATATCTACCTGATGTTCATTTAAAGAGAGAAACAAAACAGAAACAGCAAAAGCTCAAAGAAATTAGTGACAAGCTTAGTTTCTCTCGTGATGTGATGAAATGTCATGGTTCTTATGTGATGAATTATGATGATAAAGAACTGTTTAAGCTTGTATACAGGGAAGCCAAACATGGAAGACTCTTCTCAACAACAAGAACCACTCGCAAACAAGACAACCCTATTGGATTCCCACATAGGCATGAAATATGTCACTTTCGTAGACAATCTGCAAAGAGCCCTGAACACAAACCAAACTCTTTCAGTGCCATTGACAACAAAATAAAACAAGAATTAGAAGATGTCATACTCTCATCGACAAAAACCCGCAGGCTAAGCAAATTTTATTCACATGCATTGCAGCATACTGTAAAGTCTTTGCCATCCAATGACTGGGATGAATATGTTTTAGCTTTGCTCAGCAGATCAACAGCGACACTATTGATAGAAGAGTTGCCAAGTGGACAAACACAAAATCGTTTGACGAACTTCCTAGGAAATTACTATTCAACAAAAAAGTGTGAGAACGACAAACATTTATTGCATGCGACGACGCCTGAAGTTGATGGAGGAGAGAAACACGACGATTGTAAATTGGGCAATGAAATTGATAAAGCATTAATGGAAATGACCGCTGAACCTCATTGCTCTACATCCATCAGTGTGCCAACTGTCGTTGACGATAAGAAAGTTTCAAAGAACAATCTCTTGCAACAGGGATTGATGACATTCAATCGTTACGGACGCAAACAACATGGGGGGAGTCTTCTTCACGATGCAAACTCATTTTTACGTTTCGAGAAGAAGCTTCAGGCGAATTTTCCCGAAAATCCTAAAAAATGGTCCTTAGGAAGTCATGCACGAAACGATTTCAAGTTTTCAGCGAAACGAAAAGTCGTTAAGGGGTTACGACGCTGGAATGAATTGCCCTCGCTGCTTCAAGTATGTTGAAATGATTTTTGGTTATCAAGAAAGATTATAACTTAGACTTCAAGCATTTAAATATTCCAGAGCTAGAATATAATTTTTCGGTCGTCAAAATGATCCTAATAAAGTGAATGGCTTGAACCCGGGAGTGTCATTCCATGTTTTTAGATGTAGACCGTTCAAGTTAGTAAAGTCTTGAGAAGGACTGTTGGCCTTCGTGCTGGCTGACTTTTAGATAACCTTAGCGGCTAGATGAAGATGACTACCGCTAAAGTTGTCTAAACGTCAGTCCCCAGGACTTCACTAACCTGGACGATGTACATGCACAAACATGTAACGATACTCCCGGGTTCAAATCATTCACTTTAATCTAATTTTTTTTAACTAGTAAAATTTCCTATCTTTCTCGGAAATATTTTTACAGGACGATTCCTACACTCCATCGTTTCAAACATTTGAAAAACCTTCTGAGACAAAGCGTGAAGTTGATCTTACATCCGCTCACAAAATAAGACAGAACAACAGCATACTTCGCATAAGTATGTCCTTTTACCTTCTATTTAATTTTATTTATAGCTATTGCTTTAGGGTCTATGCGAACACGAAATTTCATTGGCTATGAATCGAACTTAAATTCAGTCTGACGAATGTTTAGGTTAAAAAAACAATTCAAAAGGAAAATAGCTAGTGTGCCCTTTTAGAAATGTTATTTGTTAGACCTTCACGATTCTTTGGATAGGGATGTTTAAAAACGTTTATAACAAGATCTCCGTGCCCCACAGATTTATTGAACTCATGGAAATGATAAAAATTTTATGTCGCTCTGCTCCTTATACGTATAATTCCTTTACTGGTATTCTTTTTTGTATATTTAACGTAGGTGAAGAGTGGCAAAATAAGTGGCTTTTGGAAAAACGTTGGCAGTCTGCTAGTACCGAACAGCTCATCCGAGGAATGAATGATATAAACGACCACGTTAGGCTGACCGCCGTTGCTTCGTGCAGTAGAGCTGTAGCACGGAAACAAAGGAAGAAAAACGATCGAAGTTTTGGTTAGTTTGTCAATAAAAAAAACAGTTTTGTTCCATAGAGATTCCAACTAGGATTATTGAAGTGTGAACCCTGAAGCTATGACCTTGGGCACAAAAATCGTGGTGGATCTCTTTAATGAAATTTGATTGTGTTAGAGTTATAGCTCAACAAAGATTTTACTCATTGTCTCATGAATGTTCATTTGCAGTTGTGGATCTAACGCAAGATAACAACAACTGCGATAAAGAGAACGTTACTAAAGAACTAGAACCTGAACTTCTTGAATGCATTTCAAAACTTCTTGATGACAAGTGTAAACAAGTTCAGATCACCGCTGCTATTATATTATGTTCATACAAATCTTCCGAACCAAAGGTAAATTGTGTTTTGACTCATCAATGTTTTATGCCATGTTGCCTGATTTCAACTCCGATACTTTCTATTGCGTTTGGGTTTCGACCCCTAACCTTTTGACTGCTACGAAGGCGAGACTTTGAGGGGGAAGTAAAGTCAAAATTTGCTGGGGTTTTTTTTGTCGAACATTGTTTTTCTACATCCTTCGGATATTTTGCAAATGATTTTATTTCTTTTGGTTTGAGAAGATGTTTGATTTATTCTCAACCAATAATTTACAACCCGATCTCCTAAATGTCTAAATGAAAAACAATTTTGTCAAATATTTCAAAACAAAACCTAGACACGACTCTGCAACTGTTCATCAACATTTTAGTCTTTAATATCGTTACTTCTGCGGCTTTTAACTGTAGAGTTCGAGAATCTAGTAGACTGGGTTCTAGTTCATGGTACTCAGATGACGCGTGAAACAGTCCATTCTCATGAGTCGATACTCCATAACCTAATTCGTGAAATTGAATGCGATATTCCTGTTTCTCATGTACCGTAATTATGAAAAAGATCATTTTTTTACCACAGGTCATGGAAATATTGAAAGACAGCGTTCAAAACGGAAGTGATGTTGAACGATGGTTGGCTTCGCAATGTTTGGCGCTATCTGGATGTTGTGCAGATTACATTATAACGGAATTACTTTCACAAACGTCCGGTACAGATCTCGTAAGACAGGAGCAAGCCACGGTGTTGCTATTAAAATTAAGTCATCAAACGGTAATTCTACTCGAAGAAGCAGACTCCAAAAAAATATAGCCATCGTGAAATTTATTATTTCAGTGTATTAAAAACTTTCCACGATGCTTCCAAAACTTTCTTTTTGTTAATTGCATTATTGATATGCAAGCTGGCTATATTTTTGGATTCTACTTTATATGCTTCTTAAAATTATTGCCCGGGCGTGGTTTTTGGTTACTCGCCCCAGTACTTTTTCCCGGAACAGAGAGAACTCTTGTTCTTGGTATGTAGTGATATTTTTCAAGTAAAGAAGCGAACATTAATTCTTTGAGACGGCGTACTGCTGCTACATTTTTTTTAAGTGATGTTTTTCTTATCTTCAGTCATTAGTTCATGCTGTCGTAGCAGAACTGTTGAACAGTAACAGCTGTCATGATCGACTTGTCGCCTGTCGACTCTTGCCTCGTTTGAAAGGATCTTTAAATAAGGTCTGTCTGTGTCCGTCGTTATTGCTGTCACAAAGATACAAGAGATGCTATTCTGCCATTCATTACTACTTCTACCTTTCTGCATTCATTCCTTTCTTTTTTGCTTTCTTTTTCTTCATTTGATTTAGGATATAGCTCAAAAACTCTCTTATATGATGTGGAATGATTGGGAGAATAGTGTAAAAACGGCGGCCGCGCAGGCCCTGGGACGAACAGGGAATGGAAAGGTAACGCAATGTGACAAAAGTCTGTATTTACTTAATATATCATTGTAGTTATAATGGCATACAGTATGGCGTCTTTAAATATTATCACAAATCTCAGTGATTTGTTAGTGTATAAATTACATGAAATATTTAGCGAGATAATTTTATTACTTTAGCTTGTTCATGATGCATTATTGGAACGACTGTCAGATCACAATGAAAGAACACAAACAGATGCTCTTAGTAAGGTATGTTAGTAATCTTGAAGTGCAATTTGTTCACGTGAAAGTTCGTTGCTCGTAAGGTATCTTAGTAATCTTGAAGTGCAATTTGTTCACGTGAAAGTTCGTTGCTCGTAAGGTACGTTAGTAATCTTGAAGTGCAATTTGTTCACGTGAAAGTTCGTTGCTTGTTAGCATAGCTACATTTACGAAATATGTCGTTCAATGGAATAAATCGTTTACGAACATTTCAGTTGGCGAACCTCGGTGTCATGACTCCACATTTACTTCCTGCGTTTTTGGCCTGTTTCAAAAGTGAATTTGTTTCTGTTAGACTGCAAGCAGCCAAGGTGAGTGGTTATACCTAGGTGTTCGAATTTTTGAGTGTTTTGGTTGGGTCATACGAATTTATGTACGGTTACAATTAAAATTCATTATTCAGTGAAGACTTTCCTTTCCAGTACTGAGTGACGAAAATTCAATCAAAGTCGTAATGTAAACTTGCAGTAAATGCGATTTATGTTCAGTTTTTGCTGTCCTAATTAAAAAATTCTTTAGACTTATTTTCGAAGATCACAAAAATTAAGAGAAACCGTTGTCTTCGTTGTGAATTTAAGAACGTTTGAATGTCGGCTGTGTAAAAGACCTTACTACGTAACATCCGATTCTTTTTCGAACAGAGTTATATATATGAAGCCATAGATCACCCCAGGAAGGAGCCAGACTGTGTATTTTTTGAATGTATAAACAATCCAGACGTGAAGATTGAGTAGTTTTCTCGAGAATTTACGCGTTTTGTCAATCATGTATTCAGTGTTTTCATGACTAGTCAAAAGGCAGTGTTTTTTAACTTTACACTAGTTTTCTCGAGAATTTACGCGTTTTGGCAATCATGTATTCAATGTTTTCATGACTAGTCAAAAGGCAGCGTTTTTTTTTTAACTTTACACTAGTTTTCTCGAGAATTTACGCGTTTTGACAATCATGTATTCAATGTTTTCATGACTAGTCAAAAGGCAGTGTTTTTAACTTTACACTAGTTTTCTCGAGAATTTACGCGTTTTGGCAATCATGTATTCAATGTTTTCATGACTAGTCAAAAGGCAGTGTTTTTTTTAACTTTACACTAGTTTTCTCGAGAATTTACGCGTTTTGGCAATCATGTATTCAATGTTTTCATGACTAGTCAAAAGGCAGTGTTTTTTTTAACTTTACACTATCCTTTGATCGCCATTTTGATAAGTGCACGAGTTTAATCGTGCGTTGTTTGTTCATGGCTGTTTTTCTTTATAATTTCCAGGCTTCAGGTGAAATAAACACTTCAGATGAGCGAGTTCTATCGGCTTTATTGACCTTAGCAAATGAAGATTATTCTTGGAAGGTTATGGCTCACTCCGTCAATGGTAACTATGTACAAGATTATAATCATGATTTGTCGTCCATTTCTCTATAAGAAACGTCAATTGTAAACTTAATGTGAATATGATTTCAATCCTAGACCATCCATATCTCTCTATGTTAGGAAAGTACTATTTAAGTCTCTTTGTGACTCAACAATTTGTGTAAAATGAACTGCTAGAGACTCAACTTTATATTGTGCAGTTCTAAATCTAACGTTTAAAATCTTTACTAATTTCCGTCTGTCGAACCTGAGACAGCCTGTGCTTTAACCAACTATTATATCGTTCGTTCTTCCTGCAGCTATCGGTACGATTGGCGTTGTCAATGAAGACGTCATAGAAATGTTGAATTGGAACATGCGCTACAACAAAACCGCCGCTGTACGTGCTGAGGCGTGTAACGCAGTTGCAAGACTCGGTATTAAAGATGCCCGCACGTTGAGTGCTCTTCAGGATCGATTGATCGTTGAAACAAACGAAACCGTGATACGGTTGGTTATAGTTTTTAGGTGAATTTATAGGAGTGGGGGGTCGCACCTCCTTGCACACTTTCAAAAGATGTCTGCCAATATTGCTATAACAGTTACAGAATTTAACAAATCAGACATGGCATGGTGACAATTTCCAGGTAGCCTCCAAAATATCTATCCAAACTTGAGCCACACACACACCCCCCTGCATATAGACGATTTATTTATTGTTTCAAGAGGCAAAAATCTACGATTCAGACTGAAACATTTATGGAAACAAAACATTAATTTGAAGAAAACTAAATTTCAATTTTCTTTTTAGTGAACTGTTTAACAACTGAGACTGGGCGTCTCGCAGCCTGCCCGGAATCTATGCTTCTTACCTCACGATTTAAACTAGTTACCATTACTTTTATGTTTATAGTGAGGCAGAGCGAGCCTTGAGGTGTTTGCAGATTGCGTTCACCGGTGACTTAGAAATGATAAGCGCTATCCGTGCTGAAGTGAAAAGACTTTGTGAGAAAGAAAACGTACTAAAGTCAATAATACAACTTGAAAAACACGAAGATCACGAAAGAGATTTCAAGCGCTTGATTTCTATCGACTCCAGCGTGCAAGAGAACCGCAAAAGTGAGTCAAAGACGAAAGGATCTGCTATAGCGAATGTTGGCTGGAACCCAATCCTTGCTGGCTTTCGTGCTCGTTCAGTTTTTTCCGAGCCAAGTGTGACCAAGACTGTGAAAATGGAACGATCACGTCTTCCAATAGACTTGAACAGTGCCACATCCGAAGGTAGTCAGAGGACTAAGTCCGATCTTGAGACGGAATATTCCGATTCTATCCGATCAAAATCAAGGTCAACTCCGAACGACGAAAACATTTACAACGAGAAAGTTGCATCCCATTTCAGAAACAGTCCTAAATCAACAAGTATTTAATTCAGTATTGATCGAACTACAGTAACGTTGAAGATGAGTTTTCACTTTTGATGTGCAGTTTTATGATTAAAGCAAAGTTATGTTTTCAGGATACATGGCGCGTAAAAAAATTTAAGTTTAAAAATTTTTTGAACATCAGAGTATTTATTTTTTCAACATCTATACAAGCTGTACAAGAAGACTGCTGTATAATAATGATATAGCCTGAACTTACCTAGCTGTCGATGTCTTCCGTTTGCTGACTTTTCTGGCCAGTACAAACGAGCTAATCATACTTTTTGAAAAATGGAACATTTGGAAAAATTTGTTTTGAGCAAGTTGCTGCATCAATTTGCATGAAACTATCATGCAAATAGCACTAAGAAATCACTTTATCAGGATTGCAGCTGGAGAAAATGCAAATATCTGGGCGATCGAAGATGCAATTCTGAAACCAATTAGTGAAAGGTGATGGTATAAAAATAGACATCTCATCATCGTCGTCATAATTCCAAGTTTTACATTAAGTGTCACATAATGATACATCGTGATATTACATACAAATTGAATTTAATATTTCTAATGATCTACATTTTATCACACACTTCAAAGAAAGATAACATTTCACGAAAATGTTTTTGCAAAAGTAGATTAATTACTCACAGCTCTTGAGGTAAAAGAATTATCTTACTTAAACATTTTTTCAGATGCTATTCTCTACCAGTACATATTAGTGAGTCTGATCCCCGGGCTTGATACTCGTGGTGCGTCTTAACCACCGGAAATAATTTCCTGTGGAGAGGAATTAGAAACAGCGAAAAGTATGTTTGATGTTGATGATAAAGTGTGATCTTCAAATACTGTATTTCCCTGCTCATTTTTTACGGAGGTAAGGATCTAATATACGTTTGTAGTTATCGTCACAATTATAAATGTTTCTGATAAAGACAAGATGAATATATTTGATTTCATTGTGTTTATGCACGCTGTGCAACACGTTCTGATTACATGAAGAACTTCGATCCTAACCTGACTTGTTTCTGACTTCATTACACTCTCACGCTTGCGATTTAGAAAGCTTTTTTTTATAAAATCTCAATCTATATCGATTGTTTAACAGTTTTAACACTGTTATTAGAAGTATAAAATGATTTATTTCTAGCTTATGAAATTTTATACTGAAAAATCACGAATGGGGTCTTTTGTTTGTTGTGTTTAAAACAACATGCCAATTCCTGTCCTAAAACTTAACACAATATTTCATGAGAAAGCCATCGCTTGTCAAAATGAAATCTCTATGAAATGGCTCTCGTCTTCGTATTGTTATTTTACCAATTTTGTAAAATACAATTTTTCCTTGATCAACGTAAACATGAATTATTAGTCAGTATTCCCATTCAAAAAGCCCGGTTTTGTTAATAATTAATAGACAATAGTATCAAATCTTATGTCATTTCGTTTTCCCAAATACTTAGACAAATATTGTTCTTCGTTAACTACAAAGGATTTCTTTTGTATTCGAAACAAATTAAACTATGTGTATGTATTTAAATCGACGTTAAAAAACTTTAATCCGGAGTGGCTGTAAATATTTTGTTTCTAAGACTGATTATTCTTCGCCGCTTGACTTCCTCGTGCTTTTGTGCTATTAAGTAGTAAGGATTTTGAAAGGAATTACAGTTGTATATTTCTACTTATTTGTATGGTATGAATAGAATGATGCAAGGGCATGGATTTCGGGTTTGTGAATGTGAGAGTTTTAAGTGAAAGAAGTAACCAGGAAATTCCCACAATCAAGCTTAATATGAATGACTATATACCTTGACTTCGATACGAAATAACTTCCTGTGATTTTAGATAAAAACGAATGTGAACGTTGCAAACTTTGCTTTGTTATTATATTGATTTCAATATAGTATTTGTCTGTGTTTTTTGTTTATAGCTATGGAAGACAATGAAATCCAAGGAAAGATTGATTATGAGGTGAAAATGCGTGAAGGGACTGTCAAGCTACTTGAGGCTTGTCATGAGCAGTCCCAAGCTTTAGAAGGAGCTAAAAACCTCCTTACAATCAATGCGAGGATTATTGCTCTAATGTCACTGCTACAGAAGAATAGGAAACAGACAATAAACTCTAAAACAAGTCCAAACATTTCGAAGATCCAAAAGTAAGACTGGACACACCATTGTTATAACCTCCTGTCTTGATATTGTCATGTACACTCATGTATTTATTATTAATGACAAATTTGATGTTTGTTTCAGTGGGGAAAAGGCACAAGTATCTTGTCTGGGAAGAATTTCAATTTCAGGTATAAATCATTTCTCTTTGACCTTTTACTACATGTCATGATGTGAAACCACTTTGAAAATTTGCTACAGATATACGCGTTCCTTTGATGTGGAATGAAGAGGAACATTTTAGGGCCAAAGAAAGTATTTCAGGTGGGCTATGATAGCAGTGTAGGTTTGAAAATATTTGATACATTGTCTGGTTTTAAGTAATTTTTTTCAAGCTTTCAATTGTCAATCTGCAGTATATGGATAGTATTGCAAACATAAGATTTTGAAAGACAAATGTTTACTTACTTATTTATAAACAAACTTTAAAGTTGTTTGTTTCTTAGACTCATGTTAGTAATTGTTGATTTTATTGGTCTGGACAGTAAATTGCATCTTTGTAATTCTATTCATTCTCCCTGCCAATCTAAGGACATCTTGGAAATCTTGTAGGAAAACGAGAACATGTTTATAAATCAATAGCACAGGTGTCTTATTTTGACTGAACATGGCTGGATTGCTCATAAAAGGCAACCTAGTGGCTAGTTAGAGATGAACTTTCAACCAATATTGACTATTTGTTATATGATTGCAAACCTCAGTTGATATATTGTGTCAATGCGAATGTTTTCAATGACCAATGCATTAAAGCCATCATAACTTTACCATAAGTCTCTATGTAATTATTAATAAGTCTCTTATTTTAAAGCATTGAATAGTTCAAGCAGGGGCAATGCAATATGTGCCAAATAAGGAGGGTGAATGCCTAGAACAGTGACCCTTCACAAAACATAGCAATATGAACCTACTATGGATGATGCTTGCCTAGATGAGTATCCTTTTGGAAATTATAGCAATATGTGCCAAATAGGAGGGCACATGCCTAGAAGAGTGACCCTTCAATATGAGCCAAATAAGGAGGGTGCATGTTTATAATGGTAAAAATAAAAATTCCTACACAGGGAAAAACTAGACGAAATAATATCTGGGTGAATGTACTTGACCAGATCATCTGGTCAGCGTGCGCCTGTGATGCCAATATACCAAAAGTAATTCCAGCTAGTCTCTCTTTATTCGTCTATTTTTTTTCATGTATTTTCAGAGATATCTCGAATATATCACGTGTTTTCTATCCTTAAACTTGGGGGTCAAGTCCAAGAAACGGGACTCGTTGAAGTAGATCAATCCTCGACAGATGTGACGCTCAACGACGTCGTGATTTTGTGAGTTGAAACGTCAAATTTTCTTAATTTTTTTCGTGTAGTTTCTCAAATGTTTTTATGTGTAGCAACGTGACATGTTCGTAGATGTATATTGTCCAGGTTATTGGAGTTCTGAGAGTTGACTGACGTTTCGACATTCGTAGTGTGATGGTCATAGATCTTCAGAGTGGGACTTAACTAATCTGGACAATGTACATCTACAAACATGTAACGATACTCTTGGGTTCAAGAATACACATATAATGTTAGTGAGAATTCATTATTAATTTATTAGTACATTGCTTGCTAAAGGCGCAGTTACTAACATAAAAAGGTTGTTTCCTGGGACGAATGTGTAAACGTCTTATGTCATCGTTTCGTTACTCAGCCAGTGAAGAAAATGAAGGCAATTTTCCACCCTGGATAGACTTCCATTACAACCCCTTTTTTATAATATTTAAGTCTATGCCGGGGGGGATTGCCTGTAAAGTGCTTGCACATAAATCAATTTTGATGACTTTCGGCATGTTAGTGTTGTGTGCTTAAGCGAAACAAGTTTCTAGTATTTTGGCTCTTTGTAACACGTGGATAAAGCATAACCAATCATCGTGAACGTTACCGTCAGGTAATTTGAGAAAGGGTTACATTTTCTCAGTGTATGCTATGGTTTTTGTTTTTAATGTGTATTTTGCAGCGATCATGTTGAAGCAGATTTCAAGCTGAACATCGAAATTTACTACACGACAACATCCACGAATGATGTTCATTCTACACACAAGAAACACACGCATCGCATGAATTCAGACGGCAGTTATGGTCCAAAATACGTTTTGGCTGGCCATGCGTCTCTCGACGTTGATAACGTCCACGATGGAATCAAAATACACGATATTAAGAAAGGTACTAAGATATGACCTACGTACAGGGGTAGAGAGAAGGGGGGGTAGGGTGTTTAGTTCCTGTATTCTTAACCATTTCTCGAGATGAATTCTGATTTTTAAATCACATCATCAGAACATCGTTTTTACGAGACGATTTTCTACAACTTGAAATCAATGCTTTGTCTTAAATTGTTTGTGCGTGTGTCTAATACTTTTTTTTGCTCCCAAGATGACTGCAGGGCTGGGCAGTATAAATGCACTCATTACGCTGTTTTTTCATAGGGGCTGTCGGTGCTAGTCCGTCCGCGTCAGCGGTTACTGCTGACGCATTTCATACGGCAAACCTTCCACTATGGAGCCAGTTTTGTTGTCGCCTGGCTGCGATGCCTCTTTCTGTTGATGGCGAAGACACTGCAGGTGTTCTGTTCTTACAGGTATTAAATGTTTTACTTCACCGTGGTGGGAGGAAAAAGATCTGTTTTTGCATTTTGATTTTTGGTAATGTGACAGTCTTGAAAAATTTTTTTAGAACTTTGATTCTGATGATTTGTAATACCTACAACGTTTTATTTGATTTAAGGGAATAGCCAATCGTAAACCGTCATGGGAAAAGTGCTGGTGTCGACTTCGTAAAGCACAATTAGAATGTTGGGAAACAGAAGAACATTCCAAAAGTTCTAAAATGAAACCAAAGAATATAATTAGTCTGAATGAGGTTCGAAACACGTTTTTAAATTTTACTAATTATTGAATGTTCGATAACAAACTTTACCTCTGCTTGAAGTAATTCTTTTCAAAATTGGCGTAAAGCTAAAATAATCGTGGTATCAAAACAATTGTTCATCAGTCTACAGAAATTTTGCGAACTGTTAAAAATAATGCGTAATCAGCTTAATCATTAGTTTACAAACAATTTTCAATGCTAAACTTGGCTTTATTTTTTTTGAAATCAACTTGTAATTATTAACAATTTACAATTTGTTTGCTTGTCGTTATGCTTTAATCCTTATTCCATAGACAGCATTCATAAACTACAGTGCAAACTGGGGTTTGTGAAAGATGGTCGACAGCATCGACTCTGCTTAATGTTTTGAGAATCACTTTCTCTAGGGTATGGATGTCAATGAAGATTTGCAGGGTAACTGTGAATATCGTCACATTCTTATACTCACGTGTTCAGACGATGAGAAGGAACCCGTATTTGCATGCGAAACTGAAGATGACTTTTTAAAGTGGAGAAAAGCTTTAAAGCAAGCATTGCTCGATCTCAGAGCTTGGAAACTGGCATACAAACAAGATATTGTTTTGGCTGACCCAACGCCAAAGAAATTACCAATAATTTCGCGTATTCCTCTTTATGATCAAATTGATGTTGAAATCACCTTGGAAGATGACTTCGATGAGGGTATGTATCAAATAATACCATATATGGTAATATTATAGGTCGAGATCACCTTAGAAGATGTCTTTGAAGAGGGTATGTACCAAATAATACGGTACATGCTAATCTTTTTACTGAAACAGGTGTAGATTTTTCTCTCTTGTCAGCGGTTTTGACAGCGGTTTAAAATATGTCTTCTTCATTCTATTCACCATTTGGTGTGTTATCTCATTAATTTAAGATTGCCTTTTTTCACTGTTTTGATAATAGATTTAATCTTTGTTTCGTATCGTTTATCCAAGTTACAACTTGTTGTGAAACTATTTAATATTAGTTATGTAGTTTCATTTTGATTGCATGTGTGTCCGTCCTTGTGCTGAAAATTGTCAAGTGATTTTTGACAATGTAAAGTTTTTCCTTGCATATACTTTCATTTGTTTCAACGTGACATAGGAATATCAATCTTAGCTTTGTACCCGCTTTAGACATGATCTATTCGGCCGATGAAACCAATGGCAAAAAAAGCGGCTCCGACTCTCCAAAAATCCGAAAATCTTCTGAACACTTGGATGAAGTTGAAAGACGTCTACGAGGTAGTGGTAAAGATGATGTGGATTCGAACCATAGGCACTCACCAAAGAGAACTGTTGAAGAAGTGCATTATGAAACAACCATATAGACATGCATGAAATAAATCTTAAACAGGTGCACTCCTATTCTTCATCATTAATATTTTCCGTTCATGTTGCGGGAAACTGCACTACTGCAAGCATAATTAGCACGTTTCCTGTCGCCATTGGGCTCAATCTTACTCTATGAATAATAATAGGTGATGAAAATTTATCAAATTAAGTCGACATGTGGGTATTTAGCAACTGCAAATCGTATATTAACTGATCTCTGCTTCAAAAATGAAATATCTGAGTTGTCATTTTAAGATTCATCCAAAATGTAAATATTTTAAGATTGTATGTGCGTTTTTTAATTCCGTGTGACATAGGGCATTTCATGCAATTTATGTACTATCGTAAATTTAAAATTTCAATTTTCCTAAAAGAAAAATATATTTCTAGTATAATTATAAACGTGACTTTTTTTACACAAATGGTAAGTAAGAGTACAAAAGCTATGACGAAAAAAAGTTCAATCGAGCTCTTTAGAATTGCTCCTGTCTTAGCCAATAGGAGGTAAGTACGTTACGTGTCCATTTTGAATTTCTGACGATGGCGTCAGCAAATTTTTAAACAATCTATCGAAGAAGAAAGGCTACCGAAGTATTGGATATTGCAGTTCTTTGAAAAGGTTGATAAATGCTTTTTCTTTTATAGAAATGGAATTAGGTCTACTGTTTTATTTCTGTGTGTTCTCATAGCAAGGTTTTTAACTGCAGTCCTGCAAAGCTTGTATATTTCCATTCAAAGGACTTACGAAAAGCATGGTGATATTTTATTTACTCGACGGCCAATTCCCGCTTCTTTTTGGTGTGAAATGTCATATTTTCATTGTTGAGATACGTAATGCTAAAAAATGTATTGTGCTTGCCAAACAGTTATGTTACAACTTCGTTATCTTCTGCAATTTTAAGTTGCTGAAGATCTTCCTTGCTGCATTAGGACAGTCGCCATATTAAATTTTTCGGCCACATGCCTTTATATTATATCTGTTGAACGCTTTTTGCGTTACCAGTGTTAGCTAGTAGCTTTAATCATGTTGCTTTAAAAGATTTTATTGATCAAAAGATAACTGTCTATAAATAGCAGAGATATACGAGATTTTTTAAGTTTGCAAGTACATGAATGAACATAGCGAAGTGAAGTGCTTCCTTTTTCCATGCTATTTTTAAAGAACGACCATCCTTAATGCTCTGCACCTGCACGAATGTTTAACAAAAAAAAAACAGTTTCAAGCCAATTCATTCAGGTATTAATATATACAGTACACATATAGAAGACAAAGTTCTTGTTGTTCAAATTACGCCCATTGGTTACGTCATTGCCGCCATGTTTGACATTGAGCATTTTTCTTTTTTACAAATCAAATGTCTCTCAACATGACGAAAATTCCATTATTCTCCTACTGTCTAGGACCTAAGGGGGATGGTTGCACACCACCTATTATTAGGATTTATATGCGTCTATTTGCTTGTTTCTCTTATTGATGTAGATTAAATATTTGGAAGCACAATTATCGTTGGGTGATCACATGAAAGGTAAGCAAATACATGAAGTCACTTAAATCAGCTTCGTTGGTCACGTTTGCTAGCTTTTTTCTCCGTTCAAATTATCGGGGTCCACCATTCGTCCGACAATTCGGTGACGTGATCACTGATCTGTCAATAGACAGTCTATTATCAGATCAGTGGACGTGTTGAACTCTTCCAAACACTTAAAGGTTGAATCATGTGACTTAATATAAGTCGATAAAAATGGTACCAGTTCCGTGTGTGCGTGCAATCAGAATTGCCGAATAATACTTTTGTGTACGAAGGTAAATTTCTCCCCTGGAAAAAATACTCCCTCACCCCCCCCTTTTTTTTCTTCGACAAGCCTACGTGAAACTAGCAGTTATGTGTATTCAATTTCTAGCTGTTATTAACCAGCTTAGCGTTTCTCATGCCTTAAAAATGTAAAAATCTCAATGAAGTGACATTACTATCGGTACTGTGCGTTCCCTATGTTGTGCCAGTGACTTAGGCCTTTGTAAACATAACCAAGATTCGCGTCAACTTCTAATACAAATAATAGAAATAAATGTCCATAATATTACCGCACGCATTCGTTGTGATGGCGCCCCATGTTGATTTTGATAGCTTTATCGTATCGAAAAATATTGAAGCGGTTTAAAAGACAATATTTAGCGATATCGGAGCAAACCTATTATAGTATGTACACCACTAAAGCTTTATGGTGATTTTCTCTTTATCTATATTCTCATGCATAGGGGGATTGGATGAGCTAGAACTCACCATGGTTTCTCTAATATAAAGTTTTTATAACATTTATATACTTTAGCGCAACTTGAAGCAAAGTAACGCGCAGTAAATTTACTAAGTTCAAGTCTCACCACCTCCCCCAAATTCTATTTCGTAATGCAGTGCCTAAACCTGATTATGCATAAATTGTTTGAGTTAAATTGTTTCTACAGACAAACGTTTTCGCTGGCGAAATATAAATCTAGGTAATATTTCTAAAAGTTTTTAATACAGTTGAATCTTATCTATTTTATGGCGGTTTAAAAATTGACGGACCTTGTCCGTCGTTGCAAGAGTCTGGAACTAGTAATCATTTGACGTCACACCAGGTTACAAAATACATTAGATTCAATTTCTCAAAGCAAAAAGAGGTTGCTAATACCTATGTGTGTTTTTGTAAATTACCCTGGTAAATTGCGTCTTAGTTCTAAGTCTGTTTACAATTATCATAACAGACATTCCGAATACCTTATCCTATTCATAATTTCAAAACGATCGACCTGAAACTATAAGAGTAAAAGAAATTTTTGAATTGATTTTGTAATGGAAAAACAGGTCTTCCTCAAAGACGTCGACACTTTGTTCGCCATATATTATGCCTGAAAAAATGCGATAAAACGTTCCTGGGCAAACAAACTTCACTTTAGAAGGCACATGAAGTTGATTCCTGGATGTTGTTTGACGAACAGGTTTTCGAGTGCCAAATCTGAAATTGCCAAAAAACTAGAATGATTTTATTGATTGATTATTTTCTTATTTGTGTTTGAAATTATACCTAAATTTAGTATTGTCAATGAAACATTTTGCCTGTAGGCGCCTTTAGGGTAAAGTTGTAAGACACGCCTAGTGCTAAGCAACCGTTAACCTCGTGGAAACTATAACTATATGAACTAAGATGTGTGTCTCATTTGAGAGGGATAATGTATAAAAAAAAATACACAGTGCAATAAATGTACAGAGAGATTGGTGAATATACAAAAACAAATAAAATAACAGTGTAACATTTCAGTCATAATAGAAGAAGTATAGTCTAAATACTAAAAAATAGAACCATAACCAACAATGGTCACAGGAACATATGTTTGCAATAATTTTTTTTTGTCTATACGCCGTGGTTTGTTTACTCGTCATATTATACTCCTTACATAAACCGTTTTGTTGTGAAGGTGCTAATGAGTCTATTGACGTAATGAAAAACAGAGTAGGTGGTTGAAACCACCAAAGACGAAGTAGATATTTTAATGTTAGAAGTCAATACAATTTTACTGTGTTTTGGCTTTCTTATGACGTAAAAAGATTTTATTTAACTAATTCTGCTAAATCAAGTATTTTTAGTCTATAAGACGTTCAAAGGAGTGGTAAAAACGCTCAACCTAAAGATACAAAGCGAGCAATCCATGCTGTGCACCAAACGAACGTCATAATGAACTTAAGACCTTTTTTAAATAACTTCATTAATTATAAATTTTTTCCTTTTCGTGCACTTAGTTTTAGCACATAAGTACTTTACTCATGCAATAATAAATGTACATAATCGTTTAGAAGGAAACCTGACATCACACCTTGTTGTCATGAAGTCCTTTTCTTTTAATTAAAACGGTGTAATCGATGAACCTCACCCAATACTAGAATATTATTTGATCAAAAGCGTCACTCGAAAGAATTTCATGAAAGTGAAAAATATGCTTCTGCATCAAAATCAATAAATACAAGCAAGAAAGTTTGGGATTTTCTATAAGGAAATTATTCAGGTGGCTTCAGAATATTTTAGTAGGCACTGGCATCTTCTGCCGAGGTATTTTGTGATTTGCGCACGTTTATGTCATAGGCAAAACGTAAATAGTTTTAAAAAGGTAGTAAATAGTGCAGACTCAGTACGTCATGAGGATTTTTCCTCTTTTTATTACTTGCTCGAAGTCTTAAAAAGTTAAGTGAGCTTTTCGAAAAGTTCTGATGGTAAATGTTCCTATCCTTCAATAGTGAGCGTTGGATAGATTCGATCATTACACGAAATGAATTACGAATACTAGGGTGAACACCATCACAACAACCAGGCGTTTCTTCAACAAATGTGTCAACCAACGAAGTACACACATGCACGGTGTAAAAAACTTTATCAAACATTTTCGTTTGAAGGTCTTTTTGGTCACTATTCACCATGGTAAACACGATGTTTACAGCAATAATACCGAGTATTTGATATAATTCGTTTGTTTTGAATTGTTAAGCAAATATTTTTCCGCGGGAAGTGTGGGAAAATGACTCTGATATTTTAACGATGTGAGACATGCGCACCGACAACAAGGTGAGTCGTTTTCGCAGACGTTGTTGAAAGAATTTTTTGGCGTTAATTTTCGTTTTATTTTTTCGTTTTATGAAATATTTGCAACTGTTCAACCAATTCTTGAATCATTGTTACTTATTGCAACAAACACTAAACTAAGGTTGCATCAATGAACATATTTCATACTGTTTTTTTCTCCCTCGCTACCACAAGCCCCAACCTCAACGCTTTCTTCGTGTTCTTTGAAGAAATGTATTTTACATAAGTAAGGTCATGCCCTAGATTGAAAGAAGAGGAGAGATAAATTCGTTGCGGAAATGCCTTTAGGTAAAGTGATGTTGATAATGCGTGTAAACAGATTATGTGACATTCTACGTCAACAGATCACGCCATGATTAGTCGTTGCGGCCAATTTCCTATTGGTGTTGATTAACAAGAATCAAACGATAATGAACGACGTCTATTTAAATGAACAAATAGCATTTTCATGTCATGTTGCGTCTGGAAAATGTCAAGCGCGCTCAGATATGTAAGCCGGAATAAGGCTGCTATCGACAAATATTGTACGATCAACTATGTGAAACAATGAATGACATCTCAGTCACGCAAAGCTCCGACGTTGCTTATCAACCTATCTTTCTGAGACCCATCTGGTACATCATGAGTATATCTTTACTAGGTCGCAGGCCACATGCTTTTGGCAATCGCTTCAAGTATTCATTAACCACGCGTGTTTACAGGACAGCCCCCACTTATGGTGTAAAACATTAGCTCATAATTGTGCCCTCGACCTTTAAGGAAGCTGCCACTTTGTAAGGTTTATTCGATTG